AAATCAAACAACGCGCGAAATTATTGACAAGCAAATTAATAAATGGCTCCAAGACGACGTAGTTGAACCCACCGACGACGCACTTTTCATCTCACCGCTGCACGTAGTGAAAAAGAAAACACCGCCCGGAGAAGAACAAAAGTACAGAGTTGTTGCGGATATGCGAATGCTCAACGCCCGATGCCAAGTCCAGCCGCACGCATCAATGCCGCGAATTGACACAATTCTCTCCAAGTTGGGAAAAAATAAATATTTTTCAAGAATTGATCTCTCAAACGCATACATGCAAGTGCCGATCAAAGACACGCACCGCCGCTACTTTTGCTTTAATTCGCACCGCGGAATTTTCCACTTCAAGAGAATGCCCTTCGGATGGAATGGTTCAACATGGTTTTTCCAAAAACTGATTGAAAAGTTGCTGCGAGAGCTGAACTGCGAGAACGTGATTTGCTTTTTTGACGACATCATTTGCATTTCACCCGACTTGAAAACGCACATAAAAATTTTGCGAGAGCTCTTCAAACTTCTCAGCAAATTTAATTTGACCGTGAACCCCAAAAAACTTGAACTTTGCAAGACCGAGATTGAAATTTTGGGGCACAAAGTGACTGAAAACAAAGTTTTTCCCCTGTCGGAAAAAACTGAGTGCATTCAGAATTTTCCCGCACCCACAAACAAATTAGAAGTCCAAAGATACTTAGGTTTAATTGGATTCTACAGAAAATTTGTAAAAGATTTTCAAGCAACAGCGGCGCCGCTCACAAAACTGTTGCGAAAAGGTGCAGATTTCAAATGGGAAAATGAGCAGCAAAATGCATTCAAGAGTCTGAACGCCGCCGTTGCGTCAGATAATTGTTTACTTCACCTGCCCGATATGAATAAAGAGTTTCAAGTTTGGACCGACGCTTCAATAATCGCTTTTGGCGGAATGCTGACGCAGAAATGCGAAAACACCGGCGATTTTCGGCCCGTAATGTTCATCAGTCGACAAACAACTGACGCCGAAAAATTGTACTGCCCCAGCGAACTTGAATGCGCGAGCGTAGTTTACGCAATAAACAAATTTCTCCCCTACATTGAACACACAAAATTTACCCTTTATTGTGACCATCAGTGTTTGCAAAACATTTTGAAAATCCCCAAACCCCAAGGTCGGTTAGGGAGATGGGCAATGTTTCTTTCAGGACTGAATTGCGACTTCAAATATCGCAAAGGAAATCAAATGGCACCCGCCGATTGCCTTAGCAGAATTAAAATGCCGATAAAAAGCGAGAAAAACAGACCTACTCACCGCGAGGAAGTAATTCCAATCGACGACGGCGAGAGCAAGGGCAGTTTATCCTTCGACAAACACTCGCACCCTGCTCAAAATGCACATGAATGCAAGCGCTGTCAACCGAAAAACCAAACCCTCGCTGAAGAGAAAAGTCCAGGAACACCCAAATGCCCGAAAATCGTCCCAAAGTTGGATGAAACGCTCACGAAATTGTCACAAAAATCACCAAAATCAACACGCACTGCACGCACACGAGAAAAAGTAAACAAGCAACAAGCTGCAGCACCCGATGCAGTCGCGACGCTGCTGCCACCTGTCAATCAATCAATCAACCATCAGCATGCACCGCACGGCCGCGCGGCAAAGAAGAGAGAGAAAAAAGCTCGCGACACACCAAGTGCAGCGAAACGCGCACGGCCGACTGCAAAAAAGAAGAAGTTGCCCAAACGCAGATATTCCAGCACGTTAATTAATCCGTCCAGCAGCGAAATAAACATGGGCCGCAGACTAAAAATTTTCCTCACGCAACTACAAAATGCGGAAAAATTTCCTGCCACCGGCGCCGAATGGCACGCCGAGCAAAATAAATCAGACGAATTAATTCAATTGCGAAATGACATTGTTGCCGGCCGAAAACAAAAGTACACCATCGGCCCAGACCAAGTAATTCGCTACACAGCAGGCGACAAAAATCTTATTGTTCTCCCAGATCCTTTGAGAGAAAAAGTTTTGCAATATTGTCATAACGCACCCACATCTGGTCACCCTGGAATTTATGCAACTCAAATGAAAATTGCTGCAATGTTCGTTTGGAAAAATATGCGGAACGATATTAAAGACTATGTCAAAGCGTGTCATGAGTGCCAAACAATTAAGCCAAACAACAGAAAACAATTCGGACTTTACAGCGCCAAAAATGAGGAGTACACAATGCAATGTGTAAATGTCGACGGAATCGGACCACTTCCAAGATCATCGTCTGGGAATGAATTTTGCCTCCTCGCCAGTGATGAATTCAGCCGCTGGGTTGAATGTTTCCCTTGCCGAAAGCTGACGAGCAAAGTTGCCATCGACAGACTAGTTGCAATGTTTTTCCGATTAGGCTGGCCTGAAGAAATCAAGTCTGATAACCACACAATTTTCAGCTCAAAACACTGGAAAAATGCAATTAAAATGTACAACATCAAAGACATTAAAATTTCTCCTTATATGCCAAGACAAAATCCAGCTGAACGCCGAATTAAGGACGTGAAACAAAAAATCAAAACGTACGCGACCAACAACCAACGCAAATGGGATTTGGATCTTGCTGCAATCACGTATGCAATCCGCAGTACGCCAAATGACACAACTGGTTTCACGCCTAATTTCCTCATGCTACACCGAGAAATTAAAAACCCAATTTTCCACAGTGAGAAATTAGAGCCAGAAAATTATGACGACAATGTAAAAAAAATGATCGAGCGATTAAAAAAGGCAAATGACGTTGCCATCGAGAATATTGCTCACAGGAAAGAGCAATATGCCAGAAAGTTCAACTTAGCCGCGCGCGAGCATGAGTTTCTCCCCGGTCAAATGGTGCTCCGCAAAACCAACATTCTCTCCAACAAAGAAAAGGGTGTAGCCGCGTCGCTAGCACCCAAATTTGAAGGTCCGTTCCGAATTTCATCCCTCTTCGGAAGGAACACAGTTGACCTCGAAACCCTCACTGGAGAGGCGGCCGGCCGGCGGCACGTTAGCCAAATTCGCCTATATCATGAAAAACCTGAATGGTGTCAATGAACTTCAAGATCATCTTAGTCGCCCAAGTCGCGACAAAAACTTTCTGTCCTTGTCGACAAAGAAAAATTTTAATTTTGTTCCTGAAAAAGCTGCCAGGTAGCAGCGCCAAATTGTCCAAGTTGACAATACTTCGTACTGACTTACCAAGTTGTAAGCAGTCAGATTGATTGCCCAGTTGCAAAAGCCAGTGAAAAATAAAAAACTCTAATTGCCCAGTCGCGAACGAGTTAATTCTCAGCCAAGTTGCTCAGATTTTCACTTGGCCAAATTTTCAAGAGAGAAGACAACTATGAAGAACACACACACACACTTTTAATTTCAATTAATTAGTCTCAAAAGTTTTCTCTTTTACAAAAATTCCTTGCCGTAATTTTTTTTCCTTTCCCGGCGGGATATTTGAGACCATAATTTCAATTAAAAATTAATTAAATTTAAATTCCAAATTTAAAAACAATTAAAGTCACTTTCATAAACAAATGTTTAAATTAAAATTAATTCAAAACAAAAAGTAAATTCAAATAAAATAATTAATGTAATTATTTTATTCAAATTAATTAATGTCAATTAAACTCAATTAAAATCAAACAAAGCTAGACGGACAACATGAATCCGTAAAATGTACTAAGGCCAAAATAAAACAAGCCTCCCGCTTCTCTCCTTCTCTTTGAGTGAGTTTTATCAAATACAAAGTGTTTCTTTCATCAAGAGATTCCTTTCGTCAACGCCACTGACTCTCCTAGCCCTAGTTGGTTGAGAGAGATAGAGCGCAAGACCGATTTGGTAAAATTCGGTTGGACGTTGTTACCACGTCGCTCCATCTGAGGCGCACCGCTTCGACTGTTTCCATTTTTATCCAGATCAAATTCAATCCGATTAAGTCCGAATTTCACAAAGTCAATTAAAAATTTAAATTAAACCGGAAAAGGAAAATATAAATACTGAGATTGCAAAAAGAATTACCCCTAGAATTCATTGCCGTCTCAAAATACAAAATTATTTTAAATAGATAAATAAAGTCTCAATTGCAAAATCTTCTTTTCTTCCATTAACTTTCCAAAACTGAAAACAATACATACAAAATCAGAAAATATTGAATTAATTTTTGGTTAAAAAAAGAACCTTCATTAAATTAAACATACAGTTGAATTAATTCAGAAATATTTTTTGAAAATGATTCAAACAAATTTAATCTTTGTGAAACTGATGCATAAAAATTCATATCACTTTTGCGTCCTCTGATGTTTAAAAATCAATTCACCAAGGCGGAAATGATTCGAGAAAATTTCCCCAGAATAATTTGCAAACTCGCGTAACACTCGAGCGGAAATCCACTTTGCTCCTTAAAGCTTTCGTATATATACTTTTTATTTGCGAGATAGGCTGACAGACGGAGAGATTGGATGAGGAGGAAATCTCTTTTCGGAAAGAAAAGTCAAGCACGTAGGGAGAGAGAGGCACACAGCGTGCAGAGAAATTGTGCTGTATACAATAAAGTGGCGTGGTTGATTTGCCAGAACAGATTGACTCTGCTGCTGAATCAATATGTATATGCGAAAGCAGAGAAAATGGCGAGAGAGAGAGAGAGAGAGACCGAGAGCGGGGAAAGAGAGAGAGATTGGAAGCGCCTCCCTCTTGCTCTCTCTGCCAACGTTGACTAATGTGAAATAATGCACCTGCAAATGCATGTGTGCGAACCTTTGTCGTGGATGTGGTATTTGTTACATCTGCACGCTACATGCGTATTTACTTCCAACTTTTGAGTGCTTTGAAATGTTTTCAGGCGGCGCGCATGAATATTGAATGAAAGCCAGTAGAGCACTCCCTGCTGATGTGGCGTAACCAGAGCCAGATTTCCGATTTCGCATGCCGTGAATTGACCGTGGCAAACGCGTCAATAACTGATTCGGCTCGGCTATTTTTCCGTTTCGTCACGGGCAATACAGAAATAAAAACACTTAATATTGAAATGAATTTAATTTATTTATTGATCAAGACAAGTCTTCAATGCACCTTTGCAGCAAATCCTCCACTTCACTTCTCTTCACGCCACGTCCTAGAAGCATTCAGAATAAAAATAAATTACTTCTCTCATCTCAATTGGCAAAAATTAACAAGATCACAATATTTTTTCTAATTAAAAATAAATAATAATAAACATGCAGATTTTCCTCAAAATTTGTAATAATTACAAAGGAAATCAAACGGTTGATTAATTTTTTTTATTGAAAGTTCGTTTGATTCAATCTAGAACTTCCATTTAATTTGCCCTAACTTATGAATAAGGGTTAAAGTTTATTCAGAAAAGAATTTTAACTGATAATAAATAAAAAACAGAGTTTATAAGGAATTAAAAACCGAACTTCCGGGCTGCTTTTCTACGCCGAGACTCACCGATGATGATGAAGCGGCAAGGGGAGCCACTCTCGCCGGCGCCTTGGAGTGGCTCAGGTACCGCTTGCAGATCGTACATCTCGTAAACGCCTTGGAGCATGATCAAAACGTTTTCCTTCCCAGGCAATTTAATTATTCCCTTGAAAAACAAGAAGAAAAAAACTCTAAAATTAATAAACAAAAGCAAACTCGTTATGAGAAAATGCGTTCAAAGGCAACGCAAATTTAGGCGCAAAGGGAGGTGGGCGGCTGGGAAACAAACGACAACATTTTCTTTATAACGCATTCTTCGCCGAGAACCCTCTTTGGAAAAAAGAAAGAAAGAAAGGACCTGCCTTTGAACGCGGCGCATCTCTTGCCACTTTTACACTGCGTTATCTGCACTGAATAGCGAGACGTTTTTCAATATTGAAAATAGCGGCGAGGCAGCACAGCAGAAAAATTATTTATAACATTTGTGAAAGATTCAATATAAATGGGATATCATTATTGTAATACGAGACGGCGCAGGGGTTTTACAAGCTCGGTAGGCGAGAGCGAGCGCACTTCATTAATTTTCTGCATGACTTGGCCCCATGCAACACTGTATCCGATTCTCATTAAAGTTGTCGCCAACAAAGGGATCAAAGGCATTTGCAGCAACACTCGAGGCGTGTGGACACTCACGGGCCAACTAATAAGTGCACGCGATTTTGCTATTATGTTGACACACCAACCCCGACACACACACTCATTGTCAGCTTTTTATTACACGTTTTTCAGTGGCACGCACGCGCACCCCGACGACAAACAGCAATAATGCTTTGTCGCGGCACTTGATGATTCAATAAACAATTACGCGGACGCATCATCTGCATCCGTGCGTTTCTCACACCCACGCCGATTGAAACAAACGCTCGACTGCACACCCGCGCGCTCTTCTCACAAACTGCAGCAGTGAGATGGAATTGCTTTTGAATCAAATTTAAACGTCAAGGATGTTTACATTGACTTTAATTTTCTTCGGTGATTCAAATTATAAAATTACACGCAAACAATTTAGTTAAATAATGCGTTAATTTTTGTTTAATTTAAAATTTAACCTGTTCGGTCCAGTTGAAAGCTTCATTATATTGAAACACAAATTAATGAGATTTTTCTCCTTTCTATCATAATACCAATAAGAACGTTGGCAAATGACAGATAGGATTCAAGAGTAAAAATTTATATTTGTAAATATTTTATTTATTATTGTATTATGTTATTTAAATATTTAAAAATAAAATTCAATTCACAATTAATTACCAGAGATGTTGATATTTCTTCATATTGTGTATTTTTCTTTAAAATTTTTACTAAATTCTGACTTGGTGCGTAAAAAAATAATAAAAAAACCGACAGTAACATCAAATATTATCATCAACCTTCAATTTTAAGTGTTTTAAATTTTCCACTCTGGTTAAACGGGTACAGCTATTTTCAATAATTCAACAATTTTCAATAATTTTTGATGCTATAATTTATTTAATAACCTTAATTTATCATATTATTGTTTGAAATTTGGAAAATATAATATGTTGTTTGAGGTTTCAAAAACTAAATCAACTCAGCTCACTACATTGCGGGTGGGGTATTTTTGATATCGGAAGTTTTAGCAAAATGTTTGTTAGTGTTTTAGCCGGTTCGTCCTACAATAATTCCTTTCTTTTAATTTTTTTTTTAATATTCAAATGTAAACAATGTGATGCTCAAATTAGATTATATAATAGAAATAATAAAAAAAGAAATCAGAAAATATCAAGTCAAATTTTGACATTATTTGCTATCTAAATTTCAAGCGTAATTTTAATTTTAACGAGGCTCTCATGATATCTACACTGGATTTAAAACTTCTCAACCTTTCCCGTTTGATCAATTGTGAATTTTTGATGTTGACGGACCTTTTCTTCATCTTAATTGAGTTTATATGAACGAAATTTTTTGGTGAAATTTTAATCAATTTTGGTTGAGTCCAGTTGAGTCAATTTTGAGGAAACAACTATTTTAGAAAATTCCCAAAATAAACAAAGTTAAATTTAAAAAAATCAGTCCTATACGAATGGCTTAAATTTTTCTTACTTCTTTGGACTGAAAATATATTTTTAAAATATAGAGAACAATTGCCATCAAGATTAACCAGATATTTTTTCAAATGACATTTGTTATCTTTGTTTTTTATTAAATTAATTTTACTCCTCTCATGAACTGGATTCCGGAGAAAAGAATTTTCGCACCCGATAAAATTTTCATTTTCCAGCTGCTAGTCCGGCAATATCCAACTTTTGGAAAATATATTCATGGGCACTAGTATTGTGGAGTGGAGAGGGCTCCCCACAAATGATTTGGTCCAGTTGAGCAGGGGCGCGGAATGCGGTGCAAGCGCGAAACGAAGCCGCCGCCGCCGAATATATTGTGCGCGCGAGTGTCATAAACGAGCGCGCGCGCGCGGGGTTAAATATATAAAATTCCAGGGTGTTGCGTGGAAATAATGCAATGTTATTGCATGCGGCGCTCTTATTCGTGTGTCTGTTTAGCATTCGCGGCACACGCGTGGACGACAGAACGGGTGTGTTGGTGCGCGCATTGTCTATTTACGCGCTTGTTGAATGCGCCGGCCGCCGGAAGAAAGCGAGAGAGATGCCACCCCTATTAAATTCACCAGAGGGTGGCTGCAATAAATACCTCTCTCGCTCGCCCCACGAACCCCTTCCCCTCGTTACCTATGCCCTTTAAAATTAATATTTGACGCTCCCTTGGCAACCCCTGCGGCGAAAATGCTGCTGCAGCCGACTAGCTTTAAATTATTTGCCATTACTACTGGGGGCGCAAAGGCTGCTCTCGGCGGCCCTTGTACATATTAATTATTTGTCTGATATATATGATCACAAATATTTATCTCGCGCTGCCTTTCGACCGCCACTTCGCTTCATTGCTATTTGCTGAGCCCCAAAATCATCCCAGCTCTTTCAAAATTAATATCACTGCAAAGGGACGTTTTCTTTTGTACATACCTTGATTCGAATGACTGACGCCGGCTGCAGAGCGTTTTCCCACAGAATTTTCTGCGCAAATAAATTAATCACTTCTTCGCTGAGTGGAGTCGGCCATTCGAAGGTAACCGTGTTGATATCCTGTTAGGTCGAAAGAGAAATTGCAAGTTGTTTAGTGTTTCATGGTTTCCAAAAGAAAAGAAACTCACTTTGTCCAAGTGTGATTTTCCTTTGAACTTTGAAACGTCGTCCATCAATCTTCTTAGTCTGAAAGAAATAAATACGAATTTTCAAAATATGAAAGTAAGAGTGCCAAGAGCGGCTAAAGATCGGTATTCTCGTTTCCAGAAAAATTAATGAACTTAACAAGTATACTCTCTAATTCTTCCTTTTTTTTTTTAGAAAAAAATTGGTGAAGATTTCTCTCAGAAAACTCTTTTTAAATTTGCATTTATTGATCAATTTGTTAACAGATTTCAATTTAAAGGACTTTTGATTTTTTTCCCCAAAATTGCCACTAATAAAATAAAATCAAAATTAAGGAGAGGCTTTTGCAAATACAAATTTTGATATTAATTTTTCTCTACAATTAAGCATTCGTTTGTGGATCGTAGATGTCAGTTTCAAAGGAACTTCGTTAGAAAAATTGAATTTATTGAGAGAATAGAATTTCTTAAATTTAACATTGTTTATTGTGGGAATTTTCTAGAATAATAATCTACTCAAAATTGGCCCAACCAAAAAAGTAAAATCAATAGGTCAGTTGTAAATTTAAAAAAAAAAATTATATTGGCCTAATGGTAAAAGGCTGGGTAGTTTTATTTTACAGTGCAGATATCATAAGCTCCGTGTTAAAATATTTGAAATTAGCAAATTTTTGCAATATTAGTTTTACATCTAAAACTCGAATGTTACTTAATTTAATGGCAATCCTTCTTAAAGTTCTGCATTTTTCCCTTGCAAAATAAAAAGTAGCTTGCAACAAACTCCGACCGATAAATTACACAGGAAAATCGAGCTGTTCTGAAAACAGGGGGCTTGTGTGTGTGTAATTGTTGGCTTTGTTGGCAGCGCAGTTGCGCCGCCGATTGTGAGAACACAATGATGGATCATAATTGCGCGAGGCTTAAGGAGCAATACCGCGCGATTCTGCAGGATGTAATTTTCGTATTGAGCCAAACAAGTTAGTGTTCAGCGCATTTTCAAGGGTGCAATTACACAGTCGCACTTGACTGATTGCATAGTTCTCCAGTGTGCATATTTTCTCCACGGTCAGCCTTTGATGTGTCAAAGCGAGAGGAAGGGCAACTCTTGTGATTTCCACAAGGCCCCACTTCTCACCACTTTTATATTCTTTCTGCATATTTTTCAAGCATCTCTCTTATTCTTTTATTTTTCAATCGTGACCTCCGTTTGATGCCGAGCGCTTTGTGGTTTTCGTTTTAAAATTCAAACTCGTTGGCGATAATTAGCAGCTCTTATATTCACTGGCAGTTGAAACGTTTCTCTTTTTTAATTCCAGAGCAACAAAGAAATGTGTTAAAGCAGGAAATTTACGTTAAAGTTCTAAATATTTTGTTGCACAATATAAATGTAAAATGGCAATCATTTCACATTTACTTCTCAATGCGTAATTTGGATGTAAAAATATTTAAGATTTGTGAGAAATAAAAAAATTACCTTAAATCCTAATTTGTAGTGATAATAATTCTAAGTTAAACAAATGATAATTTAAGAACAGATTTTGGCTGTAAATGCAAAAATTTAAGGCGTTTTCAGAGTGTTCATGGTTTAAATTCACTAAATTTAGATTTTAATTCATTATTTTTAAATTCATAAAATAATGTATGGTTTACCTATCAAGTCCATCTCCAGAATAGGCTTTCAAATCAAGAATTTTATCCAAATTTATCCTAAAACACACAAATCACGGTTCGATCACAAACTAATTTTTTGAATCTAAAATAAATCTTTTAAATTTTAAATCTTTATTAAAATCAAATACCTGCATCTCTCCGTCTTCACAATTTCACTGGCACCATTCAGGCCTCTGCGAAAAAACATAACATTATCATTTAAAAAAAAAAAAAAAACATTTTCTGCAACGAGGAAAAAGCCCGATTCATTCATTTCCATGATAATCTCCTCGAGTGTCAACTTCTTCAAACAAATTAAATTTTAAAGATCTTCTTTTTTATTAAATTATTTTTTCACTAATTTCAACTTTTATAAAATAAATTTTATTTAAAAAACCTTTCAAGAAAATTTGCGATTAAATCTTTAACGCAGCCACTGAAAAGCAGGGATTTACTTGTCTCACCCCCTCACTTTACAGTCGACTGCACAAGTGCTAAAGCACGGCTAGTTTATTGTGTAAAGCAGTCTGCAACTAAAAGTCATTTAAAGTTTAAAAGTTGCGAATTTGTATAGGGCACGGTTCAAATAATCCGATATTTTAAATTTCTTACCTCACAAAGTCTTCGAGCTTTTCTAGCTCGTCGGTGGACGCAAGGTCGGCTTTGTTCAAAATCAGCAAATCGGCGAGGGCGATCTGCCTGAAATTTTGACAAAAATTCAAAATTTTAACAAAAATTCGTTGAAAATATTTGCAATGTTCAATCATTTTAATAAATCGTGTAATAAACTATTAAATATTTAAAAATCTTGCTTAGAAAATAATAGTCGTCGTGCGATCTGAAAGCTTTTGTCTGCAGCACCAAAGGATCGGATTTTGCAAAGCACGTCGCAGAGGCAAATCTTGCGGGTTGTAGCATTTTCGGCGGCGGAACCAGAGCCGCGTCAAACAAGGGACGGGGAAAGGCGGGTTGGGGGAGCGAAAAGTGTCGCGCTACAACAATCAAAGAGCAGCGGATTATTTTTACCCCCATTATGCTGACAATTCCATCTTTCCTCATATCGAGGCTGCGGCGCGGAGCAGATTATTGCATCTTGACTGCGACCACAAAGGCTGCCAAGTGCTCCTTGAAACAGCAGTGCCGCCTTACTTTTCACAGCAAAACTGCTTTTCACCCCGCACGCTGTGCCAAGTGAGTATTCCGGGGAATTCATATTATATACTCACTCGCAATTCTCATATATACAACGCTAGAGAGTGAGCGAGAGAGCGAGCACTGCCTCCAGCAAACATTCCTTTTATATTGTTGAATCAGCCTCACTCTTTTATTTGCTTACACAGTAAACATTAATATAGATCTGTGCTGCTGCTGCTTCTGCTTCCGCTGCTGTTTGAATGTACCACCAAATAAAATTCATCTCTCTTGTTATATATTTTGCAATATAATGCTTTCCACAGTCAACAACTCCAATTATTTGTTTTGCATATAACGCAGGGTATATTGCCATATGTGCCGGCGCCGACACCGCGCCTCCCATTGGCTCGCCAATCCGAGCCCACGCATAATTTACCCACGATGTCTGCTTTGTTGTGCGGACGGTTTTGTTATTTATTTTACAGAAGAATTTTAAGCAGCGTTCATCGAGTTAATTAACCAAACGCCAAATTTAATGTTATGAAATGCAAATAATTCCAATAATTCAACTCACCGCTCTGCTGCGTTCACTGTAGTTTCTGTTTCAGTATTAATTTCATGATTCTGCAATCAGACGTAGAATAAATAAATTAAATTGTGGCAATTATAAAAATTTGGAATATATTATACTCATTATGCTTATTAATCTTCTAACAATAAGATTAAAAAATCTTAAAAAACTAAATTTTTTAGATTAAAGGGAAAATTTTTATTGCGTTTTTTATTTAGTCATAAAAATTTATCTTCAAATAAATTGTAGTAATTTTTAATAATAAAAAAGTTATAACCTTAAAAACTTCTTCCATTATCAATTTTAACTATAAAATATAATAAATAAATATATTTTTTAACAGTTCTGAATTCTGTATGAAAATTGTTTTTTGAATCTGAAAGCGTAAAATGTAATTATTTACAAAAAAAAAAAAAAAAAAAAAACACTTTACCTGAATTCCATATTTTCCATCAATTACAGTAATGATACCTAGTAAATTTAAAAAATCAAGATATGACTTTATTTTGGTCAATTAATTTTACCATCTAAATAGACACTGCTTCCAAGATCAGAATCCAGCCAGAAAATTGATGCAATGGGGCCTGCAATACAATTAAAGAGGCAAATTATATTAACATGTTTTAAAATTAGAAGTGTCAAAAAAACGCGCCTGGATCAGCTAGGCCTGTGGTTTCCAGCAAAATATAGTCAAATTTTCCTCTCTTCTGCATTAAATTTTCAATCGCCTTCACTCCGTTGTCCCTAAATTATTTTCTTATAAAACAAAATTCTGCATTAATTTTGAATGATTTTATACTTGACAGAGCAGCACAGGCAACCATTTCGAAGCTCGAGCCATTCTTCGAAAAGTTCTCCATTCTGCCCGACAGTCAAACTTTTCTCCAGTGCACTTCCTGAAATTCAAATTTTAATTTGTAAGAGTTTTGATTAATGTGATAATTTCCTTGCCTTCTCCGAATTCATTAAGGACGACAGCAATTTTCTTTGTATGCTGCTCAGTCAAAATGTAATTAAGCAGCGTTGTTTTGCCTGAGCCGAGGAATCCCGTCACAATTGTTACTGGCACTGGTTTTAAGTCGGCTTCGATGAGCTCAGGTGCATCCTCTTCGTCAGATTCCATTTGAAATCAATCTGAATACTGAATATGATATAATAAAAAATTAGGAATAATGCTTAAGTCAAGTCTATCAAATCAGGCAATGATAAAAACAGATTTTTTTTAACCTTTTTGAGTAAATTATTTTAAATATTATCCATTTCAACTTACCTAGCTTCCCCAAATGCAATTATTTCGTTCAATTTCCCCCAACCTTTTGTAGATTCACCGCTCTTGTCATTATTTTGGTCCTGTGTTTATAAATTTAAATTTAGCACCACTTCTGCTTGTTCTGAATAATTCTTAGTAAATCCGCTAGGTAGTAGGTCGGCGCTTCTGCGCGTCGTTTCTATAAAAAATAGTTTCTATTGCTCTCAACCCTGAACCTCCCAACTAAGGAGAATTTATAATGGTGACCAGTTAATTAATTAATCTTAACTTTATTGTTGTCAGATACTAAGGGATAGACTGAAATTTTAATACTAAATTTATATAAATTAACAGAATTATTAAAAAAAAAATAAATAAAAAAAAGCGCAAGAAAAGCATTTGCCCATTAATATTATGTATTAATTTTTTTAATTTTGTGGTAGAATTTCACAATCGAGGTTTGATTCATGGTGATTTGAATTTAAAATCGGCTTTTCCTTGATGGGTTTTTGTGAGTTGTTTATTATTTCAGAAAAACAATATCCTGCTCTACATGTTTCGGCTGCGAAAAAATTTTGACAAAAATTAGAACAATAAAAATAAATCTTTTATCAAAAATTTTTTTACTTTCAAATTGAAAATTTTCCGTGAAAATTATTTAAATTAACATTTCTTCACAAAATAATTCTTTACACAAAATTTGACATTTTTAATTCAAAATATTAAAAAAAAAAAAAAAATTCTTATAACAAACCCATCGAGGAAAAGGAATTTTTGTCTTTTTGTCCTTCAGTTTTAAAAATTTTTGTGAATAGAGTGTGTTTTAAATTGTCTTATCGGTTTTCTATATTTTTCATTTAAATTTTTCTAGAAATAATTTAATTGCTCAATAAATTAATGCATTAAGATAAATTGATATACGAATGCATTTAATCTTATATTTTTTCTTACAAATTTTAAGTTTCAGCAATACTTTTTTTGGCGTACAAACATTAAATTACTGACCCTGTTGGACAACAAGAGTGAAAGTGTTAAAAAGAATGTGTTCACATGCACAAACGGCACTTTTAGAAGATCAGTAGGACTTCAATATTTAATAATATCTCTTAAAATCACGTTCAGATTTAGCTTTTTTATTGTTCACAGAAGTAGTTTAAATGTCTAACGCGTTAAGTAAAAATGTTTGTTTGGCTAAAGAGCACAGACTGCGATTGCTGCATTTAGATACAGCGTCGATAATGTAGAGTTACTCACACATGTCATTTTTTTTTTTGTGATCAAAAGATAACTGCATGACCACTCTCACCGCTAATAGCCCGGCTTGTTTGGGGCAAAAAATAGCCCTAGGATATGGATTTTCCGAATTGACAATTGCTTTTTTATTAATGCACTGCCGTGTGGTGCAGGTCGATTCTCCGTCAAAGTTTAGGCGCGTGAAAGGCAGTTGACTCCGAGGCGGGCGGCATGGCGCACACCACCGCCTCGGACGTGCAGGCTGCCCCGAAAACCACCCTTGCCCCGACAAGTCAGCAAAATCTGCACAAGTTCAAAACTTTTTTCAGTAAGAAATTAGCAATAGGCTTTTGTGTCATTTATTTTAATTAATAATAGTTTTTATTACAATCTTTAATTTTATGGAGAAAGATAAGTTCAATCCTTTTTTTATTTTTTGATAAAGATCATTTTTCGTTGATAACGTGCTCTTTATCTTATCTTTTTATTCCTACTCACTTGATGAGCCAATTTTTTTGCTTAAAACCTTTTAATTTGCAACCATGCTTGACCACAATAACATTGACACGGAGCCCTTGTTAAATTGGTCAAAGACGAGCGACAGCCGATACGCAGAATATTACAACATTTCCGGATCAAAACGTTTTTTATCTGTGGAAAAGTTTTGGAAACTTTAATTAATCGTGATTCGTTGTGTTCCAGGACGCAGTGCCCTGGCCAAGCTGCAAGGATGTCGCTGGAACAAGCTGTGGGCCCTGAGCCTGGGCGTGCTGATTCTGGCCTTGACCGGCCTCCTCACCGTCACACTGGTCTACGCGCTGGCGAGGGCAGTCCCCTTTGATGTGAGTACCCGATCGCATGCCAATTTCCACTTCTGTCTTTTGGCTAACGATGCATTTGCATGCGTTTTATTTTTTAATATCATATTTCACCGCTCGTTTTAAAGGTTCAAAAATTAACGATGAAATAAAACTTCGACATTTAATTTTTTTAAATATTAAAAAAGTGATAAAATTTATTCCGTCTTTAAGAGTCTATAAAATCTAAATTGTTTAGAAGTGGTAGGAGTGAGGGTCAAGGTTCATATTCCTCATTTGTTGGTCAATCCAGTTTCTGAAAAGGGCCACATTAGCGTAGACGCCAGGAGTTCCGTTTTCTCCGCAGCCGATGCCCCACGCAACAATTCCGACCTGCGCGTAATGTCCGGGGTGGTTGATCAGCGGACACACCAGAGGACTACCGCCGTCTCCCTGCAAAAGGCACATTTAGTCAAAGGCAAACGTAAAAATGAACCCCTTATTTACCAGAAAAAATATAAAATCTAATTTTTTCAAAGGTAATTCATCAGAAATTATCGATAAAAGCAACATGATTCTATTACCAAAATTAAATTTACCAGAAAACGCAACAAGTGAATTTTAAGACGCACGTGAAGAATTAAGTGTAATAGTAAGCATAAATTAATTTTAATTTTATTTTAAATATTTATAGTTAAAATTTAAAATTATTATGATAATAAATATTTCTTAAAAAATTACAGTAAGTTGAAATCAACTCAAAAGCCTTAAACGACAGTGGCTTGTTCAAGTAAGACTCATTCAGTAGAAACTGCAACGAAATATGATTTTTTTTTTAGATTCTTTTCGCAAAATTTGCCTATAATTATTTGCAAAAATTAGTGTAAGGAGAGAAAAATTTCCAGGGCTAGAAAAATCACAAACTCCCAAACGCTTCCAATTCTACCTAGTTTCATCTATATACCTTGAAAAGTTGAAAATTTTTCGTGAATTTTGCCCCAATAAATAAAATTTTCAAAATTTGCTAATAGAAAAAATTTTAAAATAAAAAAAAACAAACCTTTGATAATCTCATTTTTGAATAATTATCTGACACATAAAAATATACAAGATTTCTGAGCAACGAATTTCTGATAAAAAATTTCTCATCAATTAAGCTACCTGTTTTCTGAAAAATAAATTTGTGATAAAAAAGGCGACTAAAATTGAAAGCAGACATAAAGCAATTTGCAAATTACTAAAGCTGCTCAAAATGCAGCACACAATGGTCGCGCCGAAGCCAATCAATCAATGTTACGCACTATGACCTTTAGCAGGTGCTGGAAATAATGACTTTACACGTCGAAGGCCAGCGAGCCGTCTGGGCGGCATCCAAACTTGTTTATCTAAAAACACCTGCCCTCTCTGTCAACGACGTGACTTTACTCCATTGATTTTATTGACAGCTTTTTGCATTTTTTTCCCAACACACAAGTACCTTGCAAGTGTCTTTGCCGGGCTCTCCGCCCGCGCACACAAAACTGTTGTGCAGACGGAAGTGCTGGCCGAGTCTGGTTTTCCTCAGCGATTGAAGACACTGTTGTCGCGGCACCACCGGCAACTCGACCTTTTTCAGAATCACCTGGTACTCGCCCTCTTTGCCTTGGAAATTAATTCAAAATGAAAAATTACTTTAAATTAAAATTTACTTTAGAAAATATTACCAAAAACGTTTTTGCCCCAGCCGCTGGCGTAGCATCGGCTGTGATCGAAGTTCTGTCCCTGTTCGGGCAAGCAAATGACGTCCACGTTGTCCGCAGCGTTGACTGGCGCATCCAGCTTCAAAAGGGCGACGTCGTTGTACAGGGCGCCGGCGTAGTACTCAGGGTGGACGAGGACCTGAACCACGTTTCGGTCCTGGTGCGGGTAGAGCTCGTTTTTGGTCTGGGTGTCCCATTCGCCGGCTCTGATTTTCAGGCCCTGCCCGTCCTTGCTAAATATTTCCAATTTTATCACTTTATCAACTTTTAATTTTTTTAATTTTGAAATTACCCTGCGACGCAGTGGGCGGCGGTTATCACAACCTGGGGGTGGATCAAAGCGCCTCCGCATTGGTACAGGTTGATTGGAGGCTCGTTAGGTTTGACGCTTTCGATCCTCAGGACGGCCACCATCCAGGGGAATTCGCCAAATTGGCTCTCGCCGTCGAGGTTGCCGGTTATGCGGAAACCGACGCCGTCGGGGTTGCGGCGGCCGCAGCCAGCACGGGGTGGCTGCGGGGAGGGAGGAATGCGTTCGTCCGAAGGGTCTTGACAACACACGTCCAAGTAGCTCTCGCATGTCGGCTCTTTTATTCTGCAAAATTCAACCAAATTTCAACTTTAATCTAAATTAATCATAATTCATAATAATAAAGATTAAAATTAGTTTAGGAAAAAATTAAAAATAATATCTTGACTTTAACTAGGAGCTTCAGATATTATACTAAAATTTTTCCATGAGGTAAATGAAAATTTTACTGATATTAATATTCATCCTTAATTGGGGTGATATTAATGTATTTTGGTGAAAGATTTATCAATTTTGGTCAGGCCAATTTTAATAAGAAAATAATATTAGAAAATTCCCTCTCATAAGAAACAAAATATAAATTTCGTATATTCAGTTCACTCAATGAGTTCAATTTTTCTTTAAACGTCTCCGGAACTTAAATATTATAAAAACCAATGCTAATGTAGAGAAAATTTACCATCAAAATTAATCGGACCGTTTTTTTTTTAAAGAATATTTTATAACTTATAATATATTTTAATTGAAATTAATATAACTGGGTCAATTTTAAATGACCTCATTAATCAACCGCATTTTCTTCCTGCCCTCAACCGCATTTAAACGTTTTTTTTTTTTTTTATTATTGTTGTTTGAGCTTTGATAATGAACAATTATAAAACTGCCTCTGTTGATTTTGTGAGAATATCAGCGGAAGTGGTTCAGGATATTTTGTGCTCCTTTTTCTATCAAAATGGGATTGTTGCCAAGCGTTCTGATCGGGCACAACTTTTTCATAGATTTCAGAGCAACAATGAGAAATGAAAATTAATTCTCACCTGATGTCAATGACTCCTTCTCCATCAGTCTTGATTGTGCCGTTCTGACACAAATAGTACGGGACGCAGGTGCACGAAAGGGGTGCTTGACCCACGACCGTCGTTCCCCGGAATTGTTCATTGTTTTTTGCGTTCGGAGGCGCTGGAGTGAAAACTTGCTTTATCAGGTCATCGAGATCTTTGCCGTTGGCCTGTTGGCAATGCGCGAATCCATGACAAACCAAAACCACCAGAAAAGCACACGCCAGGTGACGCATCCTGCAAATGCACAATAAAAATTGTTAATAAAAGTCTCTAATTGTTTGAAAGATACAATCGTGGGTGTTTTATCTCGTTGTAAAAAAAAAAACACAACAACACTAATTGTCAGAGCAACTCGTGGACACGTTTGTGGCCAATGAACTTGAGCCAAGTCTCGGACAGACAATTATCTGAAATAATACTAGGCACATAAATTAACTACAGAACTGGATTATCTAGGTTTCTACGTCCATTAAGCGACGGTCATTATGTAAAATAGACTGCACATAATGAGACTATTTTTAATTAAGTTACCCAATGAGTCGTGAATATTTCTCAACTTTTTTCAAGTAAGAATAAATTAGGCAGCAATATTTTGATTAATTTTCAAAAGAATTTAATTCTGCTCATGCTTAATTTTATCTATATACAATTTTGTTTGTTTCACTTTCGATATTTTTCACCGTGCGAGTGACCTTGTAGAAAGGGAAAACGTCTGTTGTATGCGCGATTCACTTGTCGATTAGCTCGGGTGACATTTATTCAGTATGACTTAATGCAAATTATGATATCATAAATATTTAAATTAGAGAAAGTAGCGTGGCCCTGCAAATTGAAAATATTTTGAGAACAAATAAAAGTGACGCGAACACACACGATTTTAAATTGATGCCTGCCTTAGTTTTTACAGTTATTCCCCTCTGTTTGTTGGCTCGCCTCGGCGTTATGTATTAAAGCTATTTAATACCCAAGTAAGCTATTTAAAGTCGCATGACCTTCTGAAAAATGCAAATAATAACCTGACTTTCAGTTCAATGCGCTTAAAAAATTAGCAAATCATCACTGTTGGAACTAGGAAACCGACGAGCGCATAAGGGGAGAAAAATTTTAAATGAATAAGCAAATATAGTCCTGCGAGTCTTTGGCATTAGCAAATAATAATCATTTGTTCCTCAAGATTTTACCACGGCCAATAATTTTAACTGAAGTTTAGTAATTAACAGGGTTTTTTTTGTTAACCATAATAATTTCTAAACCAAAATGTTATTTTTAAATCAAAACTTGCCTGTTGATTGTTGTTTTTGTGTGGTGGATGTGTTTGTTGCTTCCCAACTGCGATGCTTTAAGAACCTCTCCTGAGTAGTGGAGCCCGATGAGACCTTCAAGCTCTGAAAAGGCACCCACCGCTTTTCTCCTCACTCGGTGCCTCCACGCCAGTAATTATATATGCTGTGCCAATGGCTTCTTTTGAATTTGAACCCAAGCGCACAATTTATAAGCTAAATTTATCATCATTTTTCTTCCACTGCTCCAGATTTTCAAAGGAATTCACTAAATTTTCTAATCTGATGATTCATCTTTTTCACCACAGAAAAATTAATATTTTACAAGATCAGTGTCTGTGTCGTTTACGCAATCACATTACCAAGAATTAAAATTATTTTTTTCCTCCTTTGAGCAGTGGACGGTGCTGAATAATAATATTTTTCTCGCCGTTCAATCCTCCTTGGCATAAATTCATCGTAGACGTTGCAAATTCACTAGAATTCTCTCTCTCCGCACAGTTTTTTTTCTTCTCTTTAATTGCGGCAATTCAGATTCTCAGTCTAGCACCGACCACGGGAAAACCAAAGGTCAATTCAACCTTCGCACATTATTCCATCGGCGCTCACACACTAATACACGCTTTTGATTGATCGGAAAATTCCTAAAATGGAATTTATTTTTTATTCTTTTAGTACGGCATTGTATTTGACGCTGGCTCGACGCACACCGAGATGCTCCTCTACACCTGGGAGAGCAAGGAGTGGTACGAAACGGGTTACGTCCGCCAACTCAGCTCGTGCTATCTTGATGGTCTCTCGTCCAATGATTAAAAATTTTAATTAATTCATTGCTCTATTGTTCTGAAAAAAGGAGGCATTGGGGAACTCTTTGTTGATGATCCGTCCGGAGTCCAGAATTACTTACTGCCGTGCTTATCCAACGGCACGGAACAGATTCCAGCCGACAAACATTGGAACAGCCCTGTTTATTTGGCAGCCACGGCTGGACTTCGCATGCTGCAGTGGGTCAATTTTTTTAAATTATAATTTTATAATTGCACCCACTTTTGGCAAATGACAAATCGATTTTAATGAAATTTTGAGAATTGGTTGCCCTAACGATGTAGACAAATGTTTTAGAAGGATTATTAAAAATGCTCAAAATTGACTATTTTTAAAGGGAATCCATGTTGAAGATTTTGAAAAAGGTGTACTCGAAAATTTTAAATATCTAAGCTCCTGTTGCAGATAGCGCATATGTTTATATCAGAAAAGTTGAAGAGAATCATGGTGACTAAGGTCACAGGTCAAATTACAGGGTCACCTATTTCAGCTTGAACTTTTTCAGGTGCCACAATAGTACCTAGTAAACGAAAACTATTAATTCCTTTATAGCCTGAATTTGCTCTAGTTGATAATCAACAAAATATTTTAAAAATTTGCGAAGTAGTTTTTTGTTTAATTTTTTTAGGTATTCTTGGTCAAATTGCAAAATACGTGGTTTCCGAGCATTTTCATGAAATGATTGGAAATAGTTACCTTCCAACCGCCGTAACTTTGTTCCTTTAAGAGATACGCAAAAACGTGTAGTGACAAAAAAATGATCGTCTTGAAATTTTCTTTCGAACCTTGTATTGTACATGATGATTAGATTACCAAAAGGTCAATGACCTCGGTGACATGCGATTTTCCGGATAATTTTGCACATAAATGGAAAGAAGATGGTAGTTCAAATTTTTTCAGCCTGAAATTTTGTTTAAGAGGGAAGGAAAGAATTTTTTTTAAAAAAAATTAATAATTTTAAAAATTTTTAAAAATCCTTCTAAATTATTTTACTAAACCCTTAGGGCAACCAATTTTCCAAATGTTATTCAAATCGGTTTTACCCCTTGTCAAAAGTGTGGATATTAGAATTATTAGAAAATCAATGTAATAAACATTTTTTTTCCAGGATTGATAAAGGTGTTGCTGTAAATGAAATATTAGGCAATGTGTCTGAGCTTTTTAACATGTCTGGCTTGAAAAATCGAGAAAATAATGTTAAAATAATAACCGGGCAGCAAGAGGGTGTTTCCTCTTGGGTTGGCGTAAATTACCTGGCCGATTCCTTTCAAAAAGTAATTTATTTTAATTAAAAATAAAATAATTATTATCTATAAAAATGTCAATCTCAGTCTGTCACGACACTTGGAGCTCTCGATTTGGGAGGCGCTTCGACGCAAATCACGTTTGAAGTCGGAACCGACGTGGAGGTCGGAAGGGACAAAGTCACCCTTCGACTTTATGGCAAAGAGTACAATGTGACCGCCGACAGCTACCTGTGCCACGGCGTCAACCAGCTCATTTTAAGGCACGAGGTTTCGCTTTTAGAGGTGCGAGCAAAATTTTCCTTGCTGTACGTTAATTAAATGTTGCAATTTAAAGACAGCGGAGGCGGCCGAGTCTGTGACGGTGGAAAACCCTTGCCGCGCTGTCGGCATGACCCTGGAAAGGTCAATATCAGACATGCGAAATCCGTGCACTGAGACAATCTTCTTGCAAAATGTGAGGAAACTTTCCTTATAACAAACGAGGATTAATTTCATTGTCAACACCAGTTCCAAAACGTCACGTTCCAAGGCACTGGAAACGCTGATTTGTGCGCTGAGCAGCTGAGGAAAGTTATCAGCGTCGAGTACTGCAAGGCAACCTTTGTGAACACTGGAAATTGTATGGAGGATCTGCCACCAGCCAGACCCAACGGCAAAGAATTTTTGGTACATTTTTATATTTAAAAAAAAAATGGATTTTCCGAATTTGAACTGGTTTAAAATCAAAATAGGCGTTTTCCACTTTCTTCTACATTGCGTCAGGGTTCAATGCTACGGAAAACTTAGGAAGTGCCGAATTCCTCGCAAAAGTCAATGAAGTTTGTGGTCTCACAGAGGAAGCTTTGAATTCAACTTATTTTCCCGGTATAGCAAAAATTAAAGTGTAAATTTTATTATAATTATTTTTTAAATCAGAGACGGGAGAAAAGTACAAAAAAGACATGTGCTATGAGGGACTCTACATGTTCTTGTTGCTGAAGGAGCAGTATAGTTTCACTGAGGAAGAGTGGGTCAACACCAGATATGCAGACAAGGTGTCTATTTAGAGATTTTTTTTTTTTAATTAAATTGAATTTTATAAAAAAACTGAAACCGGACGAATTATGAGAAAAGAAAAAGGATAAATATGACAACTGACCCAAAAAAAGAGACCTGCAATTTTTGTTTGAATTAAAATCTCCAAATCTAAATTTTGATTTTTATGAATTCCTCCAACTCGCCAACTTAATCCTTGTTGTGGACACGACAAAAACCCTAGGTTTTTAAAGAACCAGTCAGTTGTCCTATTCCTTTTTTCATTTTTTCTTTGTGACAAGGTTCGCCCGGTTTCAATTTTTCATGAATCCACCTCAAGTTTTTAACATTCAATTGAAATTTAATTTGTCTTCTCTAATCTAATCGATTTAGATAAACGGCACTTCCGTCGGCTGGGCGTTGGGATTCATGATTGAAAACACGAACGTGATTCCGATGCAGCGCCCACTGCCCTTACTGCCGGTCGCTTGGTTTGTGATCCTCTCGCTTCTCTTCCTTGCCATGATCGGCCTTTCAATGTGGCTCGCAATTAGTGCACTTAAATTCAACGGCGCTGGAGGCAACTTCAATCAAACGCAACCCATGTACGGCGCACTTGCATGAAAAGCCAAAAGAGCACCAAAATTTTTTAACACGTCCTTTCATGTTGAAGGTCAACGGCGACAACAACTACGACAACAACGCCGAAAACAAAAAACCGCAAGGAAAAATTTTGAAAAAATTTTGAAACTTGTAAGGTTTGATAACACATGTATATTTAATATACGTGAACTTTCACATGTCAATCAATTTTTTCTTCGTTTTTCTCGCAATTACTTACAGAGAGATAGAACCGCTAAAACATGCAACATTTTTCAACTGTGTCGTAACTTTTATTTCCTTAAAATTTAGATATTATGCAGACAATGGTTTTTGAGTTTTGGAAACACGCAGATTATTAGTTTTGACTGGATTTCCACACTCGCGTCGTATATGCACTTTCATTCAACCTCAAACTAATAATATTTTACTCTCAGGCATTTTCGCCAACTTGACATAAACTAAAGAAAATTCACATATATATCACGAATATATATGAGAATAAAAACACGAATAAGTATATTGATGAGATAAGTTCCTTGGATATTTAGCTGAAATGCGTTTCATTCATATTTTGCATATTTTTTCATATGATTATGATTATAACTTCAGTTATGCACACTTACTTCAAAATGACCGTGTGTCCGAAAAGCCAGCAAGACACATTTATTTCCGACTCGCTTTGACTTGAGACCTTACATTTACATACTGCTTTGATTTATATACTAGGTGCGTTATTTCTTTTGTTTGCTGTGTTCGTTTCAACGACACTTTGATCTAATGAGACATTCGCGCGCTTAAATTATGCTTTTATGAAATATAACACAAGGCATATGATTCTCAATAATAAAATACGGCGCCTCCGCACCGTATCGCTCATAGCTTAACGTACAGTACATTTATGTTTTGATGCATAAATTTCTGCAAGTGTTCGAGTTAAAGCGTGAAAAAATCGTCAACAATAATTTCAGATACTCGCGAACACAAAGCGTTCAATAAAACCTTTTCATTTTTGGCCTTCGTTTGATATGTTATGTGAGAACAGCTTGTTCATGAATTAAGCACCGAAGCAGATTTCGCTAAGCTTTTTGTAGTACATTTTATCAGTTGTATAAAAAAAATGAACAATCATGGCCGAACTTTATTTTTCCGCACTCGGAATCCAGAATTCATCATCTTGAGCAAGCCAAACAATGCGAGAAATAAATTAAATATATGTTCCGGATGGCAGTTTTTATTATAATTCTGAATGCCTTTTTCATCTTGCGAAAACAAGAAGGAGCTGAATGTGCGCCTATGAAAATTCAAATTAACTGTTTCATGCTTGAATGTGTCAGTGTATTATTGTATATAGTTTTTTTATGACCAGTCGTTTATAAAGTTGATAGTGTTTTTGTAATCGTGCATCTCATATATATCTTGTTACTTACATTTTCAACTAATTACATTTGTGATTGATAAATTGTGAAATGATGCAACTTTCTTGCTCTCTGTAACTTTTGTCCACCCCTTTTAACGTTTGGGCAGACGAATTCAACTGGCAGTTAAATTAAGACTATTTCTCCTCGTCAGTTTTCACTGAGAACAAGTTATCATATATGTTATTTAATTATATATGCTTTCAATATTATGGTGTCTGTGTAGTGAAACAAACTAATCAAACAACTATAAATCCCCTTTAAACATCCAACCTCGTAATTTGCAAAATGAACGAAATTTGAAATCATGATTCCAAATAAATGACACCACTAGATTAAAAAAATTGGTCACCAAGCTGCTGTATGTTTTGATGGCTCTTGGCAATTGAACTATTGATCCCTGAAAACAATATATCCACATAAGTTCGATTAGTGAAAAGTTTAAATATTCAATGTGAAAGTAAAGTATCTTGTTGTGATGAAATAAATAATTGTACTTAGTTTACAAAACATTTCATTGTTGTGCAATTCACATTCTGGTAAAAAGCACTTCAAAATTGAGAAAATTTTCAAATTTCCCCTAAACTGAATAGTTTTTTTTCTTACCTTCTTGTGGGGCTCAAATTGTGTCTGCAGCTTGGGATGAGGCAGTCTATTGTAGCGAGTACTGAGTCTGATCATAATACTGCTGTTGGCCGAAAGCCTCCTGGCGGAAAGGGTTGGTTGGGGCGGCGCCTGGCACGTCCAGAGTTGGCTGACCCTGCTGGTAAGTGGCGCCGTAATCATTTCCGGCCATGTCCTGCAATCTGCTGCTGGAGAGGGCCCGCGGAATCGGGTTGCTCGGCACGCCGTGCGGCGCCAAATGAGCCGTTTCCTCAGCCACCTTCAAAGGATGCAAATTTCGGTTTTATATTGAAAATTCATTTTATTAGAACTTTTACTTTATGAGGATCGATTTCAGGCGGCAAGTCGGAGACGAATCCGGTGTCCTTTTGATAAAAGTTGATGAAGATAAAAGCGCCGAGCACAAACAAACAGCAAACGCCGTAGCCTCTGAAAGTGGTGGTTGTGCCTAGAGATGTTTCAAAATTGATAATTGTCCGGAATTAAAACTAGTCAATAAGGTTACTGACCAAAGTAGTTGACAAACAATCCGCCAATAACCGCCCCACATCCTCGACCCAGTCCGTGATGAATTCCCTGTAAGACTCCCTGTGCTGATCCGCGAAGATGCTGAGGCGTGTTGTGCGCAATGTATGAACAGCACGCTGCCCACACGGCGGCGTGAGTAATGCCTAAAAATTAAAAAAAAAAAATAATTTCCTCAGAATAATTAATTTAAAAAAAAAATGCATACCTTGCATGAACTCAAATGGAAGGACCCACCACGGATTTTTCAACCACGAAATGTATAGGAACCGAATAACATTGCCCACGAGACCGACACACAAGACCTATTTTTAACAAAACACATAGAAAATTGTGATCTTGAAGCAAAAAATATTTTGTACCTTGACGTGGCCCATTTGTCTAATGAGCCGGAAACTGAAGAAATAAGCGAAAATCTCTGATATGTGATTGATGACGGACGCCACCCCGAAAAGTGTCGGGGAACCACCATAGTCCTATTTCACAAATTAATGTTTTTTTTTCGCAATTACCATTTCTTTTATATCTTTACCTGGAGATGCCAGAAAAGGAAAGTGAAAATAAGGCCAATGCCGAAACCCATGAACCAGGCCACGAACAAAAAGGAACCGCATTTGATGTTGTTGAACTGCTTCAGGACGGTCACCCATTCGGGCATTTTGCGCATTGTTTGGGCGAAAACTTTCGTCTGGGAAAATTCGCAAAAATTAAAATTTGGATTTTTTATATTAAATTTTTGTTTGCTTGCCTTTCCAATGAGTGGTGCGGCTTGGGGCTGTGCCGTAGGTTGAGCGTCCGAACCTGCCAAGACGGTTTCTCCGTGGAAGACGAGCGGAGGCTCAGGAACAACGGGGGCTTGATCCACGATCTGAGGCATTTCCATGTCAGGGTGCGGCTCGTACCTTTGATTAAGAATTAAATTTAATGAAAATGAATGATTTTTGGACTCACTTAAAGTTAATCTGCGTGGCTGCGAGGAGAGCGGCGCCCATCAGAACGGAGAACGTGGCGAAGCAAATTGTGTAGTTCTTCTCCTTGTCTTCAGGTCCGCAGGGGTGGTCGGGGAAAGCGGTTGAGTGGTCAAGAGCGATGCCAACGAAAAACATGGCCAGACCCCAACCCAGCGAGCCGAACATTCTTTGGTGTCCATACCGGTCGGCGTCTTCGCCCAAAATCGTGATTACAGCGGAATCGGCCAGTGTGACTGAAAATTGAAATTATTTTAATCGATTTTTTAATTTAAAATTATGAAAGTACATTAAAAATATTAATTATTTAATATATAATTGATATAATTTTTTATAATTGTATTTAAATATTTTTATGTACATTTAAAAAAAATCAAGATCTCAACAAAGTTTGGGATGTTCACGCAAGACAACTTATCAACAAATTAATATAAAAATACGTATAAGATGATCTCTAAAATTAATTACAAGACCAATTTAAAAGTGAATAATTTCCTCACTAATAAAAATTCTAGCATTAGCAATTTAATTTCCTCAAATAATATTGACATTTACACAAAAGACAGTTTTGAACAGATTTTTTTTAGTATTTTGATTTCAACAAAGGCTGAAATAACCTCTGAACGTTTCAACTTGAGCAAAGGCAGATGGAAAAAAACTTTTATGAACACTTAGATCTGAACGCCTTACTTGCTGGGGCTGCGAAGAATTCGCCAATGATCACCAACAGCAGCAGCAGGAAAAAGGCCTTCTGGATGTCGCTCGTCCTGTACACGATTGAGCTAAACCAGGGGGACACCCAGTTGTCGTTGGCCAGAGGGTCGTAGTTGCTCGCGTAGGTCACCTTCAACGGCGACAACCCCGCGGGCACGTGCGGCCGAGCTCCCCTCTTTACGCGCGTTTGCTGAAAAGGCGCGATTTAGTCCGTCAAAAGTTGCGCGTGAATAATTAATTTTTTTATACTTGTTCCTGCTGATCGTCTACGAAGCTGAGAGAGTGGACTCCGGGCGGCACGTCGAGTTCACCGCCCTCGGAGGTGATGAGCGCCTCCCGTCTGCGTCGCATGTTGCGGACCGGATTGTCGGGGGCTTTGAGGACGTAGTCGGTGGCGTTGCGGCGCAAAATGCACGAGGTGGCTGGCGGCTGGATGAAGCCCAACGGCAGGGTGAACACAATCCAGCTTGCGAGGGAGAACAAAAGCAGCTGCTTTCCTTTTTGATGCCTAATTTAATGATTTAAAAAGTTCATTTTTACTCTAAATTAATAAATTATTCATCAAACTATTAAATTCATATCATTTCTAATTTTATATAAAATATATTTGTAAAATCTGGTTTTTAACGAGATTGAAGATGGCAAAAAAAAAAGATTTCACAATTTCATTTCTTAATGAATTTATAATTATTTTGTAAAATCTCCATTTTGGACATTAATTAATTTACATTTTTTTTATAATAAAAACCATTTCACTATTTAATTTTGTTATTATATTTAAAAATATTTTCTAAAATCTCCTTTTTAAACAAGAATTAAAACTTATACAAAGAAATAATTTGCAATTGAAATTAAATTATAAATTTTAAAATAATCTCTTCAAATCTCGTGTTCTTTTAATTAAGATTTAATATCATATTGTATACATTTAAAATTATCTTATAAAATATTGTCCAATATATTCAGTAAAAAAAAATATTGTGCTAAATTTACCTGTCAGCGAGGGATCCCCAGAAGGGCGCTGCGAGGAACTCGATGAATGGACGAAAGCCGATAAGGACGCCGCACTGTCCCGGGTTCATGCCCATCTGCTTGAAGTAGACCCCCATGAGGGGAAACAGAGAGCCAAAGGCCGAGTAAAAGAAGAAGTAGAAGCTCTTGACGGGCAGCAACTCTTGGTCGACGCCGCCGCACAGCATTTCGATGATGTCGTAGCGGCCGCGGATCTTGTTGGTGCTCTCCTTGGGGGCGGCGTACTGGGCAGGGTCGACCTCGCCCGTGGCCGAAGGGTCCACCTGCGGCCGCACGCCACCCTTGGGCGCCCCTGGCTGTTGCGGCGCGTACTGGCCATAATCCTCGCCGTAATTCATCTTGACCCTGCTCAAAAATATAATTAAAATATATGCAAAGTGTTTTTACCAAAAAACGAAAGAAAAATACACAAGAAATAGGCTTACGAGGGAAGGAGCCTATTTTCTTCAGGCTTATTTTACGACCCCTTGGCGGCGCAGCCAAAAGTGTGCTTTCTTGGCTCAGTTTTAATGCTGAAGACCCAAGAGTGAAAAAATCTTATATTGTAGAGAAATATTACACAACGTTTGCGATGTGAACTGGTAATAATTTTTTTAACAACGACGTTATCATGATCATCAGCACTAACAATTTTGAAATGATTTAAAATCAATGCGTCGAGGAAAGTGTTTTAAATAAATTATCATAGAATTTTCATTGGTTTTCACAAAATTATTTGTCTAAATTAAGGGAATTAAATAAGATAATATTATTTAAAGAAATATGGTTTCATCAAACTGAAAAACAGCACAGTTTTTAAAAACACAGAAATCTCATGTATTTGTACTTTGACTGGCGCAATTTTTTATCCGGTGACCCTTCGATGAATCAAAATTCTTTTTAAATTGATTTGCAAATCTGGATCACAAAAGAAATAATTATTAAAATTTCGCTCACCTGAGCCAAGGGCAGTCAGGCTGCGGTGCTGAGGTGTCAGGTCGAGCAAGATGGAACCCTCGGTGGCGCGCACTGGGGCTGGTATTGACCCGTGACGTCACCAGGTCCCCTTTCACACTCGCACCCACATAGGCAACCCGCAGGCGCACGTTCAGTGTGAGTGGGCCGGAGAGCGCCGATCGATGCCCTTAAATTATGTTTTGCTGTTTCTCGCGTGTACTCCACCAAGCAAGCGCTGTTGATTGAAAATCGACTCGACGCCGCGGATTATTTACTTTCGATTGCTAAACATATAACTTAATTACAAATTTAGAAATCAATTGCAGATTTCATTGAGATAAAAAAAAAAGAAATTGGTGCTTTCAGTTATAATTTTTGTATTGTTTCATATAAGTTATTTTACTATGATTAAAAAAATTTACTGAAGATAATAAAAGTTTTAAATATATATTTCTAAAGTAAAATAAAAATTATATTAAATTAACGTCCCGGGTAATATTAACATAATGAAAATCCAGAAAACAGAGTGAAAAAAAGTAAAGCAAAATAATTTATGTTTTTAATTAATTTTAATTTGATTATATTGATGATTTTATATGAGGATTATTTTGAAGATTTTATTTTCATTTTCGAGCCTTATTATTTATAATTTACCAGCTTTTGTGCTGATATTCCGCTACTGCCAAAGCATCCACCAGATGTCGGTGAAAATAACAAAACCTGCCAGCGACTATGTTGTTTGTCTTGTCGCGGCGCAAGGGACATGCAAGAAAAGAGCCCTAACGAGTCTCGTGATAGCAATCTGGATCACCTGAAGGGCTGCTATCGCCTGCACTGCTGCAACTGCAGCAAAGTCCTGGTCTCCGAAGCCCAGGGCCTGATCACGGATTCCCACGGGGCCCTGATTTTTAAGGGCGAGGAACAAACCTGTCCTGACGCTTCCCTTTGGTATTTGAAGGAAGGGCTTTGGCCCTCCTGGATCGAAGAGCAAATTGTTGAAGTACACAGATAATTTTATTTTTTGTGTAAAATTAAATTTGTGTTTCAAAATTTTTAGTCCGGCTGGACCAAAGGGCGGCTGTGCTGCTTGGCCTGCAAAAACCGCATCGGTGCTTTTGACTTTGTCAGTGGGGCCCAGTGTTTGTGCGAGGAAAAAGTCGTCAGGCCGGCCGTGCAAATCACAAGAGCAAAGGTCGATTTGAAATCGGTTCGTAATGGATGAACGAACAGAGACTGACGAAGGCCCGATTTTCAACGAGCAGGCCAAACGCAACATCCAAGCATTCGGACTTCTTTTCTTCTACAGCTGCTTGATGTTCACATTTCCCTTCGGGGCCTTCTATGGGACGAGATGGGCCGTTTCTCACTATTGGGACGTTGAGGGTTTTAGGAACACGTGTTGGTCGGTGGCTGCAGCCGTAGTGACCATTCACATAATTGCATTTTCTTATGCATATCAAGCCTATCAGGAGGAAAAGAAAGAGGCTGCTTTGGTAGAAGGACGGGAGAGACTCAATGAGAAAATCGATTAAATGTAAATTAATGTCTATACAAATATAAAGAAATAACTGGAATTGTACACATAAACCACGTCTTTATTTATTATATTACATCAATAATGCAGCTTTAATTACATTTTATTGGGGATGAAAATTTCACAATGTACACTTTGCGAGTTACCGAGGTTGCATTACAATATTTACAATCAAGTAAAAATATGAGGCTCTATTTATGAAATAGATATTACAGAACTTAAAAGCCAAGTCAGCTTAGCAGCTTCTTGAAAAAGATTTAATTCGAAAAGTCATTGTGATCGTACAAATTTTGGTCATAAATTTCTGCTCTTACAAGTCGCCCTCCAAAATATCTTCCATTCAGGGCATCTCTTGCAACAATAGCTTCTGCAAATTTTAAATTAGTTAGTGTAAAAACATAGATTAGATTTTTTCCAAATTTACCTCCAGCCTTGATAAACTGAACAAAGATCTTGACAATAATGTCATCAACGGCATCCTCATCGTCCGTTTGCTTCTCTTTGTAAATGATAACTCGGTCAACATTTCCGAACCTACCAATAACAAAAAAGTTAGAATTTACTCCAGATGTAAACAATTTGTTACATACTTGCTGCACTCATCCTGGATCTCTTCTTGAAGAGTTTCGTCCACTTCTTCAGGCCCAACCATGTTTCTTAAAATTACCACCCGGCTCTAAAACAGAAGTTTCGTTAAATTCTTTGTTACGAAATCTAAAAACGAAATCATTCACCTCAGTCTTTCTCATCAGCTTTTGCATGACCAAATGTCTAGCACTTTGTCCCTTAATACTGAGATTTTCCTGCGCCTGCAGTGTTTGTGGCTCAGAATCATCCATAAGTTTTTTCTGCAGTTCCTCTTGCTGTTTCTGCAGGGAAAAAATATTATTTTAATAATTTTCTTTTGATATGTTTAAAAATTTTACCGCAGCCTGTTCTTGTGCTTTTTTGAGGGCCTCGTTTGCATGATTTTGTACCTGGACCTGTGGAAGAATAGAGGGAGAGACTGCAACTGGCTGAACAACAGCTTGATATGCTAAAAACAAATTATAGTGAATACAGTTGCAACATATTTAGAAAAGAAAAGTTTTACGAGCAATTATGGGAGGCGTTGAGCCGAGCTGTGGGATCGCTACTCCCGGAGGTGGAATCACGACTGCCGCGCTAGGTGATAGGCCCTGCAAGCCGACGACAGGTGAGAGTCCAGCTGGTGGAACAATTGGGGGCTTGACAGGGGCGGCCGTCGTCAACTTTGAGAGTCCGAGGGCCATCGCGTTGCTGGCCACAGCGTCCATGGCCTGAATTTTGGCCGTGGCCGCTGCAGCAGCCACCGCTGCGGCTGTTGGCATCTGGCTGGCGGCCACCAAGGGTTTGGTTGCCGTGTTGACTTGAAGGGCGTTTGGAGGAGTGATGGCCCGGCCAACTCGCAGATACTGTCCACCGAGGTCGAAGAGGTTCATCGAAGATATCGCTTCAGTCGTGGACTGTGCGGTGTCGTATTCGATGAAGCCGTAGCCTTTGTGTTTGTTTGGAGAGCTGCCAGGCGCTAGTCTGCAGGTTTTGATGGGGCCAAACGCTTCGAACACGCTGGAATTTTCAACTTGAGCTAATTTTCTAGATTAAAATGAGATCTTTTGGTACCTCTTGATGTCGTCTTCAGTAAGGTCGGGGTGAATTGAAGCAACATAAATACGGTTGTAGAGTTTTGCTTCCTCGGTAATGTCGTCTATGACCGACTGAGCCTGGGGCATGTTACTAGGGCGGCCGACCTGGAAGGCAGATTTGAGTTTGGAACTAACTTTAGACAGGGTAATTCAACTTACAGAGAGGTTAAAACTGCACTGAAATACAAAAGAAAAAGAAATGTATCATGCACTAACCATAAAAATAATACAGGAAAATAAGGAACAAAAAATCCTGAACCAAAAATTAATCAATATGTACAAAGAGGCCGATCTACATACGGATATTAGCAAAATAAAATGTTATTGAGAAGCAGCGAGTGGATGAGTGGTTTAATCCTCTGCCACGATACATACCACTTTGATGTTTCTTCCTCCGATCATGACTCCGTTCATCTGCTCCAAAGCGAGCTGGGCCGCTTCGGGAATGTCATACTCTACAAATGCAAATCCTTTGTGTTTCTGGGTGACCGGATCCCACGACATGTTGATCGACTTGATTGGGCCAAAAGGCAAAAATGCCTGCCTTATGGTGTCCTCCTTCAGTTCGAAGCTTATGCTTCCCACATAAACTCTGAAAAATTACTCAACTCAATTTCAAACAAAACCATCCAATAACTAATTGCTAAACTTTTCAAAAAGGGTCAGATCTTATCAGCGAAAAAATCATATGAACGTCAACTGCACTGAAGCAGGAGGTCCAGTCACGTAGTATAAATTAATCAAGCCCTAAAATTTAAATATCGATTGAAATATTTTAAATACCTGCACATGAGTGCCAGCGCCTGTTGTCTTTGGACCAGCGTTCTCTGACTTGCCATCAACTAAAAAAATAAATTGAAATATTATAACAGTATTAGAAAGGGCAGTGTTAAAAATATACCTGCTGCTGATGTGCTAGTGTTTGTTTCATGAGGACCATCTTGATACTTTGCTCCATGGCATACTTCTTGGCTCGATTCACATGCTCCTGCTGCTCGGATGACAATTTTGGCAGGCCGTGGCCAAGAAGGCCTTGCAGAATGACATCTCTTTTAGCTCCGGGCCCTGGATTAATTTAAGTATTAATAAAAAAATTTAAAATTTAAAAAGAATTATACCTGCTGTGAGCTGCTCAGTCTGTTCGATATCCGAAATGGGAGTGTGAGGGAAGTCGTAAGAAGCTGGCACCATCAACTCCACTGAAACGGAAAGTCAAATTAGGAAGGCGGCGGAGAAGGAGCAAGATTGCATGCTTTGATGACAATTTTGCACTTTACTAAATATTTAAAACTAAAATGGTGATTTAAGAGTAATAGAGTGACATGGTAATGCTAGTAAAAAGTTACTTAATTTCTCAATCACAAATGTATTTGCTTTGTTTCTGCTGAAAGTTCAATCCCGGGACTAATTATTTTTGAACAAAGTTTACCAAAGAAACATTGGCGCGAGACGGGCCAAAGCCCTCTCAAAGCCTATCACAAGGGATGCAGTCAGCCACGTGAGGGGCAGTTCTGTAATCACATTACGCCCTACGCTTATTTTCTTTAACTCTTTCCTACTTAATCGAATGATTGGTTCAAATTTGCAATTTACAAATACAAAAAAAAAGAAGTCAACACCCTTCACAAGAGCTTGCTTCGTCCTGCAACAAACACCACAACCACAAATCAACCAAATTCAACTGCTCTGTTGAATTTGGTTCTCGACATTCACTCCAAATTTTTTTTGGTCTGTCCGCCCCTGTTACTTATTCGGAATAAAAAAAGACCATCCATTCACTCTTCCGCAAGCACACTTTAGACATAATGAGCACGGATTTGATCAAGACGCAAGCTGACGTCAACAGCTCGTGCGGGGTTGGTGGCTCGGCCAGTGTCTGAGAGTGAAGAGCCCTTATTAGAACCCTGTCTTTGATATTCTCTGTAACGAAAGAGCAGACGAACAAGAGTTGAATTGATTGAAATGTGAGAGAAGAATGGGGTCTTTGTATAAAAATAATTTAAAAATATATATATTAAAAAAGTGTGATCAATTTTTCAGAGTCCGTTTGCGCCTCTCTACGATTGATTTCCCCTCGACAGTGGGAAGTGGCGGCCACACTTGCTCTTACGTCACCACCCAATAGATCTGAAATCTCCAGAACACACCAAAAATGTGCTGTTTAGTGCTGGTTCGCGATCCTTCAGGTCGTAAAGTATTATGTGCTCACTTACCTGAGTATTTTTTTCACTCTCAATTGTACATTTTTTTATAAATCAACATTTTTTTGATAAAATTTGATACTTTTTGCGGCAGCACGCTAGCTCTCGATCGCTTTCTTTACAACGGCAAAACATCTGAAAACACTAAAAACCCATAAAACTCGCAGTAAATGCCCCTATCAATTTGCTTCTTGTCGCCAATAGAATTGAATTGATGCAATTTCTCATGTGGAGCGAAAGGAGGGCGATTCGGCGTCAGAAAACTTACTCGGTTCCATTCCTGGCGGCACAGGTTCGACGCCCGGAGGACCACCAGCCTTAAGAAGAGAAAATCAGTCAATTTATTCGAATTGTTCTCAATTAAAAGCCGGTTAATTTGATTAAGTCAATGACAACACTACTCACAAAGCCACCATTGGTGTAGGAAGCAAAGCTGGTATCGGTGGCCATGTCCGTAGCTGGCGTCTCGGCGTTATTTTTTCTCTGAAACACGAGCAAGAGCGCACTTGAGAAACGACTTGTGCCGTTCAGCCCGCGGGTCCGACGCCTCCGAACGAACGAGCCAGCTACACTGAAGGACTAAATGCGCAGAAATTTCGCCACGGGCCCGATTCCGCAAGGTAAAGATGTCCGAAATCGATGGACCAGATCTCGGACTCGGCGACGTCCACACAAATCAAATCAAATTGTATTTCTGGAAAATTGATCGCGGCCGCCACCTGTCGGCAGCAATACGAAGCAAAACCCAAGTTGACTCAAATTCAAATTTGCGGCGCGAAAGGAATTATTATTATTATTATTTATTCTTCTCGGTCTGTACAAAAATGCAGTGACATTACTTTAGAACAGAAGTAGTTGAGTTTTGCATTTCATAACAATTACTACAATTATCTTAGCGCTCTAGAAATAGTCTCATCATTGCAATTTGTAAATATTTCACTTTCATTTGAGTTTACACTTTTTATTCATTGGCCGCGAAATACATTTTTAAGAAAAAATCAATAAATTTATTCTGGCTCTTTTAAAACGTGGCACGCACCTCTGTTTATTGCACCATTTTATGCTTTCCCACTCGCAGAACATTATAAAGGCAGGTTCAACAACGGACATATCGTAAAAATACTAAAATTTTTCGACCGGAATTAAATTTTTCAGACAAAAATCAATAATTATTATCTGGCTCTTTAAAACTGTGGGAAGCACCTCTTTATATTGCTCTATTTTATTCTTTCGCACTCACTGAACACGAAAAAGGCAGGTAGAATAAAGATATAGCGCTAAATAATGAAAATAAAATTCATTTGATATTTTACTAAGAAAATAACTTTCAATATTGACTCGGTTTGGCCAGCGCGTTAGAATAAATTAAAATTAAGTTCTTTAACACGCGCTAGAACAATAAAATTTAATAAAGATATAGCGGCTAATTGTAAGTGATAAAAATTAAATTTATGAATCCAGCTTTCAATATTAGAGAAATGATTCTCGTGCCAGTCAACGCGCATAGAATCTCGCGCGCAGTGATTCTGGCAAAACGATTTTATTATTGCTTCTCGCGCAATGATTCTCGCGAAACGATTCTTGACTGTAGTGAATTTCCATTGAAACAGATTTATATGTATTAAAAACAAAATTCTAAACGTATTTTTAACGTTATAAAATAGATTAAATAATTATGATTTGAGAAATTTATCAAATTTACGCAAATTTATGTATTTCTTAGGGTGGATCCCAAGATCAGATGAAATGATTCTCACAGCAACCCACGCGTAAATATTCTTTAGCAATGATTCTGACAAAGATTGTTGTTGAAGAATGCGGTTTCGGATGATTTGACCTTTTGACTTTAGTTCTTCCTTCATAGGATCCGCCATGGACTTGAGCAAGCCGTCCACTTCTTCTACACCGTGGAAGGTTTTCGGATTGCCCCCCTAGCGGCTAGTTGGAGGTTTCGGAGGTTTGATTTAAATATAATTATTTTATATTTTTGAGATAAACATATATTGAAAGGTTTTGGACTTTGTGGCATCCCTGAGAACCTGATCAGCGGGTTGCTGACGACAGGGGTGAATGGCCTGACGGTGGCCAGCAACAACGCTGGCGTGGACACCTTTGGCCTGGGGCTGTTGCTCAAGAAAAGGCAAATCAGCAAAATGATTGCCTCGCACGTGGGCGAAAACGCAGAGTTCGAGCGACAGTACCTGAGTGGTGAGTTGGAGGTGGAGCTGACGCCGCGCAAGGCACGCTGGCTGAGAAGATCAGGGCTGGCGGCGCAGGCATCCCTGCCTTCTTCACCCCCACAGGTTTCGGCACCCTTGTGTCCGAAGGTGGCGCCCCTCTAAAGTATACGCACCTGGCGGCGCCAAGGTCGAGATCGCCAGCTCGGAGAAGGAGGTCCGAGACTACAACGGACGCAGCTACATCCTCGAGGAGGCCATCACTGGGGACTTTGCCTTGGTCAAGGCTTGGAAGGCGGACAAAGCTGGAAATCTCATGTTCAGGTTGGAAATTTTAACCATCAATGTTTGTGATCTAAAAATAATTTCTGATTTAGAAATACTGCTCAAAATTTCAACCCGTCAATGTGCAAGGCTGGAAGAATCACAAATCACAATTGCTGAGGCAGAGGAAATTGTTGAAATTGGAGAAACTTGACCCCAATCAAATTCATGTACCGCCTGGCGTTTATGTACAGCGCGTTGTAAAGGGAGAGAGTTACGAAAAGCGTATTGAGGTAATTCATCTTGTTAAATTTCATGAGACAATTTATGATGCAAATGAATATTTGTTTAATTTACATTTTGTCACCATTTAAACTCATGTAGTCAGTTATTCTTCTCAAATCCCCAGAGACTCACCCTGAAAAAGGCAGCTGGAGCCTAAAGCTCCACCAAAGTTAATCCAGCCACAGCGCACAGAGAGAAAAGAATTGTGAGAAGATCAGCAGCTTTTTGGAGTTTAAGGACGGCATGTATGGTGAGTTATTAAATAAAACCATATTATTTAAATTGAAGTTTTTTTTTTTAAATTTACATATTTAAGCCAATCTTCTGGGAATTGGCATGCCCATGCTGGCCAGCAACTACATCCCGGCAGGTCAGGCAGGTGTCAATGTAACTTTGCAAAGTGAAAACGGAATTCTGGGACTCGGACCTTTCCCTGAACCAGGTCAACAGGACCCTGACCTCATCAACGCTGGAAAAGAAACAGTTACCACCCTGCCAGGCGCTGCCTTTTTCTCAAGTGATGAAAGTTTTGCAATGATTCGAGGGTGAGTTTCTTTAAAATACAAATGGTTGAAGTTGAATTATAACATTAAATTTGAATCAAATTTCAGAGGACATGTCAATTTGACCATCTTGGGAGCCATGCAAGTCTCTCAGAGGGGAAATCTTGCCAACTGGATGATTCCTGTAAATTTTTATCTCAAAAAAGTAAAAAATATTTTCTAATTTATTTGAATATTTGCATTCCAGGGCAAAATGGTGAAGGGAATGGGAGGTGCCATGGACCTGGTGTCCGCACCTGGCACAAAAGTGGTTGTTACTATGGAGCACACAGCCAAGGGTGGTGCACACAAAATCTTGGAGACATGCAATCTTCCTCTCACAGGACAGCAATGCGTTGACACAATTATCACAGACCTTATGTCTTTCAATTTTGTTGATTGTGTTTTTAATTCTAGTTGTACTAGTGCGTCTTCCAAGTTGACAAGGAGGCTGGTGAACTGGAGCTGACCAAAATTGCTGAGGGGGTCAAAGTTGAGGAAATTGTTGCGGCAACTGGATGCACCTTCAGAATTGCCAGTGAAGTCAAGCCCATGGCGCAGGTGGAGGTTGATGAGTAAATCAACACTTTGTTAACAAGGCAGATATTGATTTTTTTATATTTGTTATTTTTTTATGTAATTATTGTGAACAATGAGTAATTATCTGCCTCAAAATAAAACTCTGTTATGCTTAAATAAAACAATGACAAAATACACATATTAAAAGTTTCGTTTATTTATACTAAAATTGTTTTTATGTAAATCTTATATCCATTTAGCCAGTACCAAACAGCTGCTTTGCAGACAATTAATTACTTAATACATTTGTGGGAGACAAATTAATTTAGAGTAAATAGTTTTGATACATTGCATTCAAAATTTCTCATTAAGTCATGAATGCCACATATAAAAGTCCAATTAGTTTGAAATAAAATAGTCTTCACAAGTTTCCAGGCAGCGCTACTGATTTCTCGATCCAAGCACTCTCCTTCCAGGTTCCTGAGACTGCTCCAAATTTTTGACCTATGCAGATCAAATCATCAGGCTATGTTGCAACCTTTATGCAAATTAAATTACCAAATTCACAGCAGCTTCTTGTAGCCGGTTCTCCACATCAGATGAACCAGTGGTTGTGGAAGAATTTGAATTTGAGGGAGAGTTCAATCCACTGTCTGGAACTTGCTAAAATTCAAAGTTAAACCCTTATTAGCAAAATAAAATAATTGTATTACATTTTGTTGTCTGTCTAACTCGGCGTAGTGCTTGGCCAACTCGGCGTAGTGCCTGGCCAAGATTCTGGGGGCTGGTGAGGAGAACTTGAGCTGCCGAGGGTACTCGCGTTCCTGTCTAGCAGGGGTGGCTCCAGTTGGGGCGTATTTGGTCAGCTCCGAGTTGACAAAGGTGACGGCCACCTGCCCAATGCTGTCGATGTAACCATTGGCCACCTCCCTGCCCTCGACGGCCACTTGCTGCATCATTTCCAGCTCTTGTCTGGACACCAGCTTTTGTTCCTCCAGTTCTTGGCCCTTTTGAGCGGCCATTGCAGCCACCTGTTGTTCCTTTGTCTGAACAGCGGCCTCAGCATTTTGTAGACAGGCGTCCTGAGCTGAAATGTGACTGGCCAGAGTTTCCATCTTGGAGGACGAGCTTGACTTGAAGTCAGACACAGCGTTTTGAAGAGAGATTTGTACTTCCTGCGCCTGCGAGTTGATCAGGTCTGAGGCAAGGGCAAGGGTGGAGTCTGCAGCAGCAACCTCACCCTGGGCCTCTCTGTTCTGCTTGGCTAGGGTCTTGTTCACGTTTGTGTATTTCTCCATCAGATTCTCCATGTTTTTTGAACTGAGACTGGCGGTGCTCTGGGCGCCTCGATTGATCTCTTGGCTAATTTCTGCAGCGCTGCCTGTATGAGTTTTCAAGTTTTCTTCAAAAGCATTACACTGCTGTTCAAGGTTAGTGAAGTCCTGCAAACTCATGGAGCTGCCTTCCAAAACCAGCTTCTGGATGTGGGAAACAGTCGACGACCAAATCGACCAATAATCCTGGGTTTTGTTGGCTTTCTCTGCACACTCAGCTTTTAGCTCCCTAACTTTAGTTTGCTCTCCAATCAAGTCTCTCTGCAGCTTGTTGTTCTACAAAAGTTATAAAAATTGTATTCCATCTTCAAAATAGAAATGGATTGTTACCTTCTCCTCCAGTGAAATCCAAGTTTTGCTCACTTCATCGGCCTGCAGTTTGGCATCTTGGATGCTTTCTTCAAAGGCGCTGGTCACTGATTCAATTACCGTCTGCAGGTGCTGCGCCAGTTTTTCCTGCAGAAGCCGCAAATTGATGGCAGCCAACGCCTCCAGCTGTTCAGCGGCATTGCTCTTGACCATTTCCACAATTTCCTCGTTCGTCGAAGTGACAGCCTGAGCGATTTGTGTTTCAAGCTGCTCGATTTCCTTGCCGTTGGATACAAGATTCTGACGAGCCTGTTGGAATTGCGCCGTCAGGTCCACCTTCAATGAGAGGAACTCGTCCCGCATGGCCGTGATTGTCTGCATCTGCAACTCCTCCAACTTTGAGGTGCAGCGCTCCAGATTGGAGATTTGCGTCTGTTGATTCTCGCAGTGTGACACCGACTCACTTTTGGCCAACTTCAGCAGGCTGTCCATCTTGGAGGTGAAAGTGGCGGATGCCTGAGTGTTTTTCGCCTCAAGATTTCTGCAAAAACAATAATTCAATTAAAAATATCTAATCAATTCATCATTAATTGTATAATCAATCTTAAGAAAAATTGTTTAACTTCATATAGAATTCTACATAAATTAAATTTTCACCTGGTTCTTTCCAGGGCGTCATGCGTCTTCTCAAGATCTCTGGTAGTCTCGTCTGTGACACTGATTAATTTGCCAGTTTCCACTTTCAAATTCTCTTCTGTGTTGAGGTGGTAGTCTAGAAGAACTTCTTTTTCGTCTAGATTCCTTTCAGTGATGGCAAGGTTGGCAGCCGTCCTTTCCAACCTTTCTGTCGTTTCCTCTAACTTCTCACTCAGATCTTGAACCACACTCTTTAAAGTAACAAAAAAAATTAATTTAAATCCAAATATTTAGTAAGAACAAGTACCTCTCTTTTCTCTCTTTCCTCCTCCAGAGATCTGATGATTTGTATCTTCTCCAGTATTTCTACGTCCTGTCGCTCGATTTTTGTCTCCATCTCTTTGTAATTCTCCGGGTCAACGTAGATTCCTGCACCTGATCGTTGGGCTATCAGGTCTTTCCTGAGACGCTCGATTTCCTGGTCATACTCCTTGATGAAGGCCTGCTTGGACAGACGCCGGTTGATCTGCGGTCTGTTGGTTATGCTTTTGGCCCTGTGAGCATAGTCCAGGGTGCTCAGGGTCTCCTCCAAGTTGGCCAGCACTGGCGAGACCGTGGCCACAATGGCCGTCTTGGTTTTGCCGCCTAACGAGTCTTGCAGCAGTCTCGTCAGCTTTGATTCTCGGTACGGGATGTGAGGCGTTTTCTCCACCAGCGATGTGATGACCCTGCCTAATGTCAAAAGACTCTGGTTGATATTTCCGGCCTCTTTAGCCCTCTGGTTTGTGGCGCCCGAGCGGCTGATATTCTCGGAGCCAGCAAGATCAACAAGGTTGATTTTGCCGGTTCTGATCAGGTCTTCGCCAGCCTCAGTCGACTCACGGATGTGGATTGTCACCATGAAAATTGTGTGAGATCGACTGAAATTATTGATACGAATGAATAAGTTGAACTATTTAGATGTTAATTAAAAATTTTGATATTTTACCTGGAGGTGGCGTTCATGAAGGTAGCAGCTGTTTGTCTCTTTTTGGAACCTCTGGAGAGGATATCATACACCTGCTTTTTGTCCAGCACTCTGACATCTGTCAGCCCTTGTACGATCACAGACCCTTTCGATTGAGCGTCTTCAAACAAACTACACGCAGATTTATAGTTTTTAAAGACAAAAAAAAAATTCAATTTCAATACCGCAGTTTAGAGTTGTCCTCCTCAGGCAAGAGCAAGTCTATCAGCTCTTCGTTGTAGAGCTCGAGATAACTGACGGCCATGGTGAACTCTACGTTCTTCAGCCTCAGCTCGTCAAACATGTGGCTCAGGACTCGAGGAACCAATCCGCAAAGAGGGTCCTGTCAAAAAAATTTCTCATTACTTAAAAATTCGTGAATTAGAAACATAAATCTACCATCTGTATTGAAAATAAATCAATTAAAACAATATTACTGAGCTTTTTGTACCTTTTCCCAGGTCATATCATCGTTTGACCTTTCACCCTCCATGGTGAAGGTCTTGCCAGTCCCGGTCTGACCGTAGGCAAAGATGGTGCAGTTGTATCCCTTGAGCACCTCAGAGATCATCGGCTGGGCCACAGCTTTGTAAACGTCGACCTGCTTGGAGTTTGGACCAAACGCCTTGTCAAAGGTGAAGGTCTTGGTCATGGCCAGGTTGGTGCGGTCGCGCACAATCACTTCGCGATCGTTTTTCAGCTCGACCACATTTTGGCAGTTTTTCTCCATCCGCTCTTTTTCGTTCATGGACCTGCAATGCACCAAATTTCAGGTTAAAATCGGTACTTTTCTGTTAGAAAGCCAATTTGACGTATAGTTTGAAATCGAAACTGACCTGACTCGCACGTAAACCTGGATATTTTCGCGTTTGCTGGCGGCAGCTCCACACTTGTTGTCCGCCATTTTCGCAGAAGTTTTCAGGACTCAGGTCTCTCATGACCTCTATGTGACATTCAACGAAAAGAAACCTCGTGACCTCAAACACGAGGAAAATTTGCGGAATTTCCCTCAAAAACAAGAGCTGACAGCAAAGACCTTAAAATAATAGACGGCGCACGGGGCTCGGAAGTGGGAGCGGCTGGTGTGGAAAGAAGGGCTTGTAACATTGCAAGGTTTGTAGGAGAGCTTCGAGAACTAAAATTGTCTTACCTACAGAAAGATATTCCTGTTAATCATTTGTTTTTATATAAGATTTAATATTGATGTTTTAAAAAATACTTTTAGATATGTTGACGAATATTAAGAGGCAAATTACTGGTATTTACTTAAGCTGATTTTGTAATGTTGGCATTACACAGTTTTATTGGTTGCAGTTGATTTTCTTTTATGCCATGTGAGTCGTTCAATATGGCGATAAACACACTATAACACTTAACTATCCGGGAGTAGCTCTAACGGCGCTACTGTCTTCAGGAAAACCAGCCAATCAGAGAGGGCCGAACGTCTTCGGCCATCAGCCAACTGGTGTAGCTGGTGACGCCTTTTGTTCTGCCTATTCGTGTTTTTGTTTACAAAAATAAACTAAAAACCAAGAACGACAATCTTGCATTCGGAAATGAACAAAAATAATTTCCGCACTTAATTGCTTCAGTTGTAATGAAAATAAAACGAAGAAATAATTTATGGAGTATTTATGTAGGAAATAGGTTAGATATTGGGGTAAAAATCCTCAATTGCTGGGGAAATGTTCTTAGGCGTTTATTAATGATTAATGAAATTAAATTTAATTGGAACTCTATTTATTGATCAAAAACGTTTATGTATTAAAATTTCATAGACTCACAGACCTCACAGTGCACTTTTAAAATTAATGAATAAATCGAATGAATTAAAAATATCAGATCAAATCGGTGACAATAAAACTGGAAATTTAACATATCGATGAATTCATTCACTTTGAAATTTTAAATTAAACATTAGCAAGTGGAAGTATTTGAACAACAATTTTGCCTGGATTTGTCCATCTCATAAAACGGAAAGGGCTAGCCAATATATTTACAATATGGAATGCATGAACTAATTCTATGAAGAGGAAATCGTGAAAATTACTAATCCTGGAGCATTGAAGCGTTGAGGGTCATGTGATGCAAGTTGGGTGGTGTGTTCCAAACGGCGCTCGAACGCCGTGTCAGAGGCCTAGCATCGTCTCCAAACAAATCCTTCACAGATGGCTTGAAAACCCTTGTTCCAAAAAAGTTGTTGCGCAGGTTGACCCTCACATAATCGGCACAGTCCAAGTTCATGTTGTTCTTCATTTCTAATGGTTGAAAACGAAAAATAATTTAATTTCTCAATAATTAAGGATCTTACTTTGAGCCCAAAGAGGGACCTTCTTCTTTGGCTTCTCATCATCATCGCTGGAGTCACCTTCATCAACCTCATCAATGCCGTAGGCATTGTCACTTTTAGGTGCGGCCGGTGGCATTTCATCCCTGCTGGGCGTCACCTCGTAAGACTTGGTGCCGGCTACTTTAGCCTGTAAATTATCATAAAAAAAAATTAAGAATGATCTATTATTGTTCCCAAATTTCCTCACCAATGCTGGATTAGGTGCTTTAGGTTTGGGTGTCTTGCATGTATCTTCCTTTGTCATTGTGAAAGTGCAATTCATCTCATGCGCAGCAGTTTGCACCTGTTCCTTCTCGCAGGCACTTGCGGCAGCAGCTAATTTCCTAAAGATAATTCATTTTAAGTTAATATTTTATGATTTTAATTGTTGCATACTTGGCAGCATCTAGTTTGAGAGCAGCCTTCTTTTCTTCCTCCTTTTTCTTCTTTTCCTCATCTTTCTTCTTTTCCTCGTCTCTCTTCTTCTTTTCTTCTTCCTTCTTTTTCAATTCCTTCCGTTTCTTCTCTTCCTCCCCCTCCTTGGCTTTCTTTGCCTCTTCTTGCTGCACTTTCTTTGCCTCTTCTTGCTGCAATTTCTTTGCCAGACGCTTTGCCTTCAGTTCTTCAAATTTGTTCTTCTTGCTTTTCTCTTCCTGTTTGCGCAGCTCCTCCTTCTCCTTCTGCTGCGCCTCCAGTTCCTTTTGACGTTGCTCCTGCACTTGCTTCACTTTTTTCTTTTTTTCTTCATTGATCCTGAAAAAAAGCTTGTTACAAAGTTCGGAAAAAAATGATTTTAGAAAATACTTTTTCTTCTCTTCCATCTTCAGTTTCAATATTTCCTCTTTCTTCTTCTAAGCCTCGTTTATTTTCTCATCCCTCAGCTGACGCTCGAGTTCCTTTTTCTTCTCAACTTCAACGCAGCCAACTGGGCCTGCTCCTTGGCAGTGTCAAGAGTGAACTTGCTTATTACGACTTTGCTCCAGCCAAGAGTACTAGTGGCGTTATGAGGCCTCGTCTAAAAGGGGGAAAGGTTAATTTAGTCAATTTTTTCTCAAGCAGGCAGAATTAATTCAAAATTACCACTGTACTCCTTTGGATGGTGCTCAAGCCCTGCTGTTGGGATGTTGTAGGTTTGCTGCAGGTGGGAATGGGTTTCTTCCGCAAAACAGTCGGCGAGTAAGCGTGCTCGCTCTCACTGAATGGGTCTGGGGAAATGTCCTGGGAGCTGATGGCGTCCATCAGCTCCGGGGCCTTCAACCACTTTGAAGGTGAGTGAGGAGTGGTGGCCGCATGCTCAGGGTGATTCTGGATGTTGACTTTCGGATAACCCTTCTTCAGCGACTGCTCAACTGCCATCACCATCTCCTTCACTTTTCCAGCAATGTGTGGTGTTCTTTAAATGGAAAAACCTCAAAGTTTTTATTTCAACCAAAATTAAGACACATACAAAGCACGGAGTTCAGACGCTTTGTTTGGTAGTTTTGTCTCGACTTTGTTAGTCCTGGGCGACTTCCTTTGAGTCTCAGTTGCTGGAGGTTCGGGAGAGCTCACACAGGTGGCTCGGACTCTTCTGTAGTCACTTCTTCAGTAGAAACGTCTTCTCCTATCTGACGCTTAATGAAAGTTTCTGATAATTTTTCAACCTAAAAAGGAGTGGAAAATAAAATGCATTTTTCAGATAAAAATAACAATTTGAAGTCTCACCTTGATGGCAACCACCCGACTTAGGAGCAGCGCGTCATTCTTCTTGATATTCTGGTTTGGAGGGGTAGGTTCTTCCTGCGATTGCTCAGAATGCGTTTCTTCCCTTGTAGTTTCAGCATGCTCAGAATTCTTTTCCTCATTCGAAGACTCAACATGCTCAGAATGTTGCTCGTCTTTTGAAGTCTCAACATGCTCAGAATTTGGTTCATCGTTTGAAGCCTCAGAGCTACTAGTGGCTTTTGCAGGCGGCTTTTCAAACTCAGAATCACTTGAATCAGCCGGTTTAACCACCTTCATTTTCTTGGCAGGCTAGAGCAAAATAATACAATTTTAAAACATCACAACGAAGGACGAAATTTATATTAAAATTTACCATCAGTTTCTTTTCCTGAGCTACCAATTTTGCGCGGCCCCTGGTATTCATCTTTGGCTTTTCAAGTTTCTGTGGTTTTTCAGCTTCTTCGCTTGATTCATCGTCACTGACTTCTTTTTTGTTTTTCCGAGCTGCACGTTTCAATTTGGTGCTTTTGGTGGTAGAGGCGACTGACACAGCGTCATCATCACTTTCTGCTGAAGAACTGGCAATCCTGACCCTTTTACGTTCCTTTGCTGGAGGCACCTCGGCAGGCTTTTCGCTGGGTCGTCTCAGCTTTACAGGCACATACAGCTGCTTGTGGAACTTGGAAGCTGCAGCTTGCGAGGCAGCTCGAGCTTGCCGCCCCACAGCAATGGAATTTTCCTTCTCCTCAACTGCAGAAAATACGCATTGTAAAAAATAACATTGAAGTTTTCATTGATTAACTATACCTTCGGAAGCGGTGGGAATTTTCCTCTTCCGAGTTGGTCTCTTGAGTGTTGGTGTCCTTGGTGGCATAGGGCTTGTCTGCTTTTCTTGCAGCTTCTCCTTTATTTCTCTGGCCCACTGCAGAGCTTCCTGATAGAAAAAAGAAATCATTAAATAATATTATATTATATTTCTAAATTTAAAGAATTCCAACTTACATCTTTTAATATCTCCTCATATTTCGAAAGGAGCTTTTTAATTCATCATCTATCTTTACTTTCAAATTATCCAAATTGTAACTCCCCGCAGGCCTTGACAAGCTCTTTGTGGTTTTTAACCATCTGTGAACAAAGTAAAATATATTAAATAATTATTGCAGTCTTAAAAAATATGACAAACCTTAATTATTGTAAAACTTAGCATCTCAGACTTGTAATCATTTTCAATTTATACTTTTCAAATTCCTCAAAACCATTTTTTTGTATAAAATTTTTATCTAGAGTGATGGAAAAGCTTCGACATAGAGATTAATTCCTATTAGTGAAATGATCGGGCATACATTTGGAATTGGAAAATTTCTGACTGATTCTCTGACATTCTCGCGACGTATTCAAACATTCCATTTTCTGACATTTAATTATAAAATAACATAAATTATGTCGTACACAAATTCTGAAAAATCTTGATCAATTCCAAAATTTATGTCAATTTAAAATATTCGTTAACGATAAACAGTTTTTGTTTCTCAAAACAATAATTAGACAACTAGATGTTAGATTTTGTCGAGTTGCCTATGTCGAGCAAATTGTTTTAATTGTCAAAATTAGATATTTAGTTTACATTCGAATTCACTAATCGCGAGGGAATAACAGCTGTTCTGTTAAAAGGCAAAAGTAAATAATCGTCAGATGAGTTTTTGTTTTTTTGCACATATCTAAAAAACTTCAGATGCATTCAGATGAAATTCGTTGTGGAATATTACCTTTTAGTCTGGGAGAAAACAGGAAGCGGTCCCAGATTGCAAAAACAAGGCTTGCAGGCCCAAATTTTGGCAGTTCTTCGTTGAAAAATCTACCCGGCCGGCGACTTGATAATAATATTGAATTAAACGCGTTTGCGTACAACATGCACTGCTGGAGCTTGGCTGGAGCAGCACTACAAAAAGAACATTCATACACCACCTAGCGGTGGGAAGCACAAGCATACATTGGGACTGAATTAAATTTTTTTACAATTAATTTTGCTCGACTCGACCCGACACCCCAAGGAGCGACACCCCACCCGACGACCCCCACTTCCCACTTTCCTCCTCCTTCCCCACCAGAGCAAATTAATTGAGCATGAATAATAATGAAGCAGAGAATAAAGAACGGCGGGCTTTTTCAGCTCTCAAAATTTTTTTCTTGTGGAGAAGTTGACTTTTTTTGTAATTACTCCATTTTGGGAATTTGGGATGTATTCAAAACAATAGAAAAAAATTTTTGCGATTTTTCCAGCAGTTTGGAAGACCATTTTAAACTTCTGGCCCTGCACAATTGCAATTATGCTTGCCCCTTTTTAACCAGGATATAACATTAAAGGGCAAGAGTCAACGCGCGCGGCCAGTAGAGTGGTGTGGAATAATTATTTTATTCCTCTCTTAATTTGTTTGTTTTGACTGTGGCTGTGTCATCGGAGAACTTCATTGTTTTTTTTATTCAATTAATTTTCGGCTTTCAATTAAATTCATTTTTTTTTTTAAGGGCTTTGTTTTTAATTGTTCTTTTTTAATTTCTGGCAATTGTTTTAAGTTGAATTCTTACAAATTAATCTTGCCTTTATTTTAAATTTAAAGTAGCTTTAAATTTACAAATAATTAGTATAAATTCAATTGGAATTAGCTTGTAAAATTCATGGGATTCTATTTCGATACAAGGGAATTTATAAAGGCATTTTAGAATTCAACTGCAGATTCACAGAACTTTCTAGATGCATCTAGAAAGTTCTCAATGTAAATCAAATGGGTGGGTGGGTTTTGCGCGACCCTCCCAGGGCTGCTACCCGCGCTATAAAAGGCGCTCCGTCCGCTGGCTCGATGCAGAAGGCTGACAGACCTCAGAGAAATCAGAGGTAAAGCTTCGACACTCGAGCCAGCTGACGGAGAGCATTAACCCTTTGCTCTCTGTTCGCAGGACACCTGGACACCCAGTGCAGTTTCGGACGCCCGTCCGATCCCTTCGCACCCGTCCGAGCTGTCCCACGGCGCCGACCGCTGTCCTGTCCCGGCGCTGTCTCGTCCGAGAACAGCCGGAAGGCCGACCGCGTCCCGAGCCCCTCGAGAGACACACCTGTGTCCCTCGTACTGTCCCGGATGCGGCTGAGCCGTCCGAAGCCGAACGGAGCAATTTTGCCAGGTAAGAGAGATTTCAATTAGTCTCTCCCTGAGGCCTTCTTTTGGCCGAAAGGTCAAACCACTACGTGAGACGGAAGTACAGCCGAGTGACCAATTGTTTATGTCCCCAGCTCCTTCCTGTCCGAGGAATCGGGCGCCGACGTGGCACGCCGCCAGCGAGCGCTCGGACGAAGGCGTCCGAACGTCCGCCGCCAGAGACCCGCACGCCGTGGGCCCCGGCCGCGCCGAGAGCCGCCGCCGACCTGCAGGGAGCCGTCCGGGTTCCCAGCAAGGACGTTTCCAGGGCAGCCTGCCGGCCTACCCAGGGAACACCGCTCCCATTTGTTGATTTTTAAGTGACATTGAACGAACAATTTTGAGTCAGTGAAATCTACTCATTCTGCCAGCATTGTTTAAATATAATAAAGCCCGTGTGTAAGCTGACCCAATTTGTTTAAACAATATACCCCAACCAATATAATTATAAACAATTATCAATAGTATTAATTTAAACAATAGATATTATTGAACAATTACCCATTAATAATTTAAATAAAATAGAATTTATTAAACAATTAAATAATCAGTCAGTATAATAATATGCAAACCCCTTACTTGCAACTTATTATTTTTTTGGTTTGCAATAAACTAAATTTGTAATACCAAGAGTAGGAGTGCAATTTTACCATAAATTAAAATTAAATTTTTAAATGAGTAGTTTAGTAACCAACTCTGATGAATTATAAAATTAAATACAAAACATACATGCATTTTTTTTTTAAATATTTTTGAAAAAACAGAAATATAAGCCCGGTTTTAAATATAAATTTGATAAATTTACATATTTATTTAAACACAAGTAAAACATAATTAGTATGAGAGATTTAATCTGTTATTTTTCCCCCCACTAAAACAATAATTTTATTGCTTTTGCTTAATTGTTGTCAAAATCAAACTATAGCATTTATTAAAAAATTAACGGGATATCAGTTGAGAATTAAACAAAACGGGCATAATATGTGACAAAAATGTTGAATTAAAAACTTGAAATGATTTTCCGGGAAAAACAAAAACATGCGAATATCTTTGGTTCTAAATGGAAAATTAAGATGTATACTCTCTTCAGTTCTGTTCTAGACATAACTTTTTTTGCTGAACATCTCTTCTTTGTTGACTCTATTTTTGCGAAGGTCAAAGGTCAAGGTCACTAAAAAGCAATTTTAATATTCGAGCCAAAGAAGCATATTTTTGATATTTTTTTGAGTAAATGCAAAAAGGTTTGCCCGCGAAATTTCGCTTCTGGGTGCTGATTCATAGGAGGGCGATATTTTCAGTTTTCAGGCACATTCAGGATGAAAATTATTACTTATGTAAATATTCGGGTACCGAAAATGGTCGTTTTACGCTAATTTTGCCAAATTTGTCAATATTTTTGCATTAAATGGTCCCGCTGGTGAGCCCATGATAGTTTTGAGTTGTTTCCGCGTCATATTCCACCCCCAGGGGCTAAATAAACCCCATAATTGTGGTCCTGAGGGGTTGAAATTTAAATTTTCAACAAATCGGGCATGTGAGGTTTTCAGAATGGTGATCGCAACAAAAAATTTTTGCCAATTCACATAATTATATAAAAAAAATATTCGTGAACGGTCCCTTTGACGTGGAAATTTTTTCCTAATAATAGTTTTTATGGTAAATGAAAACTAGAGGCTTGACTTTTCGCCTCATTTGTTTAAAATGGCAAGAAACGGAGAAAGTAGTAAATCACCTCAAAAAGACGATACTATAATATAAATATGGGATATAGGGCTGCAGCTTATTGTATAAACCACGACTTTCATTTAACATTGACCGTGTGCTTTTCTCTTTTTTTTCTCATGCATTCCTTGATTAGGACTGACGTACCGTCGTCAGACAAACTCGCCAAAAATGACAAAATTGTGAAGGTCCCCGCGTTTTAGCAACCTGTTTGCCAGAGGTGTTGCCGTTATACTTCACATTTTGTAATTTTCTTTTCCACAACTTGATTTGTGAAGAACAAACCCCAATAATAATATAATAATAAAAGAAATTGGCGATATAATATACCCTTTTACAGTTCTTGCATCAGTTGAACATATGCTGCTAATGCACATAGAAAAGGTCGTCCAACGTGTAAAACTTTGTGTACTGCAGAAAGGTAACAAAAAGTTGGTTTTTGGCAATTCTCACCCCCTTAGCAGCGTTCTGCAACTCTCTTCTCTAACCCACCCCTCCCATCGAATTAGTTATAATTTTGTATGTAAAGTTGTTGGCAGAGGGCAGATTTAAAACCCTGTCGTAAAACACGAGCACACATACAATGCATTTTTTATTGCACTCAGGTAGCGCAGTCCAGGAGGGATGCGCGACTCTTTTTCGGGCAGAGCGACGATTCCATTGTTGGCTCGCGCGCGGCTTATTGCACTCGCGGCGCCGGTCGTCTTCCTTCTTTTTCTTTTGTCACTTTTGCTGACCGCGGTCGAGTATTTAATTTTATGCAGTACCAATTTGTTATGCTTTGAGAGAAAATTCCTCCCTCGGCATATTCAACTTTAATATTGATATTTTTTCTTTGTAATAAATTTTCTATTTTGGTAAAAATTATTCGTCCAATTAAATTTATTTTCATTTGATTAACATTCTACGTATTACTTAATAGGTTCGTTCCGAATCAAAAAAATGGTCGAAATCGCCCGGTTTTTGCGCGCGCCCGCGCTGCCCCCAAACTTTCGTCACCCTAAACCCACCCGCGGCGCCGCTTGGCGCCGCGTTTGGCGCCGACGGCCCCTCCAAGTTCTCCACCTTTCGGGCGCCGCCGCTTCCGATCGGTGCTGCGGAACTTTACGGGAAGGGCCTCGGACGACGCGGCGCGGCGCCCTCCGCGACTACATAGAGGGCGGCGCCGATCAGTCAGCCCGGGTCGGCGCCGCGGCCCCGAAACCGCCGTTTTCGCGCACCTTTTTTCGCACCCTCCCCGCGCCAAACCTCTATCTCGTCCGCCGCTATTGGAAGACCTTAATTTTGATCGCATCGGCGGGTTCGCAGCGAAATTGCGCGTCGACCCTAGTCGCCGGATTTTCCGATTTCGCCTCGGTTCAGCCGTCCGGGCGAACGAGCGTACCGGCCGAACGCCGCTGTTTTTCGGCGAGGCGAGAAGTCCGCGGACGTCGGCGAGGGCGCCCCCTCCGACGGCTTGGGTCGCCGGGTCGCGCCCGCCGACGGCGCCGACGGGGCGACGTGATACTTGCCGGGGTGCGTTTCGACGCGAAAATGATAGGGACGGGAGAGGAAAAACGTGCCTGGCGCCCCTGATTTAATTATGCAACCGGCGTTTTGCGCTCGCACGGCCGCGCGGGGGATGCCTGCCACCGGGCGGCATATTGAAAATCCATGGTAGATCTGACGCAAACTGTAAAGTATGCAGCGCTGCCGAACACCACTGTGATGCGGGTTGCTGCCTTTAATAATTTTACCTGCTACGTCTCATAAGTAAATGTTAAGTTGTAAAAAGATTTTTAATAACTATTGAAATGATGGAAAGATTCAAAAGAACTGAAATTATTTGTTCTTCAAAAGTCAATTTTTCCCTTGTTTTTAAATCAGTCAATTATAATGAGTCGTATTAGTGTTCATCTCCGTGCGATATAGCGTTTTTCTGATTCTGACTTACATTATTTAAGAGCAAGGTCTCTTTTCCTTTCGCCCAGAGCGTATTACGCGCTTGCTCAAAGATTTGTTTTATTGGCTGAGGAGGATTAATTTTTGCCACTTCTTCTTTTTTGTTCCAGTGCATTGCCTAACAATAACTAGGCTGGCAACAATTGCATTCCTGAGACTCCTGAGTACCCATTAGATACACTAAATTTTACAGTTTTCAACAAGAATTCGTCAGACTTTTTTCCAGTTAAAATTTGTTAACTTGATCTGATCAAAATCATTTACTTTCACATAGCCCTCCAAATGCTTGAGTTTTAGTGCCTTGCAGGTACACTATGTGAGATATATTATAAAAACAAGCTTTATCTTTGGAACTCAATAGAGGAGCATTTTCAACAATGCTATCATTCAACTTCTCCTTAGTGCAGGTCGAGTAAAAGTAGTTAAAAAACGAAAAAGAGACCTTGCTCTTAAAATAATTCTCAATCAGAAAAACATTAAATCGCACGGATCAGATGCACACTAAAATGCCTGATTTAAAAAATAAATAAACAAATAAAATAACATATTTTTGAAGAACAAATTAGCTAATCTTTCCATTATACTCATAATTATGAAAAATCTTTTTATTAGTAATAATACTTAAATGAGACGAGGCACCCAGGGTGTCGTATCTGAGGGTTCACTGGCAAGAAGAAGGGGGCCCGAATGGCCCCTTTCTTCTTGTTGATTAATTAATAATTTCACTGATTTTTTTAATTTTTAGAATACGCACCCAATAGGTGTATTACAACTTACAACATTAGCTTTTTTGACGGACTTTATAGCCTCCGCATTATGGTACCCATAGCTAATTTATAGATAAAAATAGATAAATAGAAATCAAGTGAGGGCTCAGCCGCGCCACACCAAAGGGCGGCACTAGACCTTATTGCTCAGGACGCTCATTAGCATGAGAATTAGCACGCACCACCACCACCAAGTTCTCTTTTAAGATGACAATATGATTCCAATTACTGCTCATTAGCACCATTCCCCCCCTCCGGACGAGAAGGAAGGCGCCCTGGACCAGCCGGTCCGAGATCGAGGCTTATCAGGCGGTTGCCCCCTGAGATTTCGCGCCGCCAGAAAATCGAGACGGGGGACCAGCTCATTTATAGTGCCCGAGGAACGCTAGGCCTGCAGGCGTCCGGGAAGTTCCGTGTCCAGGCCATCTCTGCGCATAAATATCCCATTAAATTGTAGACGAAAATTTATAATTAGTTTAAATAAATTATGGCCTAAAAATTCACCGCTCTGAAAGCGACTTGCGACTCCTCAAGTTGTTTGACTTTCTAGTTGCTGAAAATTAAAGTAAGGGCAGGGAAACCTCTGGAGGACCAAAATCGCTCGAGTCGCTCGACCAGTTTAAATTCACAAAAAGCTCCTTTTTAAAAAATATAAGTAAAAGTTGGAAAGCAAAATTTGAAAGTAGAGTAAAGTAAAAGACAATTTGCATTTTAAGTGAGGAAAGAAAAAAAATAATAAGAGGAAAATGGAAAATCAGAGTCACTTATATACGACCGAGTGGACGGCCCTTGGTAGGTCGGTGTCCAGCCGGACGACAACCAGGCGCGCAGAGCAACCTGCATGTGGCTACGAACCGGTACCCCTGTGCTGCCGCAACGTTCCCTTTCACCGCTCGCAAGGACCTTCGGAGAGCCACCTCGAGCCAGGGTCGAACGGGAGGCTCGGCGCACCTGTCCTGTTAATTAAGTCAGCGCTACTCTTCGGACCAGCAAGGGCGGGGGGACTTAATTCGCAGATCCAGCATGCTATTGCTCTACCCTCTGCAGAGGGTAGAGCAATAGCATTCAATTTATTATTTTAAAATTATTATACAAATCTCCAGATAGCCATAATTTATCTTGCAAGGGAATATTTTTAGGTGCCCGACGGTGATTTTGATCAAATTTGGCATGTCGATTTTAGGATGCCCTTGCATCACCGAGAAAAAGTTTTATCAATTTGAAGCTCCTGGCGATACTAAATCTGAGCCCAGTTGGCAAGGAGCGAAATCGTGTTCAATTTGAGAAATTCCTGCTGCCGCGGCTGGAAAGATGATCAAATTGAGGACGGCCGCCGCTTGTCGCGGCAGGCAGCGGCTTCCAATTTTCCAACTGAAGCGGCACCGCCGGAGATAAGCGCTCTGGAAAAACTGATCCTCTTTGAAAAATTGATTTTTAATTTTACGAAACCTTATTAAATTTATCTCTCAATGCAATGATATAAATTAATTCTCAAATTTTTCCCCGGCATTGTGAAATAATTAAGGGTTTGCAAAGTTCCATTTTTCTCATGAAATATAAAATGTAAAGAGATAAACTTAGATATAATTTTGTAGAGAAAAGAATGGACTTTATGTGCGCAATTGTAATATTTGCAGTAAAATAATTTTTTAACATTTTACAAGACGCTCAAAAATAAAAGTTGATTTTTTAAGCCAGAAATAAATTTCGAAGATTTTTTTCAAAATAGCCATTCAATTCAGCGTGTCAAACTTCGTTAAGTAGCAAATTTTTAAATAAAAATTCCAAGCGGTTCAAAAGTTAAGCAGCATCAACAAAACACACTTTTCTCCAAGAAGAGTTGATATGGAAGGAACCCCATAACATGTGAACCGCTTGGGATTTTTATTTAAAAATTTGTTACTTATCTAAGTTGGACACGCTGAATTGAATGGCTATTTTGTGAGTATTTTGAAAAAAATCTTCAAAATTTATTTCTGGCTTAAAAAATCAACTTTTATTTTTGAGCGTCTTGCAAAATGTTAAAAAATTATTTTACTACAAATATTACAATTGCGCACAGAAAGTCCATTCTTTTCTCTACAAAATTATATCTAAGTTTATCTCTTTACATTTTATATTTCATGAGAAAAATGGAACTTTGCAAACCCTTAATTATTTCACAATGCCGGGGAAAAATTTGAGAATTAATTTATATCATTGCATTGAAAGATAAATTTAATTAGGTTTCGTAAAATTAAAAATCAATTTTTCAAAGAGGATCAGTTTTTCCAGAGCGCTTATATCTCCGGCGGTGCCGCTTCAGTTGAAAAATTGGAAGCCGCTGCCTGCCGCGACAAGCGGCGGCCGTCCGTCCTCAATTTGATCATCTTTCCAGCCGCGGCAGCAGGAATTTCTCAAATTGAACACGATTTCGCTCCTTGCCAACTGGGCTCAAATTTAGTATCGCCAGTAGCTTCAAATTGATAAAACTTTTTCTCGGTGTAGAGTCCAGAATAAAATTATTAGCTGATGAAATGCATTTTTCACCCCTATCAGAAGGGTTTGAAGTTGCCATTAAAAATACACGGAGAAATGATTTATTATCTCTAATTAGGAACTGTTTATTACTGTGGCTTAATTTTTGCCTGATTGAGCCACCGATGAATAGTGTACATTAAATATTCCCCCCCTAAAAGTAAGGTTTTTTAAAGATTAAAAACAGACACAGTGCTAAATTTCGTTCTATTTAATTTAATGCAACTATTATTATTTGTTTAAATTTTATATTTTCATAACATATCTTGTTTATTCTACGCATGCTCACTCTAACAATGAAAAACTTCTTGTGTAGGTTAAAAATTTATCCATATATGATATAATTCTAATGATGATGCGATCATATAATTTGTTTTCCACAGGGCAAACAGACGACGATGTGCTGGAGGATGTGTGAGCCAAAGTATGAAGACTGGACCAGCTCCTGAGGACATGAAACTTCAAGATTTGACTAAGCAATGGATGAGCGGCAGCGCCTACTATGAAGAATTTCCAGAACAACCAGTGCCACTTTATGCCCCTTGTGAACAACCTCAATCTTCTTGAAACACGGTGTGGTTATCAAAGCAAAAAAGCTCTTGTATTTTTCGCTTATAATTGTCAAAAACTCTAATAAAACTAATGTCATTCAAAACATTTTGTACTTGTGTACTTCTTTTAGGACATATTTAAATGCATTTTTAGAACATGAGAGAACCATAATTCCTTAAAGGCATTTTATAGTTTGTACAGGCACGCTAGTATTAGGGACTGTGGCAACTATTTGGCGTCAGGATCTTTGACGGAAGCTGCATTTACTTGCGGTCAACATAACTGGGTAGGAGAACTGACAGTGATGAAAAGTACCCAATTGCGCACCCGTTGGTCATGAAAAAGAGGTCACTTGCGTCCAGTGGGAATTTGTCGACCACCAGCTGACAGTAAAATTTATGGTGGACACAGAGACTGAAAAAAAAATACTCGTGGATATAATGTTCATTTACAAACTCCAAAGTTGCATTTAATTGACAATTTATTTTAATTACATTTTTATGAATATAATAAAGTGGATTTAATGACTATCAATAATTGAATTATTTAACAAAATTAATATTAACAGCCATGTGATCATTCTTCAACTCACATACAATGGTGAACTTTTAATGACGGCGTCAAACTTGGCAGAAAACAAGTCACCTTTTTATCGGCTGCTTCAGAACAATTGTAGGGTTCTTCACTACGTTTTCAACAAAAATCTGTCAAAGGAAAATTTAAATAAGAACAATTCAATTTTGATTTTATTTTATCGTTACTTGCCTGCGAGTTTAAATTTTTCCAGGTTTGTTGTCTCGAGAGGTCCTAAAGAACGAATTTATAGCTCGAGTTTATTTTGTTTTAAGTTTTTCTTACGGCAAATTAGAGCCTCTTCTAGATGAGGCCACATTATTGGGGGCTGCAGGTGTCCCGCCCCTGTTGTGCGCATCAACTTGCTGGCGATTCGTCGCACTGGCCGCACTGCTTGAGGCGCTTGAGCTTGAGGTATTGCTGGATGAGGGCCTTGACAAAGTTCTGGGAGCACCGGATCTTAGTCTTAGACCCTTGAAATAAATAAATTTTATTTCAATATGTTATTTTGGCTGAAAATTAAAAAAAATATTATTCAACACATTTCTTACCCCTGCCACTTGAAGGGAGCGGTATCTTCGCATCTGCAGCATCCTGTTCGCCGTGGCCTCTGTAACAAGCATTAAAAAAACCTTATAAAATTTTAAGCATATTTTAATCATAATATAGATTAATTCAGAAAAATTCTGAAATAACCAATTGATGATAAATGTCCGGTGAAAAAATTAACAAATCCCAAATTTTTTATTTGATGCGACAGGCCCTAAAATTAAATGTCATATTTTATTGTCATTTTGAAATGGATTATATTCCTGAAATGACTGTTTACCGTGTTTCATTTTCTCATTTGATTCTGAAAATGTTTAGTAATAACGAATTTTAAAGAATCAACAAAAAATAATTAAAATCTGAATAGTGACACGTAGCGCGATTCAGGTGCTTGCATTTAATAACATTGCTGTATGATTTGGGCTCACAGCTCATAATGTTTGGGGTGCTTTTTGGTTTGGAAGAAAGAATACGTCAGGATTGGAGTGGACGTAACAATATCGCGGCGAGATCTGCACGGACTTGCACTCGGCCGGTTTCCACTTTTATTATTTCTGTCGAGCATGTCTTTGGCGAATGCAAACGCCTGGCGGAATGGCGTTTAGATCCAAAGTCCGCGGGTGGCGAGGCGACAAACAAATTGACAATGGTGCATCGCAGTCGGGAGGAAACTTGCGGCTCGCGGTAATCGGAATACACCATAAATGGAAAATACGAATTTAAAAAGAATAAAATAAGCTGAAACTTAATAATTTGGACAAATAAACAACAATAATAAAAAACAATTGCTCTGCTTGTCGCTTCGCTCTACTCTCCATCACTCGACGGCCGCACTCTCTGCGGAGAGCGGCGCGCTCAATTCATTCAGACGTTTGCGCGAATTTAATATTTTATTAGCTACCGTTGAGATAAATCTTTCAAATTTTCAGCATTGGTAGCCAACTAAATGAAATAATTCTTTATTTTTTATAATTAAAAAATATTTATCTGGAGGAAAGTTATCCGCGAGAATTTTGATATTTTAATTTTTAAAATTATTTTTAAAAATATAAACCCTGACAGAAACTTTAAGAAAATTTGAGTTCCAAGATCAAAATTAAATTTCCAATTGATTGGTCATCTCTGACAAAAATCCAAAAACCTTTTTCCAACCTTTATTTTTACTTTAGTCATCCCGTTGGTAAATAAAAAAAAATTTGCAACAAAAAGTCTACGAAATAAATTGCAGAGACTTTAATTAGCTACAAATATCTGTTAGGGTTTATGTTTTTAAATTTTTTTCACTATTTCAAAAATTAAAGTTAACAAAATTCTCGCGGAAACGTTTATAACTTTGCTGCAGATAAATATTTTTTAATAACAAAAATTCAGAAATTATTTCATTAAGTTGGCTACCAATGCTGAAAATTTGAAACATTTATCTGAAAGGGCATCTGAACGACGCTAACTAATAAAATATTAAATTCGCGCAAACGTCTAAATTAATCGAGCGCGCCGCTGTCCGCCGCGAGAGAGAGAGAGTCAGGCGAAATTTGTGCGAATTCTTGCTTGTGTTAAAACTCAAAGAGCAGCGCAAAAGAGTGCTCGAGCTATGTAAAATTTTTAAAGCGCTCTCTTTGAACGCATTCTGGCCACATTTTATGAGATTTTATGAAACATTTCTAGCATAATTAAAGTTGAAAGATTATGATTAATTATATAAAAAAATTAATCAATAATCATTTGGTAGGCTTTCCAGCCGATGGAGCTTGGCAGCATCATAGTCTATTCAAATGAATAAAAAAATAAAAATACTTTTCTCACCGCTTAAGAGCTTCATCATCCACGTCGAGGTGCGCACTTGGCCATCTGCCCCAATCTCTTGGGTTTCGATGACCCCTAACACGTCGAGGTATCCATCTTCGGGCATGTTGGTGATCTCGTTCACCTGAAGCCATCGCTCCTCGCCTGTTTGAACGTTCATGGCGTAGACAAGATCTCCATCAGGGGACACCGAAACCATGTCGTTGTTGATGTGTGTGCTCGGTGTGCTCTTGACTCGCGGTGGCCGGCGATAGGGTTGGCGGGTGAGATTTGCCTTTTCGAACACCACAAAGTTGATAATGTATAGTGGTGGGAGGGAGGAGAAAAGGTGAGTGATATCGGCTGATTTGAAGGGGTCAGAGGCACCAACACAAAATAAGGCACCAACTGCAGAATTTGTCAGCTTTCAACTCGATCAACGACCTTCACAGTTTTGCATATTTGGCAAGTTTGTCAGGCAAATAAATGCAGCACGAGAGTGCGCGTGAGAAAAGAACGAAAATATAAGTCGTGGTCAATTCGGACATCCTGGGTTAAAATAATACAGCCTAATTTTTCTCATTTTTTCATTAGTTAACCACCTTTTTTAATAACTTTTACTGCGCTTTATCATTGCCTATTAAAATAAAGTGATCTAAAATAAAATAATAATAATAATTTGATGACATTTTTTAAATTTGTGAATCAGGTAATTAATTTATAAATCCAATAAAATTGTCGACTTTTTAAATTATGCCATTAATCACCTTCCCTCGAAGGGAATATTTGCTAGAAGGATGATGAGTTTTGAAGCCAGTTGGCATGCAGATTTATTGCGCCACTAGAGCCCTTTCAGCTGAGACTTCAGCTCAGACCAAACAAATACCTCTCCTGCGATTTTATAATTGAAATTTAAAAATCCATTTTATTGCGCTGGTTAGAGAAGGGTGCACTACTTGGACCTTGCGCCCCCAGCTTATGCATCATAAAAAAACTTTTTTACTTCCTGTAAATAATTCATTAAGAATAAAATTAAAAATTTAATAAATAAAATAATTTAAAATGCAAAATTAGATGTTTGGAAAAAACAGAGTAAATTAGTTTCTACTATCAGAAATTTTTCATATTTTTAATATTATTATTTCTATTGATTTATTACAATTCATTATTTTTTTTTTCTTTTCGGATGTCATAACAGATATTTATATGAGATTGTTTGATTATTTTGAAAATACATAATATTTGTTTGCTAATAAATACGAATAAACATTTTCAATTTAATTTAGCATGGCTGCATGAGCCACACATACTTTTTGCTTTTATAGAAAGTGATTTGATGGGGAATAAAAATCACTAATCAGGTCCGCGAGGGTATAAATTTTTTAGTTTGCTGCTGCTTTGGATTCAGCTTGTACAAATTTTTTCGTTTCGCCGCTCTAGGCGCTGAACTTGACACCTCTCCGTCTCCTCCGAGAAGGCCCCTCTTCTTTTTATCGTTTTTACATACACTTTTTTAGCCTATGCGTGGCTTTGAAAAAAATCGGTCGCATAATATAATTTTCAGTCGGAATTAAGTACGCCCAAATTAATTGAGAAAGTCCAACTCTTCAAATGATTGCATCAAAACGGAGCTGAAGTCATAAACTTGACTGTTCTGAAGAGTGAGTTGTAAAATTGTATAATTTTTAAATTTGATCGCTTTCGTTTCATATTTACAAATTTGTTAATAGATTAAAGCGCGTAAAATGCGTGGTTCAAGCAGAGGTGAAATTCTAATGGAATAGAGCGCTGATTTAAAACTGAAATTTGAATCCTTTATCACGAAAGACTTGCCATAAATGTTTTTGGTTGATTACAGGGAAACACGGCTGGGTCTCGACGGTGAATCTAGCGAATGATAAGCCTTGAAAAAGCGATAAAATAAATGACCGCGCTCTATGTTATTTCAGTGCAGATATAGGAACAGTAACATAAAAAGCCTACAAAAATGTCTCCCCTCCAAATCGAGTTGAAGTGTGGCGCAGGAGTTATAAAATGAAACACTCCAATCCAGTCTAAATGAGATTTAAAAAATATTTAAGCGGAAATTTTTATGAATTTAAATAGTTTCAGTTATTTTTGGATTGTCATATGAACGATAGGTTGAATCGACACATAAAAAAAAAATTACAATAAATCTATAGCTTTTTGTAATCGATCTTTTTGGCTCGCCGCTCTGCGATCGGGTGTTTTTTATTTCGGACGTTTTAGCAGACTTGCCTACTTCTGCTCTTTTTTCTTTAAGTATAATTTTGTTTTGTCATGACTTTGAGTACAACAAGCATTAATAAAATATTAACAAAGAGTAAAATACAGTATGAATTATTATAAGTGTTGGGCATGAGTATGAAAAGAAGACTAAATAATTTAATATTGGATACGGCGAATATGCAATGGGAAGTAAAATACTAAAAATTCATCTGTTTCATTGATTGTTTTGACCTAAATTGTAAAATATTTTGTGTCCTTCTGCAAATTAATTATTATATTCTTTATACTTTTATTCATTATCTATTAACAGGATTCGTCTTGGCGACTTAACCGTTTAATATAATTTAATCAATCTAATTTTCATGCTTTCAAATATAAACCTCACGTCTGCATGATTATATTTCTTTCAACCCTCTGTGAAGAGTGATCATATTATAGCAAAACTTGTGAAATGGCGTTGATGAGTGTTACGCTTCTCTTCTCACGCAACGCTTCTCTAGAAATGATTCTCGCCAAACGATTCCCGACTGTAGACTATTTAAAATAAATTAAATTTGCATTAAAAACAAAATTCTAAGCTTATTTTAACTACATAAAATAGATTAAGATGATCAATGATATGATAAATAATTTATTTCATATTTAATTTAATTCATAATTTTCACCAAGAATCCAACTTGCAATATTGACTTGACTCGACCAGCGCGTTTGAATAAAGTTTTTTGATCAAAACTAAGCCTCTGATTTTTTTGTCTCGTGCGTTTTCCTCAGTATAGGTTGTTTTTTGATTGCGTGGCAGTAGTTTTTTTTCTTTTCAAATCGTGTTTTCATAAGATATACTCAAAATTTAGCAATCATTTTCTGAATACAGAGCAATATAAATATCCCTGGAATCGATCTTTAAATAAAACACACACAAAGACATTTTACACAACCGAAATTATCAGATAATTCTATTCTCATTACAAATAAATAAGTTACATATAAAAACTAGTGGTCTGTGTACAGAGTGTATGATTTCTAATATAAATTAACCTGCTTAATCAATTAAAATTCACTGGTCATTTCCGGAATCATTTGCGCCCTCTTTCAGTCATACAATTGTGCAATTAATCAAAGAAATTACAGAGATACTGGTTTAGAGGTGACAGTTTTGATGATCTGTGGTATTTCGTTTGCTCTTATCCACTCGACGTATTTACTGACGGGCGTGTAAATGGTCCAGTCCGTAATCGCCGACTTCATTGTCACTCCGGCCAAAAATGGAATTCCTCTTGTGCCGCTGCAAACCAGTGGTACCCCGTCGAGGAAAGGGTGGATAGGCTGAAGAAAATTTTAATTAAAGTTTTCTTCTGAATTAAGTTTGTTAAATTTTACCTCATTTTCGGCACTTTTCGGAGGCGCAGAGCACAAGACGCTCGGGAAGTTGCTTCCGTCTTCATCAGCCTTAACCACACCGTCGCAAATATTTTTACTCACGATGGAAAGCTCCTTCAAGTCCACTTTGTGTGGTGAAACTACCTCTTCTGGGTCTTTATAAAACTGAGGAATCTGGCAAGTAAGGTGGCTGAAATTTCAAATTTTTTATAATTATTTTAAATTTTGGTTTCTGAAATTATTTTTACCTGAAATCAGCTTCGTTGTCTTGAGACAGACAGAGGGTGCAGTGGCCCATGTCCATATCTGTGATGTCAGAACAGGAAGTATTCAACTTCACCAGCCCTGCAGAAAAAAACCCAGACTTATTAAAATTAATTATTTAATTAACCACCATACCGATGTCATCAAGCGCCAGTCGAGGCGCAGCATGATACTTCTCATGCATGACTATTTCGTTTATGGTGATCTCAGTGTTGTTCTCACTGCTCGCTGGCAAAATGGCCCTGACTGTTCCCATGCCAGACGAAGACAACCTTTGATAAAAATAATAAATTTTTTATTTTGATTTCGGATTATTATCTCACTTTATCGCGCAGCTCGCGGAAGTTATAGCCAAGTCTTTAGTGATTCTGGCACCGGCACACAGAGTTGTCGTCGCGCCGTTCTTTTCAATCACAAAAGTCACCACCCAACAGGCGGGATTGTGGAGCTGTCGGACAGGCCCGAAGCACAAAGGCGGTTCCTCTTCCTTCACGTCCTCGACGGGAGTCATCTCAGTTGTGGTCGAAGTGAACAAACCCTGAAATTTTATTTTTTATTTCTTAAATTGCATATTTTTCTTGTAAAGTTACGCCAATCGGCAGGGTCATCAGCGTCTCGTAAGAAAAATTCGAAGGATTCTTATTTTCCTGCGACGAAATAAATCCTCCCACAAGATTGGAGGCAACCGTGGCGTTTTCTTTTTCTTTTTCAATTTGCTCGGGTTCAGTAGCAACCTGGTCGATTCTCTCCAATAATACATTATCCTCTCCAAGCTTGCTTTCTAAATTGTCCGCGACTTTTGAGTAGTTTTTAGCAGAAATCTACAAACAAATTAATTATTAAAATTATCAACTTTTATTTTTGACGCACCTGTGCAGCGCCAGCTTTTTGCGGGGTGTCCAGGCCAAGCAATTCTACCAAATCTGCAAACCCAAAGAGACCATCGTCCTCTTCCTCCTCCTCCTCCTCTTCACTTTCATCTTCCTCGCTGGCGGCTTCTTCGTCTTCCTCCTCATCTTCGTCTTCTTCCTCTCCGACGGGCTCCTCATCCTCCTCGACTGGCTTGGCCGTGGTTGACGACGGCAGCGCTTGCTTTTTGGTTGTCGCCTCCACAGCAAGGGTACTCAGGATGATCGGTTTTTCGGTCGTCACTGGTTTCAGAATTTCGATGGTCGGCTTGGGCTCGTGGGTCTCGATGCTTCCGACTGGAGCGGCTGGCTCATTGTTTTCCTCCTGCTCGTCCACTGTGTCCAGTTGCACCGAAGGACTAACCAAGTGATGGGACAAATCGTCCTGGGTAATGCTAACCCCATGCGAAACTTCAGAGCCAACAGCCTAAATACAAAAATAAATGTTTTTTAAATTTATGCATTTATAATTTTTTTTAATTTAAATATAAATACATAAAACAGTTTTAAAATATTTTATAATTTAATACTGTAAGTAAATATGCAACTAAATATTAAATTGGTTTTTTATTCACATGCACAATTTCGTCGAGGAGTTCGTTGCCTCCGCCAATTGTCACGGTGCTGCCTGGCTTTGTAGCCACAATCTCGGGTATGTTCATCACAGCGCCGGGCTTGATCCAGTTTGCAATACTTGGAGAGTTCAATACTGGGACGTTCTGCGAATAAATCGGGGCGCCAGACACGGTCAGGATACTGCCAGGGCGCGTATTCGCATCGCCGACGGTGCTCTTGACCGGCTCGAATTTTACTTTGCTTGCAGAATCATTTTTATTTCCGGGAGATGTGAGATCAACCCAGAAAATCGCGCCACCGGACGAGTTTGTTGCGGGAGCCTGAGGCTTTGTTGGCGCATCTGGACATAATAAAAAATATCTATAAAAATAGTTCAGTGCTTAAAATTAATTAAGTTAAACCATAATTCTGGATAAGAAAATTTTCATTGAAAATTTAATCACTCATTAAATTAAAATGAAAAATTGAAACTGGGCTCCTCTATGAAAAAGAAAAATATGACAAATATAAAAGGAAAATAACTCCAAAAACTGAGCTGCGATCTGCTGGTACTTTAAAAACCTAGGGTTTGTCATGTCGAACTCAAACTATGAGGAAGGGATTGATAAAAAATTAAAATTTGCAGAAATTCATTATTTTTTCACTTCACAACGAGGAGCCTGGTTTCAATTTTTCATTAAACCCATATTGAATGTTAGCTTTCAGCTTAATTAAAAAAAATAATAATTATAATAATTATTTAATTTTAATTGTTTTATAAAGTGATTAAATGTGTGGACATTTTACCTGGCATTGCTGGTCTCTTGGAGGGTTTGTGCTCGGGCGTTGTGCCTTTTGGTGGCGGTGGTTGTGTGACTTGTGATGTGCTGGGTGTCTCAGTGGTCGTGCTCGGCATTTTAACGTCGGCCCCATTATATTTGCAGCAGACGAAGTTGGCCGCGGGTGTGAATGCAGTCCTCAGACCGTTGCAGTGGCCGCCAGTGTCGTCAGGTGAGAAGTCGTGGTCCAGGGTGCAATCGGAGCCCAGCAAACAATAGCCGGTGCTGTCGCGACAAGTCGAAACTCCAAGGATCACAAATAATCCTAAAAGATAAAATCTCTTTTTTTTAATTACATTCGCAGTAAATTGAAACTTTCAATTTGGCTTATTGTAATGTTGCTAATTGGCTTGAATTTAACTAGCATACCTGAGTCGACTAGTGGCAATGCCCTGGTCTGGTGGATGACGTACGCCAGACCCACGGTAAGCACCAGCGACAATTTCGATCTGCTCGGGACCAGCATCTTTCTGGGACACAAAAATAAGCAAATCATCCATCATGCGCGCGAATTATATTTATAATCGATTTAACCCATTAACCAAAATAAAATTTCAATTATTTGTTTGGCGTCAGCAAAAGCCTTCGCTATTTTTTTTTCTTTCTCTCTCTCAAGTTTTATAATTTAATAACGCGTGCTAGCTGTTCGCATAATTACACGCGCCTATGCTGTATGCATCTCTCGCCATGTGGGTAACGGTGCATATTTGTATGAGAAAATAGCTTTTAGCTCAACCAAGCCTTTATGTGTTTGCGGCGCGGATTATCCTTCGCAGCGTTTTCACGCTTTTTTTGCAAGAGCATTATGATGGTGTAAAAAAATTTTGAACATGCTCACTTGTTTATTCAATAAGTGGCATTTGGGAGTAATGGACATGGCATGAGTCGAGAAGTTTCTTGAATTTCCTTGCATTAATTTTGGCACACAGCAGAGAGTACACTTAAGAAGAAAAACACACAATCGCATCACAAGGAAACAGAATTGTAAAATTGGAGGATAAGATTATTTTCAGGAAAAAAATTAACAGGAAATTCTATAAAATAAATAATTTCAATTATAAAAGAACGTATGAACATTATGTTGCTGTTGCCTATTTTCTTTTTTTAATTTATTTTAACCGCAAAATCTTAAAATAATCAATATTATTTTAGAGGATATAAGTAAATAAATTTCTCAAAATGCGAACTTCATATTTACAACAAGAGGTCACAAATAATATTAATCTATATCAAGCAAGAATAAATTATAATTTAAATGTCGAAGCAATGAAATCTTAATTCAATTGTCTTAATTAAATTTAGTTTGGTAAGTTCACTTGAGTATTATTATTATTAGATTTATATAAAAACAGGTATTTTTATAATAAAATTGAATAGGAATATCATAAAAAACCAAAATAAATAAGTCTCATTTTTGTTTAAATGAATCATGATTAATTATTAAAATAATAAATTTAGTCGGTTCAAGCGGAAAAGAAAATTTGTAAAGAACTTGAAGTTGAGAAGAAGTAAAGTAAAATACTCTGGAATTTACCTTGAACTTAAGAGTGAATATACTTTGCGCGAGATCGCTTGAATAACAACGCGCGCGGCTTCTCCTACCTGTAGATGTTGTCGGCTGGCTTTTTCAGAGGTTACTGACTGGATCGAGCAACACTTAACCCGTTACTGATGCCCGGCTCCTCCTACAGGTGCACTCTCCTCAAAGAAATCTTCTGGTGAGCAGCAGGTGCCTCAACGTTAAACATTATTGCCGCTTCTCTCTTTCCATCAAAATAAAACTCGATTTTCATAAGCAATTAACTGGTCCTCTGAAAGTTCAAAGCAATTTAGAGGTATTTGACCAGCATGGATTGAAGAATAATATAAAAAATAGTTGTGGAATAGTTTTTTTTTTTAATTATTACTCTTGCAATTTCAAAATCTAAAATTTCAATTAAAAAACCTGTTTTAAAAATTGGACAGTTGCGGAGTTTAGAGAATCTTTATGGAAATATTCATAGCTGCAGTTATTTCACGCTCGCTCATCTGTCGCAAGCCGCCGATATGTCATTAACCTCTGCGCTGCTTATGCTGACGAACACGGCAGGGCCAAGGTCAATGCTGTCAATATCTATCTTGAAACTTATCTTTCGGTTGTATTCCTTATTAGCGAATCTACTCGCACGACGTTTCCTTATCATCTCATCAACCAATAATTAATCTCTCCATTTGCCTGACAATGAGTAAAATTATAATAATAATGTAAGTATGAAGTCATTTTATTCCAACAACAGTAGCAGAAAAACCGCGGAAAGTAAACAATTGATCTTTCTGCATGATAATTACATAAATCAAGAGTGAATGGGACAAAGAAAGGAATAAAAGTTAATTGTGACAAAAAACAAAAAACCTTTTGAAATTAAAATAAATCATTATTCTCTTATTATTAATTAATTTTTATTTTATTTGATTTTTCTGCAGTTTTTACTTTGTTTTGCGGCGTGAAAATTTAAAGATCACCTGATTATAAAATTTGAGTCGCATTTATTTATCTTAAAATTTAGGCAATATTAAATTTACATTTCAACATTTAAAAGGAGTAAGCGGGTAAAATTGGAGGACATGTGCAGACAAGGTGTTTGTCGCCGTAAATATCATCAATCCTGCCAACGGTGGGCCAAATTTTGCTCTCGGGTCTGACAAAAGGCTGCAATTGACAGAAAAAAATTGTACACTGTGCATGATAAAAAAAGAATAAAATTACCGCAGGAAAAGCGGCCAGTTCGCGGGAGTAGGGTCTGTTCCATTCAGAGGTAATGACTTGCGCCTGTGTGTGAGGTGCCATTTTTAAGGGATTTGTTCTGACGTCCATTCGTCCTTCTTCTATGTCTCCGACCTCCTTCCTAATGCCTGATTTTCACAAGTAGATTTCAGAATTTAAATCTTTAATTTCAACTCACAAATAAGCGCTTCACAAAATCGGTCCAACTCCTGTTTGTCCTCGGACTCTGTGGGCTCGATCATGAGGGTTCCAGCAACAGGCCAAGACATTGTCGGAGCATGGAAACCTTAAATTTTTCTTAATTAAATAAATAAATAAACGTGATGAATCACTAGGCAAATTGATCTTCAGAGAAAAATATTAATGTACCGTAATCCATCAGTCTCTTTGCTATGTCAACAGGCTCAATGTTGGCTGTCTTTTTGAAATTTCTGACGTCAATGATAAACTCGTGGGCCACCAAATTGTTTTTGCCCTTGAAGAGCGTGTGATAGTGTCCTTCTAGACGTTTGCTCATGTAGTTCGCGTTCAAAATAGCAACTTGTGTCGCTTTCCTTAAGCCCTTGGGGCCCATCATCTGCAATCAGAATAATCATTTTTAAATGTAAAATTTTAATTTCTTTACAAAAATGAACCAATTAAAAATAAAATAAAATAATATAAGAGGTCTGAAAAATTATTACATAAAATTTAAAATGTTAATAATTACCTTTATGTACGCCCATGAGATGGGAAGAATTGCAGAGGAGCCGAATGGCGCGGCGCTGACGACTCCGAATGATTTCGCGTTTGCACCAAGTGAGGCCAGAGGGTCAATTACAGGGTGGCTGGGAAGGAAAGGTGCAAGGTGCTCCTTGCTAAAATTTATATTTCAATTATATATCAATAAGAATTATTTTTATAGGCCTCAAATTTAATAAACTTACACTCCAATCGGTCCCATACCAGGGCCTCCACCTCCATGAGGAATGCAGAAGGTTTTGTGCAGGTTCAAATGTGAAACGTCAGATCCGTAATCACCAGGCCGGCAGAGTCCCACTTGGGCGTTCATATTGGCGCCATCAAGATACACCTTTGTAGTTAAATTTTTTTATTATAACATATTGTAATAAAATTTTTATGACTTACTTGACCGCCACAATCATGAATAATTTTGCACACATCTGCGACCGTTTCCTCGAAAACTCCAAAAGTTGATGGATATGTGATCATCAAGCACGCCAAGTTTTCCTTGTGTTTTTCAGACTAAAAGACAAACGCAAAAGAAATATTAAAAAATAAGATATATTAATTTAAAAATTTACTTTTGCAAGTAAGTGGCGCATATCTATGCTTCCGTCTTTGGTCACGTTGATGGCCTCAACTTGCATGCCTGCCATCTGGGCTGACGCTGGGTTCGTCCCATGAGCAGAAACAGGAATCAGGCAAATTTGTCTGTGACCCTCGCCCTTTGCTTCCAGGTATGATTTGATCGCCCTCAGTCCTGCGTATTCACCCTGGGCCCCACTATTTTTTTTTTTTTTTTTTTTTGTAAATATTATTAAACATTTATTTATTAATTTATTTCTATAATTTAATTTACCTGTTAGGTTGGAAGGAGATTTTGTCGTAGCCAGTAATTTCACACAGATCCCTCTCCAGTTCTTCGAACAACTGTTTGTAGCCGAGCGCCTGCTCCAGAGGAACAAACGGGTGAATGTCTGTAAAGTGCTTCAGACTGCAAGGCATCATTTCTGTGGTACTATTCAACTTCATGGTGCAAGAGCCCTGTCAGATAGAAAAATTTCCAATTAATCTGCAAAGGAAGTTTTTTTTTAGTTTTACCAGAGGAATCATAGAGTGCACCAGGGAGATGTCTTTGTTCTCCAGCATTTTCATGTAGCGGACGATCCTGCTTTCCGAGTGGTACGAATTGAAAATAGGGTGGGTGAGATAGGGCGACGTTCTTTTGAATTGGGAACTCAACAGACTTGTTTCCTGGATTTCATGGGCACTTTCCTCAGCTAGCTAAATTTTAAATGTTTTATAAATAAAATAAAAATTTTAAATTTTAATTAACGAAAATCACCTCTGATGCTGTTCCCTGATAACCTAGAATGGATAGAAGGTCCTGAACGTCACCGACCTTCACTGTTTCGTCCAAAGAAATTCCAATCTGTTTAAAAAAAAGTAATTTTTTACATGTTTTTTTATAAATTTCTTAAATTTTACTGTTCCGTCCGTGTAGTAGCGCAGGTTGATTTGCTTTCTTTGCGCCCTTTCTTGGACTTCAGCGACGTCACAGTTTAGAGAAATCCGAATGGTATCAAAGAAATGAGGGTTCATAATAGTGTGCCCAACCGACCTTGCACCTATTTTAAATTAAAAAAATTATATCCTTAATAAATAAAAAAAATTTATTTTTACCTGCCGCCAGGAGCAAAGCAGAGTCGTGGACCCTGGTTGCGATATCCTTTAGTCCATGAGGGCCATGGTACACCGCGAACATTGCAGACATATTTGCAAGAAGGGCTTGCGCTGTGCAAATATTGCTTGTGGCTTTGTCGCGTCGAATGTGTTGCTCTCGGGTTTGAAGGGCCAAACGGTACGCGTCCAGGCCATTGATGTCTCTATATTAAATACAGTTATTAAAGAAAAAAAACGACATTTATTTTAATTATATCATTAAAAGTCCAGGTAATTTCCCAAAAATTATCAGCTCTGGTGCTTATCAAACTAATTGCTTCGAGTTCACAATACAATTATTCAACATAATATTTAAATGTGATTTAACGTCCATTTTTTCGATTTATTTAACATTTCATCTTTATCATGCAAGTCTTTGAACTCTTAGAAAAAGTATTTAAAAAAAAATCTCATAATTTTATTAAAAGTACCTCGTAACTCCAATCATTCGGCCTGGCATGAGGCGCACCAAAGATTGCCGACAAGCAAAGAAACCGGCGTGAGGGCCGCCGTAGCCTAGGGGGACGCCAAATCTCTGACTGGTGCCGACGGCAATGTCGGCGTCGAACTCACTAGGAGGTCGAAGGATTGTGAGAGCCAACAAGTCAGTGGCGCAAACGACCAGAGTCTACGGAGTAAAATTTAGAATAAAATATTTTAAAGCAAAATTATGGTATGAAAAAAAAATATGGGAAAAATTAATATTTTTTATTGTTTTTTAATTAAAAAATTGAAAATAATAATTACTCCGTTGGCGTGCGCCTTCTCTGTGAGCTCCGAAAAGTCCGTAATCGAGCCGTGCGTGTCTGGGTACTGCAACAAAACTCCCGCGTAGTCCCTGCTGGAAAAGTCTGCGGTAAGCACGTTGCCCTGAATCACCTGCAGCCCCAGCGAGGAGGCGCGCGTTTCGACCACACTCGCAGTTTGAGGGTGAAGTTTGTCCGAAATAAACAGCTTGCGTCTCTTATTCTGCCTGGTAAAAAAAAGTGATATTCAAAAAATTGTAAGAATAAATTTGCAAAACCTGTAGCAAAGACTGAGCGCCTCCGCGGCTGCTGTTCCCTCGTCGAGCAACGAGGCGTTTGCAACCTCCATTCCAGTGAGGTCAGCCACCATCGTTTGGTAGTTGAGGAGGCCCTCCAAGCGACCCTGAGCCACCTCTGGTTGATACGGGGTGTACTGAGTCGTCCTTTGGAATTTTTGATTTTTTTTTTCAAATGTAACTAAAATTAAATTATTTTACCATCCAGGATTTTCAAAAATGTTCCTCATGATTGTGTGCGGCGTGCAGCAGTTGTGGTAACCCATTCCAATGTACGAGCGCCACACTTTGTTCTTTTCGGCGATTTTCTTAATCCTGATCATTAAGTCATGCTCGGCTGCAAAAAACAAATAATCTCTGAGCAGAGGCCAAGCGGGTCACCCCCCATGAATGGTGGTCAGAGGTCAAGCAAACATATGTATGTAGTTCATAGCAGACAATTAAATCCAGTTGTGAAACATTGAGAAAAATAAAAATAATAAATATCACATCAATAGAAAAACTTACACGTCGGTTCTTCGATATTCAAATCACGGTTGAGTTTGATAGTTTCAGGTACAGCTTTGATTGTCATCTCTTCAAGAGTCTGAAAGTTTTAATTAATTTAAAAAAAATAAATGTTTTAATTGGTACTAACCCTATATCCGATGAAATCGAGCATTTCGGTTTGCTCGTTTTCTCGAGGTCCAATGTGTCTGGCCGGGAAATCTGCATTATTTTGAAAAAGCTTTTGCACGGACGCTGCATTGCTGGCGCTGTTTCTCCAAATGCATTTCGAAGACCTCAAAAACTTTGGCACAATCAAGGAACTGACCCTATGCATTGCGAGGCTCTCGACGGTCTGGCGCTTGCACTGACCGAGTGAGTTGGCTAACTTGAACTTTGCCCCATATGCCGATTCACAGCAATCAAGACTAGTGAAATCTGTTCACTGCCGCTGCTAGTCAACACACATCAGTGACACAATTCCTATAGAGTTTATCGCCTTCTTATAATCTTATCAGATTAATGACAGATCCATTGGAAATTATTGACAACAAAAAATATAATTATTACTGGAAGCTTAAAATTTAAACTTTATTGAAAACTATACATATTTGTCCAGGAGAATAATACTCGACTAATTTTAAAATGTATAAAACTAATGATCAGAGAGATTCAAAGCTTAAAATTAAAATACAAGATTCCTGCCGTAATATCAATTTTGGTATTTTTGTTTATATTTTAAAAGCAGCTTATTTTTATCCTATTCTTTCATAGTTCACATCTAATGGCACGAAATTGTGATGTCCAACTTTTTTAGTTACATAATTAACTGACTTATTATTTACATAATGTTATCGACAAAAACAGGAACTATATTATTCCCAATATCATTGTGGAAATGTGCCAGATTTTATTTCACATTAAGAATGATCAACAATTGGACAAAAAAAGAATATTTAAGGAGTGTTCAGCTTCCCACATACTTAAGACTAATCAATCTCCTCAGGTTGCAAAATACATTTTTTTCTTTTCTCTCTCAGTAAGAAAAATAGAATATTGTCATTCTAGTTGAATGAGTGCAAGGAGCTGCAGCTTGATTCTAAAGTTCGTGCAGGAAAAAAAGCTTGATTAGTGCTGAAGCTCCTAACAAGATTCACAATTCAATTTTCCAAATTCTCTTGAATTTGCTTCTCATACGCCATCAAACTTGTTTTCAACGAAGCAGGGAGGCAAATCTTTTTTGCAGCAGACGGATCTTCAGACTCGCTTGCCTTTCTTTTTGTAGCACCAGTATTATTTCCATTTGACTGGCGTTTCTTCTTTGAAAGTGGCATTGGTCGGGATTTCTTGTCTTGAGGAACCTTTAATCACATTTAATTAGCTAACAAATTAATCAATAGAAAAAAATCACCTTCGGCTTGTTTGGCTTGTCAGAATCATTTCCAGTGGCATTTTCCGGTTCAGAAACTTCCTTTCCAGAACTCTTCCTTGGGTTTTTGGTAGGCATTCTTTCCCTAGGGTTTTTCTTCTTGCCCGCACCGAGCAGCTTTTCCTGTTCCCTGATCAATTTCTTCTTCTTTTCCCGTTCGCCAATTTTCTTGAATTTCAGTTTGATTTGTTTCAAGCGTTTTTCAATCGACATTGGTTTGGTCATTCCCAGAGAGTAATCGAAATCATCGTCGTCAACCTCGGTTTTCACCGCTCCGTGTTCCATCTTGATCTCTTGCTTGATCGGCACTGGAGCCACAGCACTGATTTCAGTGAACCCAAAAGTGTTGAAGAGATCAGCCTCGATCTTGGGCTCAATCTTGATTCGCATCGGAATGGTTGGTTTGATATCTTTCTCCTCATTGACCTGCAAAGACCAACAATTTATTCAAGAGGATAATTTAAATTGAAAGTTAACCACGCACTTTAGGTACAGTCAAAATTCTCTCCTGGTTTGCTTCGATGCTTTTCTGGAGTCGTCTGACTCGATTCGGGTTGTCATTCTTGTTCGAAGCTACTTCACCATCACCAGCTTTGTTTTCCTTTTCGAATTCTCTCTTGGCTCGCTGGTATTTTGCTCGAAACATGTTCCAGTTCTTGATGTGTTGCGAGCAGTCTGTGCAGACGAAATGGGACTTGCCGTCGTATTTTGAAATCTATACAAAAAGTTTAATCGAAATTTGCTGGGAAAATTTAATTATACCTTGAGACTGAGGGTCTTCTCCAGCCACATGCGAACTTGTGGTTTTTCGAATAAATCAAAGGCAACAACGGTGCACGGACGGCCACAGGTCCTGCACTCGTGCTCCTCAACCTTCAAATCGTCCACCTCCATTGCATGTATTGATCTCTCTCGCCTGAAAAAAAAAACGCAAGTTTAATCAAAAATTCAAATTCGGATTTGAGTGAAAACAGTGACAAGTTTTTTTTTAAGAGATTCATTTAGGATGAATTAATCCTGGGATGAATTAATTTTATCTCAAATTTACAAGAATTAAGAAAAAAATGCTTGACAAAAGTGCTCAAAGATAGATGAATTATTTATTTAAAAATTGATACACACCGCACCTGTCACACCTCTTGTCAGTAGGAAAAAAGTGGGTTGATTTTCGGCTGCTGTCAGAGATCTTAACTGGAATTTCTAGCTGCGGACTGATCCTGAATGGTGCCGACAGTTGTAATTGACGAAATTTGAAGAAAAGCTGGTTTTTTTCCGCCCTTTCAGCGCCAAAACGCGAAGCCAGAGACAGCAGACGCAGCTGTTATCCGACCACTTGGCGCCAGAAATGATCTTTGTTGTTTTTTCCTCCTCGTGTTTCTTTCTGTTTTATCTTGACGCTGGGCGCATCGGTCCTGACCTCTCGCGGAGAAGGCGGTGAAAAGCCCGCCACTTTTCACACCGGCCAATGCAGAAAATTGTGTGAACTGAACACGTTAAAATGATTATGATTTGTAAATTAATACATCATTGACTCATTATAATTGGCCTTAAATATTTTAGAGGAAAAAATATCTTCAATGATTACAAATCAAGTTTGCTTTTTTAAAAAAAAATTTTGTGAGAAAAAAGAGGTGTATTAATATAAATAGAGTTCAGCTCGAATACTTTTTTATCAACTTGGTTCAATGCTTTTAGCCTCGGTGAACACAATTAAGGTGGCGAAAAGTGCGGACATATCTAAGAATAAAAAATAAAATTTAAAGAATAATTATTTGAAAAATTAAAGTTTTTCTCCCTGACTTGGATACTTTATTTATCATCTTAACTTTTTTGATGTATTCAAAGTTAATAAATAAAGATTATTTCACTCAATTTCACAGAGACTTAAGGGTATCTTGTATGTATGAAATAAACATTCAAATTAATAGATCATAAAATTGGCAAAAGTAATTCTGAAGACTAGATTATCTGCAATTTGAGAGGCTCAACATTTTAATATAATTAATTTGATTTAATTGTTAGCGGAAAGGTTATGAAAACGATAAAAAATAACTGTACCTAGCAAATTCAGTATTTTATTATTATTGAAATAAGAGAACCGCGATCTTGATTGTGTATCTGAGCAACTCTCTCGCCGTGGACCCAAAACACTTGTGCTCGTCGCCATAAATAATTCGCCGTGTCCTGCTCATCTGACAGCAAGAAAAATGGTGCGATTCTAATCGAGTTTCCAGGGAATCGACGCAGCCTTTTCCGCGGAAAATAATTCTATTCTCAGGTTGATGAATGGATCTGGCGCTTCCTCTTCTTGGAATCGTGAACCGCTGCAGAACGCATTCCCTGGAAGGCTGCGATAAATTTGAGAGAAGAGCAGGGAGGGACGAGGGTGCGCAGGGTGTGGTAGGGAATCGATCTGCGGCTGGCTGGCGAACCCACCCTACCCCATGTCATCCCTGCAAGAGCTCGCCGAGCCTGGTGACGTCATTCTGACGCAAACACGGCCCCAAAATCACTTCTGCAGTGGTGTGACTCTCAATGAATTAGCTGGCCCTTGTTGCTTCTCAATTGCCCCGTTGATAAACCCCCACCCTGCCCACCAAATCCTCCCTTCCATTAACGATATCCATTTGCGCACTTTCCTTAATTATATGTTGCATAATATGCCTTTATTTTCTTTTCCCTCGGCACTTTTGTCCACGGTGAATAAATACAGTTTTAATTTTACGTTTCGACTGATTGCAGAGGTAAATTTGCCCTTATGTGGAAAAATATACAAAAATAAGTTTCAGTAAATGGAAAGAAAATATTGGATTTAAAAAATTTTAATTTCAATATGTGAAGAATGAACATTAAGTAATAATAATGGATTTAAAAATTAACATATTAAGCCGAGGCTTTTACAGATGGCAGATTAATTTTAGGACTTAATTTTTTCACTTAATTTTAAAATAAATAAATATTAAAAAATATTGTTAAAATTTTAAGATAACTTGAAAATGTATTTTCGGTTTTAACTGTGTATAAAATTAACATAAAATCACATAAAATGGATAAATTAAGTATTATTATTGTATTAATAATGAATAATAAAATAGTGATTATAATATCATTCTGGTAGAAAATACTATTTTAATCCCAATAGTACAATTATAATTTCTTGATATACACTTTTTTCGGTTCGAAATGGAAGAACAAAAGTACTGAAATTCAAAGCAATTTTTTGGTGCCCTCATAATCGGTTTTCCGTTCATCCTCCTTAAAATGAAGCTATTAATTTTTTTTTTAATGGAACTACATGCACCTATTAATTTTTTTTGTAATTTTATTTTGATTAACGAAAAAATATCTACTTGTTTAATTTTTAATTCCATTGAAACTGTAAGTCCTTTTGTGTAGTGTAAAATTTGCGCTAGTAATTGGAGCAGTAATAATCACAAGAAAATTTCAAAAGTAATATAATTTGGTTATCTTTGTCGCTTTTATGCGGGAAATATATTCCCATTCACAAAAACTTTCAGCGTGTGGCTGAAAGAGGAAAACGCTAGAAGCAAACCGCGTGAACTTTCAGATAACACGAAACAAAATCAATGTCGCCGTGAACATCTGCAATGTTTTCATTCAGGTGCGAAATTTCCTGCTGCGAAAGGGCGCATGCTCTGACGGTCTGAATTTGCGATGCGCCTTTGACCTTTGGAAAATTTCACCGGCACCTCTTGTGCTGCGCAAAATTTCAATTTTCAACAAAAATCTACATTCTCAGCAATTTCCTTCCAAATAATAAAAAAAATATCCCCCTAAGAATAATAATAAATTGTAATATGAAGAACATATTGAACGACGTAGAGCAGAAATTCAGCCCTTTGTGTGCAGAATGAATGCAGGAAATCGATAAAATTATCTCTCGGCAGTTCAAATTTGACGGATATGCTGAGTCACGTCCGCCAGTCCTTGGATTCTTAGGAGATTATTCAAAATCAGAAAGGGAAAAAGAAGATAGTGCTGAGATAAAAGCTACCAAAAAAACCGTGGATATGCAATATTTTAATTTTGGGGTTTCCTTTTCCTATATTTTTTATTTTAACTTGGAACTGAAAGTTATCAGTCAGTTTGCTTCGCTGCGAAATTCGTAGTTGGGAAAAAGCCGGTTCGGCGTAGTTTCTGATCATTGAGGTTGAGACTGTGGACGGCTCCGGAAGGGCGCGGCGCTTGCGTGCGCCAGGACAAAAAGGGAGGCGTGACACCAGGGCTGGGGTTGCGCGTCACACTTGGGCATTCATATCGATTGTCGCCATAGCAACTCGCTCGAGAGAAGCGCTGGTGACGTGACCGGGACTTTCTGCTCGGGTCTCGGTAAATGTGCAACAGTTAGTTGAATCCTCCGAGAGGGCTGAAAATTCTCAAATTTCATCCCTCTTGAGATTCTTATTTTATGCCCCTAAAACTTAGGAATATTTTGCGACGAGTAAGATGAAAGGGTCGGGAAAAGGAAGGAGCCATTCCTTACTTATAGTATGAAAAGAGAAAATTGAGTTATTGATTTTTTCATTAAAATCAACCTGATTATTTCTAAATTAATCCTTGTTTTTATTTTCTGCTACTTTTATTTTATCTTTATCAATGCAGATGAAAGCAAAGATAATTTTGGGCAATTTGTAACTCACAATCAGTTTATTAATTCTTTGTTTTCAAATCAGGACTGATAACGAAACTCAAGGTCTACAGGCTTTAGAAACTCTGCTAAAAAAAATCCACCTGTTTCCCATACAGACCCTTGCAAAAACATGCGAATCCATATTGTGTTCTTACTTTCTAGGTCACGAGTCACGGGATTTGCCAACTGGGGTAGAAATTCTTATTCCATTTTGGCACTATTCCATTGTTGAATAATCGAATGATAGCTTTGAATTGTCAGAGGCTTTCTTGCTTCTCATAAAAAAAAAATAATGATAGAAGAGTTAAATAATTATTTTACATTATTTGGAAAGGTTTGTGTTTTATTTGTCATTTTTTAAGCAATCCAAAATACTATAAAAGATATTTTTAAACGTCGAGGTTATGTATTATGCTCATTTGGATTAGTGTTTTTCAGTGTCATTGCAAAAACGTCCATTGTTACAAGTCTCGTGAGCGACAGTTTATGCAACCTGTTCGACTCGCACACGGAGCGTGTTGCATAAGCCGGTAATCCAGGCGATGACCGCAATTATTTTATAATCGGAGAGCGTAAAAATGGATATTGATTTTTTAAAGGAAAAATTAGCTATTTATTTTTAGTTGAATTTTTGAAAAATGTAATATGGTTTAGCATGAGATTTATTTTTATTTGATAAGAAACATAAAATATTTTTTTTTACATAAATAGATCATTAAAAGTTGATAATGTTTGAACAAATTAATCAAGTTATTTGCAAAAATGTGAAACGGTTTCGCCCATTTAAAATTCGAAGTTGTGATAAAAGTGCTATTGATGCTAATAGAGGCGGGCATGTGACGCTTCAAAATTCAATTCATTGATGGGGAAGGAAGGTGGATCAAGTTTCACGACTTTGCCCTTTGATGTGCGATTAATGTGTCGCTTGGCTACGATTACAGGCTGAAAATTTGAAGTTAATAAAGGCAGAAAACAAAATTGATCAAAAATTAATAAAACTATAAATTTTATGCTGAAAAAAAAATCCTGAATATTTTTCCATTCATTCAACCAGACAAAAAAAAAATATATATATTTATTTATTAATTTCTTTTGGTTGCGAATTATTTTGCGTTGTAATATATCGATCTAAGCGCGGGCCAGCGGCAGGGATTGACGTCACTATGTCTGCAGCGGCTGCCTTTATTCATCTCATTCATAAGTCGCCTGCACTGACGTCACCCTCGCTCCCCCCAGTCTGCGGACAGGTAGGCAACTGTCAATTTTGGTCGCCCGTCCATTCACACACCGTTCATTTGCACAAAACTACTTTTGTATTATTCCAACACATTCCAGTGGAAAACGCGCGTGACGACATCCGACCGAAAATTCCACGCGCCGACTCCATTAATAGAACAATCAACAAACATTTTCATGCCATTCTGCCGGCGATTGCGAATGAAAAACGTCAGAGCCAAAGCGTGCCGTACTTTCCGCAACAATATCACTGAAATAAACAACCGGATGCACTGATAAATTTAATGAAGAACCTCCCTTTTATTGTCGTTATGAAATCCCCATATCCTTCCTATAAGAAAATAGTATAATTTAAATTTTCCGTTGAAAAAATCATTGTGCCAGTGGCAGAATAAATTTAAGTTTTTACATAAATAACTATAATACTTAACTCACAGCCAAACTCTGGTGATATCTTCTCATTTAATTAGTAAAAATTTTTTTAAAATATATATTTAATGAATTAATAAAACGATTTATGAATTACTGTCTTAATTGCTTTAAATTACAAATTGTCATGCCAAAATTACAGTTTGAATAAAAACAATAATAATTTGTAATGATAAAATCTTTCAAGGCATTAATTTAAATAATAGACTCGGTGCTCAACAGAAGCCCCAGCTGAGAGAAACTCTTCTAGGAATAAAAGATCCGTGACCTAATTCAGTAAATAATGTTGGATTTTATCAGCTGTCTTCGCCTCAGCAAGCATGGTTGTGCGCGCTCCTGCTGAATTAATAACATAATACGTGATGTAATTACAAGTTAAATGATCACATAATATTGAGCGTTCGACTGCACACCTCATCGCTCATCGAGTGTGGCACGGTTTACACTAGCAACAATTTGTTATTTATGGCCGTGGTCACGAATTATTCATTTATAACGTCTTCCCGCGGTTTTATTTTATTTATTTTTTATTTCGGGAGGATTTGCCTCAATTAGAAGAGGGAGCACGAGGGAAAGGCGCGCGGGCTTTATGGTCGCACCATTATTGACCTGGCCGAGCCCATTGTTGTTGAGTCGTGCTGAGAGATAGGGATTTTTATTTTACAATCCTTTGTTTATGGCACTTTTCAGCGCATCTCTGCTCCGAAGAACGAATGTAGCGTCGAGGTTAGGCTAAGGGTCCAGCGCCAGCCTGCCGTGTAGTGCACTCAACTCATGCCCGCTATTTTTAGCGATCGTCTCACTCAGGAAACTCGTCCCCGCTCACTCTTTTCAGATTCGCCAATTCAGCATCGCTCAACAGTGGCGGGAATGAAAAAAACCAAGTCTGGATTTATTTAGTTTTTAATTTTCTTAATAATATAAAAAAGGAGGTTTGATATTTAAATGAAACACGTTATTTTACGAGCTGAATATTTTATTGTTTTTTTCATTTTTTTTCTTCATATGCAACATTCTCTCTCATTGTTCAAATATATATGATACGTTCATTAATTGCCAGATTAAATCAAAGTCAAGGTAATCGTGGAACATTCAACAAAACACAATTTCCCATAAATCCAAATGGATGCTTCGTGTGCAATGAATGGAGAGCATGAACAGGAAAATTCAAATGCCATTGATAGAGAGAATCTAGAAAATTTGAAGATGCACACATTTTTTTATCCAAAGGAATAATTAAGCAGCAGCGCAAAACCATCAAATTTAAAATGTATTTATTTTTTTCGTATGACAGCTACATTTAACTGGAACAGAGACGTGTGGAAAGACACCGAATTAATTTCAATCATCTTTTCCAAACGGTACAGAAATATATGAACCACGCGCGAAATGCAAACATCAAATAATGAAAGCTTTTTTACAATGACTACTGCAATAATTATTTATTAAATAATCCAAGTAGCAAAACTTGACACATCACTTTGCATATTAATTTGTATGCAATATTTTTACACTTAGGCCTGTTTCTTTTTGTACATTCTTATAGTATTTTTATATGTAATAAATTCAAGTACATATTTTTTTTTCTTTTTAAAACACTCTCATCAGGTTCATATTTTGTTTCTGTAAATTTCGTCAGCATGCAAAGACACTTTGCGGAAATAAAATAATCCAGATTATGTTTCATGATCAGAAGCCTAATCGCACCGCAAATAATTAATTTAAAAACAATGTTTCGCGCATCTAGAACGGTTTAAGCGGCCAAAGGGGTTGACATCCCTCGAACTACAGCCAAGTACTGCTAATATTTATAGTATTTGGTCACAGCCCATTCTCAAAATTTTTGCCTGCTTAATTGTGCATTTGTGTGGCTCAACCCACTCCAGTAAAACTAATAAAGTTGAGATAATTTTTGCTCGGATTTAAAGTCGCGGTTTTTCAAATATCCAATCAATGTATATACATAATATATTCTATTTTCTAAATGAGTCCAGTAAAATCAGAGTAACCAGCGCTCCTTCTTAAAAGTGCATCTCAAAAGGCCACAGTTACAATTGTGAATACAGTTGTGAAGCTACAGTAAATTTAGAAACCAAGCAGTTTTTGCCAATCGTTATAAAAATGCCTCTGCTTTCTAACCTCGATAATATATTTTTTCATGTTCTTTTTACTTCAAAATTTGGCACCAGCGTTTATTCTTAAATAATTTAAACTGTTCTGAAAATTCAGCTAATTAGGCCATGAGCAGCAGATTTGCGATTCGTTTAAGTTGCCGCGCGCGTCTCCAGATAGATTTCTTCACAAGGCATGTTAATTATTTTATTTGCGGGTAAAAGATTCTTTGAGGATGTCTAAAGTGGTTTGTTTGTTTTTGCTCACTCATTCACTCATTTTGCCTGCATTTCTTTTACACATGAACAAAAAAATAAAAATCAAAAATGAAAAACGCAATAAAACCATCAGCTAGGTAAAATAAAAACGATTTTTACCGCGAACGGTGCTCAAATATAATTAAACTTAAGCGTTAATTTGTTTAGTCAGGAATGTGTAATACTCAGCAGCACGTATGTATTAATTAATATAATTTTTCACCATCAACAACTTTGCACTCCGCAGAATTGTAATCGATTTTTTAAAAAATAAACTATACACAAAAAATATGTATTAGCGCTGTTATTTGGCAACAATGTGAGCGGCATTTTCAGTGTGTCCGCCAATCACGAAACTAAATATTTTCTGCAACAAAAATTGAGAATCTTACAAAATGCATAATTATTAATTCATCATTACAACTTGCACGAGATGCCTTATATACAGAGCAGGACTATTTACACTCAACAAATTGTAAGTAGAAGAGAAAACGACGTTCTGATTTATAGAGAAATTTTCAAAGGAGATAAAGAAGGAAATGGGCGAAAAATCTTAAAATCGGTGGGTGTTTCAAAAGGTAAAAGTTTGTGAATCAACGGAGCTTGAATAAAATCAAAAAGAGGAAAACACATAAATATTTCACGGGCTGCCAAAATGGACTGTTATATTATTTGCTTGCGTTTTGAGCTGATGACATTTAAAGAGTTCCCTCTTTTTCTGCATTATTGTGATAAAAGTGTGTGATTCGGTGCTCTGGGGAAGCTCCGAAAAAATCAAATTCACAAACTCAAATCTTTTGAAACACGCATCAAGTATTCGCCTCATTTCTATTTTCCAATTGCTCGTCGTCTACACCCACTTTGCCTATAACTAAGGGCCACATATTTTCTCACAACGTCTCCTCTCGATACATTTCTAACGCAAATACAAAAATATTACGCTGCATGCCTTGTCAATTTCGGACACTTTCAACTTCCTGACAAGCACGCGCACGATTATGAGAGGATATTTGTACCCCCGCAATCAATACAGTTTTTGAGCCAGTTACAAGTGAAAGATCTGTACGTGTTTAACACTGTCAACAATAAATAATTTAAATATTATAGACATCAGTCAGCCCAAACATACACAAAAATATATTCTTGGATCTACTGCAAATTTCAGCATCTCAACCGCAAGAAATGGCAAAGGGCGCGCAGTACCAAAATAGCTTTTTGGATCTCTCAATTTTTACGTGTCTCTGTGTTTGTGTGTATGTGTGATATTTTTTCGAGCAGGTAGTCGGATTGGCAATATTATTTAATTTTCAATCATCTTTTGGTTGCAGCAAAATGTAAAGGTCCTTGTTTAAGATGGTCGGCAAAGCAAAAGAATTGACGAGGACTAGCGTTAATGCTGCGTTACTGGGAGGAGAAAAAACTTGAAAAAACAGAAAGTTTGCAATTAAAAAAAATAATAATAATTTAATAAAATAAATCTATCATTCAAAAATTGTAAAATATACTTTTTTAATTTGATAGAAAAAAAATCTGTTTTTAATTTCATTGCACGTTTTGTGTCGTGAATGAGAAAGTTAATCAGAATCACTTATCTGTTAGAATCTCGCGCATTTAGCATAGTCATTGATATTAAGAGATCTTCCATTAATTTGTGTAAACCTACGATTTACAAGCCTGTTTCCAAGTGATGGCACGCAATGAATTTGAAGTTTCAAATGCAAAATACACAAACGCACATGTCCAATTGGAGAAGAAGTATGTGAGCGAGGGGAAAATTTGTTCAAAAAATAATTTAATTTTTTCAGTAAAAATTCGTGCCGTTTTCCTGCACAGGACTAACTGAGGTAACTGGTAGTAATTAAATAAAAGGGAAAAATCATGATAAATGTTTAATGATTCTAAATAATCCTATTAAGTAGGAAAAAATGTCATGGAATTTAATCTCTTTTGTATTTATAAAGCCAATCGATTTCACGATTTTGTGTGTGTTGTTCAGAACGCAATAAAAATAAAATGTCAATGGTGCTCGCCAATTATTCTGTCGCGCAGTATCGATTGCACGAGTTTACCCTGCCGCACGAGGATGCTGTTAACGCAGGAAGTCGGACGAAAAATAATATAAAATATTGCGCTTGTGCACAGTTAAGAGAGCACATAGGAAAAGACACGTACGTCGCGTTGATCTTGAATGTGCAAAACGTGTGTGTGTGAATCAATCAATATTATATATTATAGACAACCGCAATAATTTAGTAAAATCACAGACACTCACATTAATATTTATATATAATAATAATAATAATAATATTCTATTAAAAAGGAGATTTTCTTAATTTTGTGTGTATTAAGAACCTCGATCGTTTCTGTTTTTTCCATATTTATACTTATAACAATGTATAATAATATGAAGTTGGAACACAGTGTTGTGAGAAACGCGCGCGCATATTTTCATACTCAATTCTCTGGAGAGTCTAAAAAAGCAACTAACAGGAGTCCTACAGGGAGGTGGTCACCACGGGGAGGTCGTCGCCTATGCTGCCCGACGGGGTGCCGGGGTGCATGTGCATGTGCTGGGGGTGCACGTTGTGGTGGTGGGAGGAGGGGTGTTGTTGTTGCTGTTGTTGGTGCTGCTGCTGCTGCGAGTGGGCCTGGTGGTGGCCGCCGCCGCCGCCGCTTCCGGCCGCCATCTTGGACTCCTTCTTCATCTTCTGCTTGAGGTGGACCTTGGCGTGGCGCTTCTTCTCGTCGGAGCGCGCGAACTTGCGGCCGCAGATGTCGCAGCTGAACGGCTTCTCGCCGGTGTGCGTGCGGATGTGGGTGGTGAGGTGGTCCGAGCGCGAGAAGGAGCGCATGCAGATGCGGCAGGTGAACGGTTTCTGGCCGGTGTGTATCCGGATGTGCCTGGTGAGCTCGTCAGAGCGGCTGAAGCGGCGGTCGCAGTTCTCCACCGGACACGCGTACGGCCGCTCGTGCACCGGCGTCTTGCTCGGCCGGTTCGGGTACTTGCGCGGCTTGACCGGCACCAGCTTGAGGGGGATGGGGCTCTGTTGGTACACCTGCGACAGGATCTCGTGGCCTTTGCTCGTGGAGGGATTGTACTCTGCGAGTTGGACGGAGGAGAACGCCGAGGAGCCGCCGCCGGGCGCCATCGACTGCTGCGTGTTGCTGGAGGAGGTGGTGCTGCCCGTGGGGGTGGGCGCCGGCGCCGGTTGCTCCGACTGGTACTGCTGCGGCTCCTGCTTGGGGATGAGGCCCGACGGGCCCGGCACGGCGTACTCCTGCGGCTCCAGCCACTGGTACTTGGGCTGCTGCTGCTGCTGGCCGAGCCGCGAGTACATCAGGTCGCTGGTCTCGGAGCAGCTGGAGAAGGTCTGCGGGATTTTCAGCGGCAGGTTGGAGCCGCACGCGTCCAGCTGCAGGTTGAGGAGGTCGCCCTGCTGGCCGAAGGCGCTGGGCCGCTGCGGAGGGGTGCCGGGGCCCCGCTCGTCGTAGTTGAGGGGGGAGGGGGCGCTGCCGTAGTGCGGCTGCTGCTGCGGGGGCAAAACGCTGAACAGCGACGGGAACAGACCCTTTTCGCTGCTCGGCAGGATCCAGTGGTTGATGCCGCTGGTGTTGCCGGCGCCAGAGTTGCCCTGCGAGCTGCCCGTCGTCGTGAACACGCCGCGGTACGTGATGTTGGGCCCGCCGGACGGCACCGGACTGCCCATCCCGCTCGGCGAGCTCGGCACGCCGGGTTTGCTCGGGAACATGCTGCACGCGTCTTCTTCCTGCACGTCAGGGTTGATGCTGATTATGCTGATCTCGCGCGGCTCCGGAGTGCCGCGACTCGTCGACGAGGGGTGGTCGATCGACAAGTCCTGAGTACCTGAAACACAAATGGAATCATTAATTTCTGCAATTACACGTACTTCGTTTCTTGCGGCTGTTGACGTTTAACATTTTGCAAAAATGTCAAAGTTCAAAATGAATGGGAAAGGTCAGACGCCTCTTCAGCAAAATTCCTTGTGAAAGAAATATAAAAAAATTACCTTTTTTATATAAAATAATTTTAATTCAAAATTAATAAATTAAATATTTAAACGCCCAGCAATAATTATTGGCTGCCGAAACGATTAAAAATGTGGCATGTTATTTAAATCTCTGTGAATTTCGGTTCTAGTGTCATGATTTTCTCAAATTATAAATTCATGAATTTATTTAAAAAAAATTTAATTACAATTTTATTTGTTGTTTATGCAAAACCACGATTCGATTTGTTGTTTTAAAATTACATTATATAAATAAACGCCTATTCCAAATCGAATTTTAATGGGAGGGAAGCCGACCTGAACGCGCAGTCAGTAATTTACCTGTGACGCAAAAATATTTCTCAATTAAAAAGGCGGGGACGCTTGACTGGAGAGGAAGGTCCAAGTTGGAGCCCCCACCCCACCCTGAGGCAGATGGAGCAAAACATAATTGATATTCATTTTTCACAATTGAGGAAGATACAGAAAAGGAAAGATCGATGAGCGCTCGCTTCATTTGGGCGAACCCGCTTAATCTGGCCGCGCTTCTCGTTTTCCTTATTAGTCAGCGGCGAGTTGTTCAAGGCACCACTCGTCCTCAAAAACCCAAGCCGCTATTGATTTTACAAGTTAGAGTACTATGAGTAAGGAAAATTTACATTATTTCATTTGTAAACAATACAAAAATAGCGCTTAATTTTTTTAAACTGTAATTTTTAAATAAAATGTATAGCAATCAACAAGTGAAATTATAAGTAGAAGAAAAGCTGTTAGAATGTACAAGTTAAAGTTAATTTAAGATGTTTTAATTAAAATTGCCTTGTCACTTCATTGAATTATAAATAATCAAGCGCAAGATATACAATTAATTTAGCTGTAGTGATTTTTTAATTATTAAAACTCCAGGCGATGAAGAAAACTTTTTTGATTAAAATAAAATTCCTTGAGTTTAAAATTAATGAAAGATTTCCATCAACATCGAATATGAATGAGATAATCGTATGAGTGAAGAAGATGGAGAAATGAAAACAATGACGATTTCTTACCAATTAATTTTTTGAAATTAAAAAAAGAACAATTTAATAAAAAAATAAAAGCCCATTTATTATTTTCATCGGCAACAATTATTGTTAAAAAAATACCAGGATATTTAGAATAATTGCAACATCTTTGGCTTCAATCTAATCTGAATTTTCTCTTAAATGTCAAACATTTATTCAGCTCGGGAGTTTAAGGGGGGTTGCAATCAGCGGTTCCGAGTATAATGTGCGCAAAAGTGGCGAGCTATTGATTTTTCTTGGCAGCTCGCACAGTGTGGCAAATCATCTGGGAGCGCGGGGCGCGCGGGCGCTTTGGCGAACTGACACGACTGACAATGAGAGAGCGAGAGAGAGATGAGCAGAAAAGTTCACAGAGAGAAGAAAAACAAATTTAGGATTTAGAAAACGAAAACTCACCAGTGATAGGAGGGGGTTCGACGACGGTCGAGGGGCCGAAGAAGGTCGGGATGTCGCCAGAGGTAGTGACGGGGGTGTTGAGGTCTCCGGGGGCAGGCTCGGAGCCGGTGGGGTCGCTGGGGGTGCCGGCGAGACCGGTGGCCGCGGGCAGGGGCGATCCTCCACTTTCACTGGAGGCGCTGGGCTCCTTGTACGCGGTGTCGAAGCAGAGCACGTTGAAGCTATGTTGCGAGGAAACTACTGCGGAGGAGGCGTCAGCGAGGGCTGAAGAGGCATGGGGCACCTGCAGTGACTCCAGGCCATCCATAATCATTGTTGAGAAGGGTTGCTGCTGCGTGTGCTGCTGCTGAACACCTACCAAAGCAGAGGAAAAACTGGTAGAGGCCAGCGAGATTGGTTTCGGCAGCGAGTGTCTTTTCTTTTTGGCCGCCGCCGCCGCCTGGTCATTGCCGGCGCCGGCCTCGGCGGCGCCGCGACACGAGAATTTTAGGGAAGTACCCACGATCGGGGTACTGAGGCCCACGACACGACCCAGGGTTGCGTCGGGGTTGGTCACTGCGCTCGCGAAAGGGTGGTTTGCCGCCGCGTGCTCGACGAGCAGCAAGATCAGAACATCGGCTCGGCCGGCCTGCTGCTCTGGCGCGTTGCTGCTGAGTGCCGTGACTGCGACCGCGAGTGTGTCTTTGAAACGTGCGCACCGTTCGCCTGCCGCCGACTCACTGAACACCTTCTATTCCTACCAAGTTGGTTTTATGAATGGAGCGTCTGTTTCCATTTATGGGGGTCGGCCACGACCAATCGCGCGCCGTGGAGGGGAGCGACGTACCCGTGACGTCGCGCACCAATGACGTCACGCTCCGCCGCGGCTTCGGCGCACTCGCGCGCCCGCAACCCCTATCGATCTGCTCCGCTGCCCCCCTGGCGGCCCCCGAGCGACAGGTGTGCACCAACCACCTGATGGAGAGAGCGCGATCGCCGACAAATACTTTGCAGATTTTCAAAGATCACTTGAATTTTCTGTTTTTTTTTCTCAAGCTTTTTTTCTTAAAACTTTGGCTTGGATAAATACTTTTAAAGAAGAAGAAATTGACATTTTTAGGTTTAAAGGCTCTTTGAAAAAATCCTCTTTTTTTAATTTTTAAGAAGTTACAAGTGGTTTTTCTTAAAATGAGTGAGAAAAATTGGCTTTAAAGAATACCAAAGTTTTGACTATTAATCAAGAAATTAATTTTTAATGACTCGAAAAATTGATCTTTTTGTATTCTCAAAAAAATAAAAAACTTAATAAAAACTGAAAAGTTGCTCGGCAATTTGGCTCAAAGCAGTTTTCAATTAAATCAATATCTTGAAAATCGCACGCATTCCTTTTTCAAGGTACAAGTGCTCTTTTTGCAGATACCGCTCGCTTGCTCGTTCCTTGGGAGAATAGAATAGTAAATTTAATGGAATGAGAGCGCGGGTCACGTCGTGATGCGGCCGCCGCTCGGAACAAACTGAAACCCCTTCGGCCAGGACTGTTTTTCTCGTACAGACGTTGTTAGACGTCTGCTAATTTATTGCGAGCGCAAAACCATGTTGTGAGGCCGATTTTCATTCCTGCGCTATATTGAGGGACACGCCTTTCAAATCAGCGCACAATTTCGACAACCGCGCTTGTATATCACAAATCGTAACTTATTTTATCACGACGTTCCAAAATATTATACAATTTGAGTGCTCTAACGCTTTATTTCTCCGAGAGAGTAAAAAAATATTTTTGTTTCAACTCTCATTTCGCCAATCGATCAATTTTGACTTTTTTTTAATAATTTTCACAACAAACAAATTTGAGAAAAAAAAAATTATTATTAAATAATTGTTTTAATTTTTTTTTAATATTTTCTTTTCTGATAATTATTGTCGACAAATCAAATCTGTGAGCATCCAAGGAATTTTTACATTTTCATCTCCAGCTGCTGAAGCTGCTCTTTCTTGGAGTCGTGCGCATCTTTCCTCCGCTTGCCCGCATCCTCGGCAAAAAATTCCGCGTGGAAAACAAATTAGCGATAGCACTTTGAGCGGCAATAAAGAACGTAATGTTCGCGAGGCGTGAGCACAAGAGAGGCACTTAAACGTCGCATTTTTGGCAATAACTTCAACAACTTTATGTCTTAATTCTTAATATTGCGTGTCTCCTCAATGAAGGAAGCACGCGCGAGCATCGCACAGAGATGCATTGATTCAATCAGCGAGGGTCAAACTCATTTTGGAATTTCTAATGCAGAGAACAACGAGACCCTTGTCACCGTTTATTTTTTGCCGTTTCACGCGCGCTGGCCACGGAAGTAAAGCGTTATGGATGGAGAAATAAAAACACTTCCGGGAACTTCTTATCCAGAGCAGTTTCCTCTCCACGCATATATTTATCTGACCAGCCGAGTTTGAATGGAAGAGCGTCTCTGCATCGATTAATAATTTCCTTACTTCATTCACGTCGTTTTGCAAATCTTTCGATTTCGCACAAATAAATTGCTTCTCGCTCGGCAGGAAATGATTTGCTCGAGGCGCGGCATTTCATCAAAGGTTAAAAGGGCAGCAGGTCTCTGGGCAGGACGGAGAGGAAAATGGACCGAACCACTGACTTGCCGGGGGAGAGAGAGCGCGCGCGTCCGTGACAGCAGAGCCATAATTTGAGAACCAACTCGGCGTGAGCCTTTTTGTGAGGGGTGCAAAAGCAAGCTCTGCGATTTCTTTATGATCAAGATGATAAATTAATTTCTGGATGTTTATTAATTTTTGAGAAAATTCATTTGATAAAATTTATTGCGAGAAATTCTTTGGAAATTCTGGGAATTTCTTTCTGAATACGGAGAATTTAATAAAAAATAATAAAGGGCTGCTCCTACAGATTGGATGTCTGTTATTAGATCCCAGTTTCTCATCAAATCAAGAGAAATAAGATAAATTCGTTTCTCCAAGAAGCCTGTAAAGATCATTTGGATGCATATTAATTTCAGAGAAGAATAAATTTGATGAAATTTATTGCGAGAAATCGTTATCAAATTCTGAAAATTTCTTCCCAAAGGCGGAGAATTTCTTAAAAAAAAAAAAAAAAAAAAATGGGCATGTTATTTGATCCCAGTTTTTTATCCCATCAGGAGAAATAAGATGAATTCATTTTTTCAAGATGCCTTTGAATTGGATGTATTTCAATTTCGCAGGAAAATTTATAAAAATATTAAAAGAAATTCTTTGCAAATTCTGGAGAATTCATTAAAAAAATGAGCACAGATAGGCTTTCTGTCAGTTGATATCAGTTTCTCATCCAATCAAGAGAAATAAGATATATTTATTTCTCCAAGAAGCCTTTGAAAGGCACTCTAATTTTGGAGAAAAGTTCATTTCAATGAAATTTATTGCGAGAAATTCCAATCAAATTCTGAGCACTCCTTTTAAAAGACGAAGAACTTATTAAAAGAAATGCTTGCATAGGCCGTCCGTCACTTGATCCCGTTTTTTTTCTTCCAATCAAAAGGAATTAATTAATAATGGGGAGCCGGTCGGTGATATATTTATGCCGCTCACCCCAGTGACGTCACTCATTCATCCGCTCTCCTCAGCCCTAGTGACTGCGCCGGGCTGCCATCGGCGCGTTCGTCGCCCTGGCAACACTTTTCCGCGGCCATTCTCCGGCATTTTCCGCCCTCCTGGACTTCCACCTAGCGGTTTTTCCGCGAACCCTCTAGGTTCATTCATGCTTTCCGATTGATTTTGTGCGCCATTCAAACCTCGCCGCGGCCCCTGAATGCGCGCACACTCTGCCCATCGCATTATTTTGGTCCTGGCAGCAAAATTTCCGCCGCAGGCAGTGCGTTTCAGCGGCTTGCGATAGAATTAACAGAAATCATTACTCGGGGGCCTCTGGCTCGTGGAATTAAATCAAAATTAGAACACTCGCACTGCAAAAATGTTTGTTTCTCAACTCGCCGGAGAAAAAAGCTAAAAATAACAGAGTCCATATTCAATCATATTATAGCGACTGGAATTACCTTAACAGGACGAAATAATGAGAGAGCTCCTCGCAATTACGAATTATATTGCTCACATTTGAGGCTAATTCAGTAATTCTCTGCACGCAATTGCAATTACTCAGAAAGCTTGGAAGACCTATTAGCGCTAAATGCGTATGAATATTCAAAGGCGCAAAATGCAAATAACCCTTGTGAGGAATATAAAGTAAAACGTAATTCTTTCATAATAACCTTTTCACGTCCTACGCAAATTTAATGTCATCAATTAAATTTTGGTGTGAAATTTAAAAAAAAAAAAACAATAATAATTGGACGTTAAACATTTGAATTTACAATTAAAATTTTACAATCAATAAAATTTTGATTTGTTAATGTTTACAAAAATTATACTCCCGCAGCCAGGACATGTAGAGCAGCATTATTTTTATCATAAGCTAAAACAATAAACGACTCAATACCTCATTCAGGGAAGTTTAAATTAAAAAAAAAATTACATTTTTGTTGCGTGAATTTTTTTAGGAAAATTTGAGGTTTATTATAATTAAAAATTGGTATCCTTAATTACTTTTTATATTGTACACGACAGTGTTTAATAAATTTCTTATTGATTAAGTAATTTTTTTCTCAGAATTAATTTGGTTTAAAATTCTCCTTGCTGAAACCAAAGATTGATTTTGCTTGCTAATTTCCATTTCTTTGACTTCAGCTTTTTTTCAGTTTGAGAGTTTCTTGTTATTTTGAGCAATTTAATTGTTTGTTTTTTTACCTTATTCCAATTAAGATAGGTTCAAAAGTTCTTTCGTTTTTTTAGATCTGAATTGTTCAGCAATGAGTGCGACAATAATTGTGTATGTATTCGGTGAGATAAAAACATCTATCAATCACTTCATTTAGTCCGATCGAATTTTGATACGGTTGTTGGGCCTTGCTCGGTTTTCCCTTTACCATTGTGGCGGGGCATAATTAAAAGCGAGGCTCATAGACAGGCGAACAAAGCTTTTATACGCGCGTTCAAAACTATTAAGCGGCGGGCGAGTGAATCATTTTTTTGAAGGCGAAAAATAGCCTTGATGAAGAGAGGCGAAATATAAAAAGAGAGAGAGGAAAATGGGGTTGATGTCTCCACCCATCTCCGGCAGAGTGAAAAGGCGTAGTCTCAAATTTGTCTAACTTCATAAATATGATAGATTATAATAAAGAGAAGACGAGTGGAATCTCTCCTTTTGCTCCTTTCCTCCTTATAAGGCCAGGGAGGACTGAATACGATTTAAATCTTAATCAACAGTTTTACACACGTGGACATGCCTGTCTCGGAAAATAATAATTATTATTTGCTCGCCTAATTTGTGAAAACGAATTATCCCGCCGAGGCTGGGGAGATTTCGGCTTAGTCACTCTCCGCGCGCCTCTTTGAATGCAACAGGTAGTTCGGGCAGTCGCACGCCTCGTTTGATTTTCGTCAGATCATTCTGATCTTATTTTCCGATCTCGGCCCGATAGTGTCACTGTGTTTCCAAAACACACACACACACACACGTGAGACGGTGAGTCGCACTTGTCGTTTCGTATTCGCTGCACGCGGCTTATCGCGCGTCCGCATTTTTTGTTAGATCATTTAGCCGCGAGCGCGGACGTGATTCGCCGGGCCGTGAGCACCGCGGAGCGCGCGATAATCATTGTAATTTGCATTTTTACAAGAGTTTTGATTGCTCATCACGAGGTTCTAATCATTTGTTTCATATTTAAACAATTTTCACAAGAGGAAAAATTTCCCTTTTTTTATTGGATTATTTAAAAATTTGAAGGATTTACAAAAAAATATAATACCAAAATTAGGTTTTTGTTAAATAAAAATCGTTCAAAATCTTGAGATATTTTGTATGGAACTAATTGTAAAACGAACCTTTCATGACGCTTTTCTTTCCACAGCCAAATATGGGCTTCGCTTCAGAATTCTTCGTGCATGTAACTTCACCAAATTTATTTTATTTATTTTTTTTTGTGCTCGAAAGCGTTACTTCTGAAAACTTTGGTCTGTGCTAGTTTTGATTCCACCGTTTTGGGCGTCAACAATCATGAATTTCGCCCCAAGCTTTTTCACTTCTCAGCAACACCTTGAGAATAAAATCAGCTCAATGCTCACACGCTTTAGTTTAAATATTTAAAAAGTAATCTTTGGGCTTCATTTAATAGTTTGCTGATAAAAGCTTAAAGTTGAGCAAGATACGGCACTATTCATTTTAGGTGGAAGTGAGATTTTTAATCTCTCTTTATTGATCCTTTGGCGCAACTTCTAACTGAGGAACAGATTCAAAATAATGCTCGTTTTGCCCTCAGTCACCGATTGATGCTTCAAATATTCTCCTAAACAACATGTTCTAATCTCAAGATTTCAACTGAGGTCTTCAATCATCACACCTCCTTAAATATGATTTCTCATTTCTCATGAAAGCGGCTCACTGCGGCGGATGGGGTCTTTTTTATCTCAGTTTTAGCAAAATTCTTGGTAGTGGTGGTGCCGTTTTGACCAACAATTCCTTTTTTTGAATAAATTCTTCTACAATTTATTGTAAAAAAATATATTTATTTTATAGAAATGTGGAATGCGGACAAATAAAATAATTTTTTAAGACAGTAAAACCTTTGCGATACTTTTTAACTTAAATGATTTATCAAAGCAGAAAAATTACAATGAACCAATATTAGGGAAGATTACGTAATCAATAAATAAGTTTTTTTACTATTTATATTCCGTTGTTCATTTCTCCATTTGTTGTACTGGAAGATTTGTTTTATTGGAAGATTTTGTCAAATAATGTGTAAGATGTATAGTTTTTTTCTAGTAATTTTTACAAAAAATGACATAAAAAAAATTAAGATCTCAGTACAATTATTTCATTAAGAATTTTCAGGCTTACTATTAAATGAGGGTTTTGAAAATTATTTTGATTCACGTCATAAACTCCAATATATATCAAAATCTTTATGAATATTACAAAAAATAATTTAATGATAATAATAAATTAATTATATTCAAAATACTACAAAATTGCACTGAAAAAGACTACAAAAAGCACAATATCTCAGATTCGTATGTATAGGTATTTGCATGGAAAAATAGCCAGTTTGCATGAAAAAGTTTTAAACTAAAAGATCATTTTGCAAAATTTTGATTTTTTAATTGCTAGAATTTTAGTCTGCAAGACTTGTATTGTAGGTTGTGATAACATAAAAAGTAGAACTTTCACAAAATTCAAGAATAATAAATAATAAAGATTTGGAGAGCGTTTTCCAACTTTTGCATTTCAATTTGAAGGCATAACCAGAAATTTCCTCTTAAAATATTAATGCAGGAAGTTTATAAACCGTATAAATTTTTTATAAAATTAATGCAAAAATACTTAAATTTAGGTAGATAAAATTCAGAGGAGTGTCTCTCAATTACAGAAATGACAAAGTGCCTGCCTGGCAACTACTCACTCAGGGTAAAACCGAAATGGCGAAGCAGCCGAGCCGACTCCCCCCATTTGCGTCGCGCTCCGGACTGACCGCGGGAGGCGTGTGCGTTTTCGCGAAGTATGCAACCGGTGCGTGCAGCGTGTCGTGATTGCTGCATACCCTGTTTTCCGAGCGCGGATTTCGCGGGGAGGAGCCGCCGTGATTGGTGCGAGCCGGTCAATTTATAACACGCAAGATACCCCGTTTTGGCAAAGACGGCCACACATCCATAACGTGACGTAGTGGCTATGTCTAAACGTGGACAAAAGGGTGGAGCAAAGGCGGCTGGAAAAAATAATAATAATAAACACACAGAGAGAGAAAGAGAGAGAGAGAGAGACGAGAGCGGTTAATAAAACCTACGCGCGCGAGTGACGTTTCGTTTTCTCAAAGTACGATCGTTTTTCGAACCAAATAAGTCCGCAACCTGTTCCACCTACCTACCCAGCTCTCTTTCGCTCTATCTCTCACTTAATTCACAGCCGCCGCTCTTTATCTCAGGCATTATTTTTTTTCGCTCGTTACGTCACGGATTATGTGGGAAGAACAAGGTATTAAATGAAAGGCAACACATTTTTCAGCTTGATGATGTCACGTTACGTCACAGAGGGCAAATCGACGCCAACTTCCAATAGGGACAAATAAGCTACTGTTCACAATTCGCTCCAAAATATGAATGAAAATATCTTAAATTTAGGTGCAAATTGGAACGACAAACACGAAGAAGGCGGTTATTAAATGGAAGGACTTTTATGAATGATCATTAATGAAGGAGAAAACCAATATAGTTTAAAATTTATGTCCTTATGACTGCGAGTAATAAAATTGTATTCAAAAGTTAAATATCATTATTATGCCAGCAAAATGAGATTGTTTTGTAAAAATTTCAATAACTTTCAAGTAGTTTTCTACAACAAAATTAATTTTTTTTTTTATTTATTTTAATTATCAATAATTAATTATTTAATTCAGAAGATTATTTTCAACTATTTAACTTATTTGGGCTCTTTTGATTTCGTCGCAGTACTAATTAATTTTAAAAGTTCTTTTTTAATATATTGCAATATTTTATAAATAAATGCTTTAAAAATGAGCAATATTTTTCAAAATATTCTATAAAATTTAGAGAACTTTATTTTAGAGTAAATCTATTGTGTTCAATTTCATATGAAAACGAAAAATTAGAGAACATTTTTGCAAATAAAAACAACGAAGACAGGTGGGCGTGTCTAATGTTTTGTTGAAGGTAATATTCAGTTTTTATCAATTAATTTTTCGAAAAAATTCCTCATCAATAATTTTACTTTTGGCGCACATTTTGGATCTTCCATTAAAGTTGAACAGAAGCACTCTGAGTTATATTATTATAGGGTTAGCCCGGACTAAATTTGTTCCTCTTTCCCTGTTTGCAGCTGAAGGCGATTGTAATTGAAATTGATGTAGCCGGAGGGGGTCAAGCTCGAGCTTGGTGGCAAATTGAAAGGGCACGTGTCGCAGGCAGCAGATTTCGGCGGCGGCGGAAAAGACGGAAAAATTTTTGATGAAAAAAAGAGGTAATAGAAATTGTTACCGGCGGAGGATGTGGACGGAATGGCCGTGGCCGCGGACGGGACGTCTGGGAAGAAGGTGTTGAACAATTCCTCCATGATGCTGGGGGAGGCCTGCTGCACCGCCGAGGGCGGCACCTGCAGCTGCACCGAGGGCGAGTTTTCGCGGCTCTGGATGATGGAGTGGAGGCGGCGGTCGCGGCGGACGCGGCGAGCCGCCCCCGGCCTGGGCTCATCGCTGCTGGACGAAGAGGCGGAGAGCGGCGAGGGCGAGGAAGGGTCGATCGTGGCGGCGGGGCCCTTGCTAGCCCCCGGGCCGCTTTTGCCACCACCGACCATGAGAGCTGCGGGCAGGCGGGCGGCGCATGGACATGGCCCTGTCCATCGGGGGCGCGCGCGACGCGATCCTCACCACCGAGCGCCGGAAACGCCAGCAGACTGCCGCAGGAAAATGCATGTGCTGATTGCGGCGGCGGCGGCGGCGGCAACGCACGACAAGGTGTTTGTCATTTTGGAAACGGCGCGCAAGCGTTATTCACCTTACACTTGCCAACAGTTTCCATGTGATATTCTCTCGGCTGTGGAGCGCGCGCCAGCTCGCCCGCCGCTCCGCTTCCAACCCAAAGGTGGGGAGCTGAGCACAGTGTGGGCTGATAACGGGCTGCGGAGGACGTAGGCCGCCGCCGCCGCACTCAATGGAGGACGGCTCCGGGGAGGCAGCAGCTTCCGCTTCTGCTCGCTAACGTGACCATCCCCTCCTTCACCCTCGTGCTCGCTGCTCACCCCCGATTCGCCCAAATGCCAAACGAGCATCTTCTTAAATTCGCAACCGTTCCTCCTCTTCAACCCCGAAACCTTTCAACTTCCGAATGGCATTTGCGTCGGAATTAAGATTTGGCAAGCTGCAAAATTACAGCTCAATTTATACCTTAATATACATTTTTTTCGGTTTTTCTATTCAAACATTTTATTTAGAAGAAAAACATTTAATAAAAATTAATTTATTTAAAAATGAGTGTTACTTCAAATTTAATTATTGAAATTTATTAATGCCAGTTTCGATCACAGTCAATTTAAAAAAAGTGGCTTTTCAATCTTGCTGAATTCTTGTATTTTTTCAAGCTCATGAAATAGGGTTGCAGACCGTGACTGAAACTGGTCAAGCCATTTTACTTGTGAGTAAAAAACAATTATTTTTCAAAGATGGCAAAGCCCGTTTTCTTACACGACCATCTCTTCGAGTTTTAATTTCTTCAAAACAGTCAATTTTTTTCAGCCAATATTAAAGGATTACCTAAAATTTATAAAATTATTTTAGCCATTAAAGTTTAAACGAATTTTTTATAGCGTTTTAACTCAAATCTACAATATATTATAACTCCATTTAGTTTATTTTAATGAATTTCAACAATACCATTTCTTATCAAGTTCTTTGCACATTTTTTCACTTTTTATTCTATTAAAATACAAAATAAATAGCTAGGAAAACAATTTTTTATTTTTTTTATTTTTGTTCCTTGCAGATGATTTTGTTCCTCCTGGAAAAATTAAAAAATTGTCACAACCATTTTTAGCCGAAGTTTCTCGTTCTCGTTGGCCTCTCATCTTCTCTCTCTCTTGTTTCTTTCCTTCTACTCTCGTCAGTGGCACGCGTCTCCCCTCTCACAATGCAAACTGCCATTGAATTACGTGTTTTCTGTACCGAGAGACTTTTCCGTTCATTGTGAGCCTCGCTTTGTTTGCAATTCATAATCTTGATTACCTTACAAGAGTGTGACGATCGCTTATTGTGTTTTCCGCTGCATATTTGATGGGGCAACAAGCAACACTCGCGCGCTCTGATTTATCGATTAATTGGTCGTGTTGCCAGCACGCGGCCTGGAATCGACACGCCGCCGCTGCTTTTTCAGATCAACAAGGAAATGCCAAATTATAATGTTTTCCCAGCTTTGCTGCGAAACTCTCGGCCCTCGTCCCACGCTCGAAAACTTCTTTAAAAGTAAACAAACACATTTAAAGGGAGCTGCTTTTTGAGTCGTCGGTACGTATCATGCCATTAGAATAGAGAGAATGGGAAAATGAGGCTGTACCAAAAAGGGCAGACTCTCAAGAGCGACGCGCCCAAAAACGGGCCTCACAGCAGATTACCGCGCAAAAGTTTATGATCATCTTAGACAATTGTCAGGGGCAAGTAGAAAGGGGCCTCCTTTTTGCTTCATTTTACGCAAGACTTTTGCATAGTGAAATTTTAGTGCAAGCTAAACCAATTTTCCACTCTTGAAATTTTTTTAAAACCTTTTTCTGATATAATTTTATTAAAAATTGTATTTGTATGAAACATGAAAAGTTATTTTTTAATAAACATATTTATTACTAAAAAATAATCCACCGGGCATTCTTTATTGTTCGAGAACAGTCGTTTTTATATTTCATTACAGATTTGAAATAAGCATCCACATTTGTACTGCTTACTAACCTTTTAGCCAAATATTGAAAAATATATCACTTATAGTTTTTATGGTAATTAACGTGTTTTTTTTTTTTTTTTTTTTTTTTTTTAGAAATAATGCAGTCACTTCGCAAAAAATCAGACAAGGTGTGATGTTGCAACTTTGTTTTTCTAACTCTTTACATCCATCGTGTGTGTTTTTCTTTTCCTCATATTGGCAAGAAAAACGTACACCAACAAGCTATTAATCAAGAATAAAAATAGAGCGAAACGTCAGCAGATTGATTCAAAAGAGTGGCGTGCCATGCTTAGCTTGACCTGGGTCAGGGAAGACGGCCCTCCTGTGACGCTTGTGCGGATTGAATGGCGAAACCGCGCCAATTTTGGTTTTACGTCAGCCAACGTCGGCGGATTTTTCGGGGTTGGTCCGCGCACGTTTTTATGTTGACGCACTCAATAATTTATTAGTAGTGTGATTGTTTAACGAAGCGTTCATCACCAAAAATATATTTTACGCGGCCGATTACGCAGACTTGCGTGAAAAGCTCAAACTTTTTTTTATTTGCTTCTGCGTGGTATAAATTCCATAAATGATTGCAAATTTCTACTTATACAAAACAATAGAGTAATGTCCAAATAAAATTTAAAAAAATCCTTTATTATTGCTTATAAAATTTAAAATTGAAAGAAGTAAAGAAAGAAGTAAAAAAGTAAATGATGTATCAATAAAATAAATATTGATTGCAACCAATTATTTTAATAGTTTTCCAAGTAATAAGAACAAGCAACTTGCTTTTATTTTCAACCCAATTAATTACGTAAACTCTTTTTTCATGATGTTAAACGCTTTTGATATCTTTTTTCTTATCATAATATTCCGCTTTGTGTGTTTTAACTGTTTGAAAATGTCAAAGTTTACTCCGATGAAAGGTCAAGTGGCAAGATGAATGCAAATGTTATGGGATCAACTAAATTTAGGGGTGTTCGTTCAACCTCAGCCTTCCTTCACCACCCCTGGCTGGAAATGATCGATTTTGTGCTCAGCGCTCGAAAAATTGTTTAGCTACACTCTCGAGGGTTTTTTTTAAACGCAAAAAGCTGTTAACAATCCCCGGCTCATGTGACTCATATTTTAGTTTGGGCCTTGGGTATATGAAAATATGAGCATTTGTGGTTCTCTCATCATCGTGGTCGGCGAGCTCATTCATGCTTAAGGGTTGTCGCGCCAGCAGCAGTGCGAGAATTTGTGCGCATGTTTCAATTTACATAAAAAATGTTTCTTAACTTGCCAGGCAGCAATGTCGAACATAAAATATGTGTTGCTGAATTTTAAAATTCTAATGGAAACAAAAAAAAATCTATAATAAAAATTCATAAATTTTGTATCTTAAGTTTTTTCTTTTTACTTCACAGTTATTTTATCCGATTATTTAAATTATTATTTTCTAAAATTTTTAAACTTTCAATTCAATAATTTCAATTTAGAGGGTTCAAAGTAAATTTTTCCTGCATCATAAAAATAAGAAAAATTAGAAAAGTATCAAAATTCAGCAACAAATTTGATGAATTAATTAAAATAAAATAAAACCAAAATACCCTTTTGACAAAAATCAGGACGAGCCGCCAAACATTCCGAACGCCACCGCACTTTTAACACATTTTGGTCATGTGTCGAGGCCCACAAACTGTCCTCCGGGATTGTTTTGTCGCCGGCTGGTGGGACCAAAAGCGTCTCCGAGCCCACACATCGAGGATGGAGACTCAGTCAGGTCAGTTACACGTGAAAAGTCACAGACACTGTCGCTCGCTCGCTCGCTCGCTCTCGCCACGCACTGCAGCCTCTCGAGAAAAGTGCACTCGCGCTGCTCGATCGTGTCGCTTACGTCAGCCTATGCATTTTGTGCAATAATTACTGGCAGAAATGGACTCGATTAATTACTCGCCGAGAGAGTACAACTTGATAGACAACTTGTGAGGTAGTCATGGTTTGTCAAAAAATATAGCTGCGTCATTATTCATTGCAATAATACAAATACACAGCGTCCTTATGCTAATTTTTTTTACAATAATTTTAATTTTACTTTGTGATTACAATTTTATTTATTTATTTATTTAATTTTCAGCTGTGAAAGAAATTTCTCTCTCTTCTTCTTCTTCTTGCTCTGGTTGTGCGATTTGCTTTAAATATATAAAGATTTATCGCCTTATTTATGGCCGGAATAAAATGAAAATTATTCGTATTATTCACAATCAACCGCTTTTCTGTCGTGCAGCAAGGACGTTTTTAGCACTCAATTATTTATTTTCTCATTCTCCAAGGGAAAATTACGACATCAGCAGGCGAATTGATAGAGTTGAGCAAAGCAGCTCCCCTGCGAGAGAGCCAAGAAAAGGTGTTAATGCACAACTTATTTACATATTTCGAGAGCGTGCAAGAAAAAGCTGAAAAAAATAAAAAGCACCGAGCGCCGCCGCAGCCACATTAAAGACGCGCACACATACTTTTCTTGATTATGAGAAGTTTGTGCCCATTCGCCTCAACACTCACATCGGCGGAGGAGAAAAACTGTCAAAACCTGACCAGCCTCAAGTTTTGACTTTTCCCGAAAATTAATTTGTCGCCCGGAGAGGAGATGTGTCGAAAAATGGGATCGATTGGTGCGAAAGGTGGTGGCTGAGAGTGGGCTGAAGATTCAGGTGTTGCGCGGACGGCAGTGCAGGTATAAAAATAATCACTCGGACGACTGCACCGTTCTCGTTCTGTACGTGGAGATAATCCTTTAGAGTTGTTATTAGGTGCTGCGCGTATGATTTCAAAATGCTCAGAGTTACGTGATTCATTATGAGTAAATATCAGATACAAGGATATAATTATCGAGCCTAATGGTCTCTCTCCGCGACTCTCATTGTTGATGCAACATGCTTTTTGCCTTCATTGTTTCCCATTCAATGGGTGATTTCCTTTAACACTTGGCGGCCTCAAGTGATCAGGGAAAAATTATACAAAGAAAATACCGAAAAGACACTCGTTGCAAAAATTATTAAAAAATAAAAAGTAAACCTAAAGTCGGATCTCCATTAACAGTAAAACATAAAAAAGTTGAATAG